ATGGGTGGGCAAAGCGAGTGGGCTGATGAGGATGGGTATTCTCATTACCATTGAGTGTAGGGATTGGGATACGGCATGGATAGGTGTTGTGGTGGGGTCTGTCCCACTCCCCTTCACTGGCATTGTCACGTGGGCCCAGCCAGCCCACACCACCATGTATTTTAGCCCTCCACATTTCTTTTCCCTTTCTTCTCTAGCTTAGGACAATCAACACACTTCTTGTGCCCACGAGTCCAAGAGGTTATGAGCCCTCTACACGCGATCGCATTGTATCGCATCGCTGCGCGCAGCTATCACGAGTATTGAGAGCCCCAAGAACGAGCCCCGCGTTGTTGCAACACCGAGTGCACATCGCTTTCGAGACCAGAGATTGTCAAGCGACAACAGAACCCAGAGATCAAGACCAAGCCCTGGACCATGCGGTTGTGTTCTCTGATCAATCCATCGAGGATGTTGACAAGGTCTTGGAAAGTAAGAAGACGGTGTGGATCACTGTGAACAGACCTAAACCCGTGGAGGTGATGGGAGGAGCTCAAGAAGGACCAAAGGAGAAAGAGAAGGAGGAGGAGTTGATGGAGGAAGCTGAGCAACCGACGATTGAGTCGATTATGGGTATTAAATCAGCGAAGGCCGGGATCCCAGTACTCCCTACTCCATCACCAAGCGTTACTCCGGTTCCAGAACCAGTACCACCGACTCTGTCACGGATCCCATTGCCAGGGGACCCATTATCACCATCCACAACAGTCTCGATGCCGTCGACGGTGCAAACAAACCCGACGGAGCAATCTCTAGGCCCGATGGATCAATCCCCAGGTCCGCGTACGGAAACCCCAGGCCCGGAAAGGAGTGATATAGGACCGCCGGTTGAGACTCGAGGTCCAGAAGGAGGACGGGATACTCCGAGGTTGGTCTTGCAAAGGCCGGAGATAATGGGTAGGGAAGGAACACCGAGGACACAGCCACGTGTATCATGGAGAGCAACACCGTCAAATCTGGATATCGCACCCTCGATTGAACAAGATAACGAGGACGAATTCCAGTCGTTCGTTGAGGACGACGACGTTGAGGACGACGACGAATACGAGCCTTTCGATAATTGTCCCTTTGTTGATCCTCATAATCTGGATGAGGAGGAGCCCATTCCATTGAAAAGGAATCCAAGGAGAAGGTCGTCATCCCCAGACCCCCTGGCGATAGATACCCCTTCGAAGCCGCCCAGGATTCAAACAGCGGCAACGATTCCACAGCAAATCCCACAAGAACAGACCTCTACGGAACCAGAGTCGGCGACAACGGAGAGGCTCGAGACAACTACGGGGCCGGAGGCGCCAACAACGGACCGAGCTGGAGAAACTACGGGGGCGGAGGCGCCGGCAACGGACCAACCTGAGGCGAATCCGGGGACGGAGGCAACGAGGACGGCGCGGCCCAGGCGACAAGCGGCACCAACGTCAGGCTCAATGGTCAATCGATGGAAAGTGGTGGACAGCAACAATCGCCCTGTGGATGTGGAAATCCCTAAATTCTATCATGGGTTGCCAGAGAGGGGAGTAGCGCAAAAGGAGGTGGAGATATTGTGCTTAACCGCTGTCAAAGTCATGCATGACCTTGACCGTGAGACATCATCGTCGATACCAAAGAACTATCGCCAGGCAAAGAAACGCGACAACTTTGAGTCGTACTGGAAACCGGCCATGGAGAGACAGCTGGCAGCACTGGAGGAACGAGGCGTTTACGATTTGGTTCCCTTTGAAGAAGGAATGGAGGTTCTCCCTGGAAAGTGGGTATATGATGAAAAGGAGAATGTGGGCTTAAAGACAACCGACCCAAGGGCACGCTGGGTCGCTTGCGGTAACTTTGAACAAGGCTCCTGGGATATCGAAGATGTCTACGCGGCTGTAGCGAACGCAGCGAGCGTAAAGATCTTTCTGGCTATCATGGCAGTCCTGGATCTTGAATGCCACCAGTTTGACTTCAACACAGCCTTCCTGAACGCCTTGATACCACCCGAGAAAAGATACTACGTGGAGCAACCGACAGGATTGGAGAAGGGACCGAGGGGTGTTAAACGACTAGTCTGCCTGCTACGCAGAGCACTATATGGTCTCAAGAGCAGCCCTCTTTACTGGTTCCAAACATTATTACCTATATTGAGGGGTCTGGGCTTTGAGCCAATCAGCGACGATACATGCCTGTTTGCAAATGGGAAGAAGGGAGCATTTCTGGTTTTATATGTCGACGACTTCCTAATTACGGCGCCATCGGAAGTGGTAATCTTTGAGATCAGGGACCAACTGCTTCAACACTTCAAACTGAAGCATATGGGAGAGGTGAGAACGTTTCTGGGCTTCGATATTGTGAGGAATCGAGAGGAGAGAACGGTATTTATCTCTCAGGCTCGCTATACCAGATCACTACTGAGAAAGTTCAAATATGACGACTTGCATGGGGTCAATACACCATGGCCACAAGAAGTAAAGGTTGGGGACCATAAGGCTGGCGACGAGTTGCCAGAGCAACAGAAAGCATATATCAAGAAGACTGGTAGTCTTAATTACTTGTCAATGGGTACCCGACCAGACATCACCTTCACTGTCAACAAGCTCTGTGAGGCCAATGCGAAACCCACAATGGGATCAATAACCGTCATGAAGCACCTTTTCAGATACCTCACGAAGAATACGGACATGGGTATCATTTTGGGGGGGAGGATGTCGCCAAGAGATATGGATATGAGGGCATTCGGAGATGCATCATACGCAGATGATCCTTCGACTCGTCACAGTACAGGAGGTCATATCGTGTTTATTGCTGGGGGCCCAGTCTACTGGAAATCAAAGAAGCAAGCATTCGTCACGACAAGCACTACCGAGGCGGAATTCACGAATCTGGTACCCACAGCGAAGTCACTACAATGGATAGCACATATGATGGAGGAATTGGGCTATGCACAACCACCTCTGAAAGTTCTGTATACGGACAGCAAGAATGCAAGGGATTGGATTCTGAATCGCCGTATGCCCGGAAGAAACCGTTGTATGGATGTTCGATTCAAATGGATCATTGAACAAGTCGAGGGGAAAGAATTCGAGATCATCCACATCAAGGGAGAAGACATGATTGCAGATGGCTTGACGAAGCTGTTGAAAGCGGACAAGCATGCAAGGTTCGTGAGATTACTGGGACTGGAAGAAAGGATCGTTCCCTGGGTTTGATTGAGATCTGAAGACTCAACACCAGGGACTTTTGTTTGTTTACATCGTGATGGATCTCTGGGAGCTGTTTCGGGCTACGGGGGCGTGTTGTGGTGGGGTCTGTCCCACTCCCCTTCACTGGCATTGTCACGTGGGCCCAGCCAGCCCACACCACCATGTATTTTAGCCCTCCACATTTCTTTTCCCTTTCTTCTCTAGCTTAGGACAATCAACACACTTCTTGTGCCCACGAGTCCAAGAATAGGCTGGCTTTGGATGGATTCTCTGTTTTCTTATTATTTTGTGGCTTTCGATTCCCATCCTGTTCCTACTTTCTCATTCTTGTCGTTCATATGGTGCTTGCTCCTTTCTCTTCTCTTGTCTCATTTACCTTTCCTGCATTTACCTGGGTTTTTGTGGTTTTCCAGCGGTTGGCGGGATGAAGTATGGATCAAAAGGCGGTTTCAGTCACATAGCATGCCATGTAAAGGAGGTAGCATGAAGTGATGAGTGGAAGGAAATGGAAGGCGTTCAAGGGATTGTCTCCGGACCTTTTCTTTCAATCACTGCCCATATATCAAAAAGATTCCTGTCATCGAAGCTCTTTCAGCGGTTCCGCCTTGCCGGACAAGCGAGAACAAACAGATTTGCAATATCTCACATGCAGTGTGGTCACTTGATAACACCCAGTTGTCTCTTCGTCCGATGTTTTCGGAAAATGTGGTGCACACCCCACGTGGCTATGTAAACATGAGATTCACACTGATTAAACAACAATAGGCGTGGTGGCAGAGTGGTCTAATGCGCAAGACTAGAAATCTTGTTCCTTCGGGAGCGTCTGTTCGAATCAGGCCCACGTCGCACGATGACCATCAAAAACTTCTTTTTTGGACTTTTTTTTTCTTTCAAAAATTTCCACCTGTGTTTACGTGCTTGGACCTCCATCTCCAGGTATGAACCCAGGGATCATTATAGGGCGTACACTAGCTTCGCTGCTGGCTCTGTGCGGCTATGCAGGGGCACCCCACTGGATTGGTCCCACTGTTGAAACCGCCTGGTTCGTAGCGGGTTACCGCTTTTTCTCATTCAACTGGGTTTTATCCTTCCCTCTTACCGTCTAGCATATCTAGGAGTCACCTCAGAACTGGGGCGCCATCGTCGCCGACAGACTTAGCGGACCACTCAAAGCTTGAATGGCAAGCTGGCATGCAAGTGACTCGCAGCGGCTAGAGCGGATGACACAACAGCGCAAGCGTCCTAGACTAGAGTAGGCCTAGTTTCTGCGGGTAGATAAAACCCAGTTGAATGAGAATTAGCGGTAGAGCTGACACCTGGGACTGGCGGGATGTGCCCCTGACACTTTGACACCTGATGACATCGTGACGATCCCATTCGCAGACATCAGACCAAATCAGCAAAAGGGACTTGGAGGTCTCTTGTGTGGAAAGACCACAAAAGCAGCAGTCTCGCGTCGAACCCGACACGAATGGAAGTGACTGAAAGTGCCAAAACGTGCCTGCCAATCATCGGGATCGCTTCCAGGGGTACCTCTGCTGCGCGCATCCATCCCTCTGGAGCCTCTCTCGCGGACTCGCTTGCTGTTGCAGTCGGTGTTGTCATCCATCATTAACAGCTCGTCGTCACTCAGCTGCACGTCAAAATAGCCCGAGTTTCCACTTGGACCGGCCGGGGTCCCGAACAAACGAACGGCCTAACAATCGCTTAACGAACCTAGAATCCATCCACAACCCATCTATCTCTCCTATGTGCTCGGGGATCATGTCCAGGTAAAAAGACAAGACCCACGTTACCAAACGCAGACCGCAGATCCAGTTCCGGTTCTGCTACTTTCTGCTTTTGGCACTTTGCTGTCACGCCGTGGAGGGGACCCAACGCTCTCAACAAGTCCCGTCAGTAGCAAGTTAAAGACTCCGGCTGTTAACAACACCAACACCAACCCCAAGTCTCCAACTTCATGCCCGCCTCAGTAGCTTCCAGCGATGGCCGTGGTCCTGCCAACCCAACCTCGTCCCTGACAGGGGCATCTGCGAATCCCGCTACTTCCGGTCTTGCTGCTGCTCTCAAGGGCGCAACCTTGGCTTTTCAACAACAGCAGAAGACGGCGGCTAAAGGCAGCGATACCGCCGTTCCACGGGGTCTTGGGGGTTCACGGGTACCGACTCCAGGGACGTCCGTCCCGGCATCAACCTCTAGGACAGTTGGTGGCAGCAATGGGGCACTCCTGGCGGCCACCCTCGCTGCTAGAGAACACTCCCCTCCAACCACCTCGAAGAACGAAGGATCGCGGGTGGTCACCTCAACGTCATCCTCAAGTGTTGGATCAGCGGGCAGGACGAACAGGCAGGAACCGCATGGCCAGGCCACTGGCGGGAGCTCGCAACATCAACAACATGTCGAAGCTCGGGCAAACGATCATGCGCCAAGCAAACGCCCAAAGATGCACTCGAGGAGGCCATCCCTAGCTTCTCTGTCTAGCCAAGCAGCCAACAACTCCCATTCTCATCCTCCTACTCCAACAACCTCAAAACCTGGTTCTGAACCCAAGTCGGCTTCCTGGATCGCTGCAACGCTGGCCGCCAGTAGGTCCGGTACGCCATCACCAAGCCCGTCGGTGAGCTCGACGACTCAGCAAATGCATCCGGCCCTTTCTCAGCAACATGTCCGATCAGGCCGCACACGCAGTTCAAGTGTAGCGACCTTTGACACACCTACTCCTCCGGCTCTTGATTCTCAGCACCTGGATACAGCATCGATTCCACCCACAACATCTTTGGTCGCTATGTTCGACGGTAAACAGGAAGAAGCGGAACCTGCCAAGAAGAAGAAGAAGCCTCGTCCGGCATCACAAGCGGAATATCACCAAACACTAACGTCACCGTCTCCTACACCATCGGAAGGGCTCAGCATGGAAAAGCAGCGGGGAACTGGTGGAGAGCCCGCTGTTGCGTCTGGGAAGACGAAGCTTGCCCCAAAACCGAAACCTAAGCCAAGAAGGGATATTTCACTCAGCACCGTGGAATCGATAGCAAGTTCGACTGGGACCATGGGACGGGAGGGAGAGTCTAGTAGTCAGGAACAAGTTGAGACACGGAACCATAATGGAGATGTCCGTGGCAAAGCTAGCATAGAGGGAGCTCAAGACACGGAAACGGGAGCGAAGGATATAGTATCCGAGAGAACGAGTGGGCGAAAGAGTCAACAGAAGGCTCCTGCAACGCCCCGAACCGTGCAGTCGAAGCAAGGGGTAGACGTTCCTATGGGCAAACGACCATTAACGCCGCCTGTTCCCCAACACGCTCATATATCCGAGACAAAAATTGTCTCCCCACAGCCTAGAAGAGTCGTTTCGACACCACGCCTTGAATCTTCTCCGGCTCTACCAAAAACTACCAAGCCCATTACCAGCTCGAGACCTGACAACAAGCCAACCATCAGGAAAAGTTCTCGGGTTGTCTCATCGAGCATGGACCAGTCTCAGACAGCCCGACAAAGCGCTGAGACCAGTCTCGGGGAGCGCCGTTTGTCTCAAAACTCTACTTCGTCCGACGAAACCTTTGTCTCAGCCTCCTCTAGCCCATCTCCACGACCTCAGTCGCCGGCCAAGGAACCGGAGAGAGTTCGCCCTCGACTGGACAGGGCCAATACCGGCAACTCATCCAGGGCGTCCCGGGTGAGTACCCCGGCGTCTGTGCGGTCTCCGGTATCACAAACTCGACCATCACCCGTTTTGCGTCCGGGGACCGGATTACACAGTTACAGCACTGGGGCCAGCCCAACTCCCGAAATGAGCCTTGACTCCCTTACGAATGCCATGATAGCAAGCAACCTCGCGTCATCACGTCTCGCAGCACTCACCCAGACATCCCTGGAATCAACCGGTCTTCCACCCGTTCCTCCTCCCCGCCGTGGCCATCGTCATCACCACCTTTCTCACCCTCACCTCCGTCACCACACACAGAGCCCTCCCCACGCCAGCCCTTTGGTACCACAGCGCACGGCCGACAGCCTACCACTCCGAACAGGACCCAGCCGCCAGACGGAACATAGCCAGCCAACCAGCCTCCTCAAGACGCTCCGCGCGCCTCGCTCTCTCTCGGACGACGAAGACTTGCGCCTTCAAACGCACCGCCACCGCAAAAAGCACCTGGTCGGCAAAAAACATGCGCACAACGAGGGAGCACGTCGGCGCTGGCGCGACGAGATAACGATCCGCCAGCGACGGCGGTACGAAGCCGTCTGGGCCAGCAACCGGGGTCTCTTCCTGCGACCGGGCTTCGCGTTCGAGCACCCAGAGAACTGGCAGCCGCTCCCGCCGCCGGACGACTCGCTGAGGCAGGTCGACCTATCGCGGGCGTGGGAAGGCCCGGAGGCGGATCTGGTGGTGAGCGTCGTGGTACGGGATATCTGGAGTCGGAGCCGTCTGCCGGTGGACGAGCTGGCGGAGGTCTGGGAGCTGGTGGACCGGCGCAAGTGCGGGGCGCTGGATAAGCAGGAGTTTGTGGTGGGCATGTGGTTGATTGATCAGAGGTTAAGGGGACGAAAGATACCGACGGTGGTCGGGGAGGGCGTGTGGGAGAGCGCGAGGGATCGGGTCATGAGTGTTAATGTGAAGGCGCCCAAGGCGCATCATAAGGGGAGGACGAAGGGGCATTTGAAGGGGGCGTTTTAGGAAGACTCCTTCGGCCTGGACGTAGCGTGGTAGAAAGCGATGGGTGTCGACGTTGGGTTATAGAATAGATTATCTAATACATATTTATTATATATTATATCCTTGTGGCTTGTTTCATCCGGATACCTTTTACCTCACGATGTATGCTTGTTGTGGCCAGATGGGAGGTCATCATGACTGTGTTCAGGAGTCTGTCAACAAATCTGCCAGGTGTCTATGCCACTGCCGGCCCGCTGACAGCTGTGCGCTTCACACCTTGATCGGCTGCACTTCTACAGCCGTCATCCCTACAAGTGCCATCCACTGACAGGAACAGGGGTTCCGGGCAACCTCCACATTGCCCCGCGGACCGAGGCATATCACAACTTGAAGATCAGATAACTGTGTGCGCGTGGCCTGGAAACAGTGGTGAAATTGAAAGCAATCTGGGGAAATGGAACGTTTCTCTGGTTGATGATTATACGAACCATTGTGTCTGCGTAAGCTGACTTGTTGGAAACGACACAAACACGGGTTTATGTTGAACCGTGAGACTGGGTCATCAAATAAAGACGGAAAACGTGGTGTTGGAGCCTCCATCCAAACATATTGGAGAAGCACGACATTCCCCTCTTCGTCCCTTTTTGTCCCCTCGGCTCGGTCCCCTCCCGTACACTACAACCTTGACACTTTGACAAGCTAACCGAGCATCGGCACATCGACCACCGACCCCAGACCATCATACCATTTCATCTGCTTTTTATCTTCTTGGGTCCAAACTCGATCTTTTGGGAGGAACTCAAGCGAGCTTTGTTAAGGGACATACCTACCCATATCCATTTCTCCGCAGTTTATACACGTGGGAGATTCCAGTCGACCGAGTGATTTCCTGTGACTTTGTTCTTCTTTTCCCAATTCCACCGTCTCTCTCCAATATCTTGAACATCTCGGCATATCTCCAACCAACTGCCACCACAACCAACCAACCAACCACCACCACCCCAAAACCAATAATCATAATGTCCGACTCAGCGCCCTCCGTCGCGTCGGAGCCCGTCGCGCCCGTCGCCGACCTTCCCTCCGGCGAACCCATCCCCCCTCCCTCCGCCGCCGGCGCCCTCGAGCCCATCACCTCCGCCAACGAAAAGAAGCAGCAGCCATCGCCGGCCGCCCTGACCAAGGCCCTCTACGCCTCCGACGCCTTCCTCGCCCGGCTCAACAAGTGCCTGTCCACCCCCACGGGCATCGACACCGTCCTCCTCCTGCTCTGCTACACCTCCAAGTTCGCCGGCTCCATCCTCGGCGTGCTCTCGCGCTCCATCCTCCAGCGGTCCTTGCGCGAGTGGCTTGCCGTCATCGCCGGCGCCGTTCCCCCGGGTGCCACGACCGCGGTCGTGGTCGACTCCAAGACCGCAGCGGCCGTCGCGCCCGCCGCCGCCCGCGCCCTCGTCCACGCCAAGCGCCTCAATGCTCTTTCCACGCTGCTGAGCGAGGCCCGCACCATGACCCGCCTCTGGGCGTTGGTGGGCATGTACTTCTGGGGCAAGGGGATCTTTGCCAAAGCGGTGGCCGTGTGGCGCGCGAAGCGCAGCAACTCCTCCATCTCGGAAAAGGAGCAAGAACAACTCCCCTCAACAACCGAAACAGCCATCTCCCTCCTTCAATTCTCTCTCTGCGTCGCCCTCCAGGTTCTCGAAAACGGCGCTTACCTTTCCTCCAAGGGCGTGCTTGGTTGGCAACCGGCGCGCATCGGCAAGGCGTACCTGTGGTCAGCTAGGTTCTGGGCTGCGTATGTCGGGATTGAGATTGGCAGATCCCTGGCGCTGGAGCCGAAGGAAAAGTGGAAGGAGGATAGTTGGAAGGGTAACTTGGCCAAGAATTTGGCGTGGGCGCCGTTGACGGTGCATTGGAGTAGTGAGAAGGGGCTGGTGAGCGAGATGGTGGTGGGGTTGTTGGGAAGTATTCCGGGGTTGGTGCAGATGAGGGAGTTGTGGGCTTCTACTGCTTGAGTTACTTGGGGGGGGGAGTTGAGTTGAGTTGAGTTGAGCTGGCTGTGAGACGGGATGTGATGTGTAAGGGTTGGATATGTGATGGGGAGAAAGCAACTAGGTTTGATGTTGTCATGTCATGGCTTATATACAGAAGGATGAGGCAAGCGTTGGGGTCGTTCATGCGGTGTTCTTTTTCGAGAAGATACTTTTCATGTTGGAGGTCCCGTTTGGGATGGTCGAAGAGGATGTTTATGTCACATCACTACAAAATCTTCAGAATGGTGTTCTTGGTTTAGCGACGTTGTCAAGAGAGACAAAATATGCCATTGCAGTTGTCAGACTCCATTGCTTTCTCTTCTCAAGAACACTATCAGGTATATATACCAAGTGTGTTGTTTTGTCCCTCGTTAGGAGAAAAAGTTATTGTCGGTCGTAGAATATAGGTTGTCATGGACTCTAAAGGTATGTACCACCCAGACCAAAGGCGAGATCACGGTCGGGCAGTCGGTGCTGCAAACCTCAACATCACATCACATCACCAGACATCACCTCATCCATCTCCCATCGTATTCACCTCGCATTTGAGGTGCTATCATCAATGGTTCATGAGCTCTTTCATGGGTTGGAAGAAAGCAACTCGGAGCTTTGGGGCACGTTCTCTCGATTCCATTACCTCGGCTCTATGGTGATTTTTCTGCTACGTTTTTTTTACCACCGTGTCTGTCTGTGATATGGTCTCTAGATACGAAACCATCATTGACAGGATGATTGATGATTTGAAGCGAGCTAGCCGAAAGAAACGTATTCGAAAATGCAAGTTCCGTCGACTTGACGAAGCAAGGCCTTAACTGCGCGCCTGAGAAGGAAGAAAGAGCCAATTGCAAATGAAATGAAATGTCCAACAATACCTAGGTGAAGTATAAGACCGATAGATATCCATCTATCAGTTCACCTTCAGTTCCTTTTCAAATTTTCACCCTGCATCTTCCAGTCCAGTAGAGACATGTTTGTTTGTCAAAGGTAACCAACCTACTGCTTGTTTCGTGTCAGCATAACTACATACCTACATTGCATCCACTGTTGTACCTCTATAATAGTAACGGAATCTTTCTACTGTCTCCTCTATTCTAGTGCCCACTTACTGTCTTTTCTCTTCCTCCTTCCGTGAATGGGTGTGCGAGCACAACCAAGTGCCAATCGACGTCATTAGGTATTCTCGGTACAGCGCAGCCTCCGTCTGTTCGTTGTCCTTATCACCGTTCGTTGTAATGGCACCGTTGTACATACCTAATGGTATCAGTAGCACCATTCAGCGTCCCCCAGAACTTGAACCAGACCAACAGAAGGAACGGGTTCAGAAACCCTTGGTTAAGTTCTGTGCCACTGATGGTACTTACATATACTACACACGGAGCAGTTCCTTCCTTCCTTTCTTTGAATCTGTTCCATTCACCTCTCACCTGGTTCATTCGATATGGGTGGGCATGTGATAAACAAGCAAGCAGAGGACAATGCGATTCTACACTACTCCTCCTTCCTGAACTTGGCTCTTTTGTTTGTCTGGAGACAAAGCTTGATGTATTGTACATCGTAGGAGAGGTGTGTGTGTGTGACCGCAGTACACAACAGTAACTGATAACCAAAGATCGGAACTTAATCTGGCAACTGGCGACTGGCACACATCCTCCCGCTGTCGTGCAAGTGTGTTGCAAGAAAATTTCCAACCAAGCAATTTCATTCCATAACATCAAAAGCAAGAAATCAGAGGACAGCCGGAAAGGCACCAGGGGCCAAATGTCCCGATAAAGCAAGCGATGCCGACACGGGATGGTCGGGAAGGGGGAATTGTTGCACGGCGGTTCACGAAGGACGCAAGATTCGGGAACAACATCATTTGTTGCCACCGTACATCGCAAGGAACGGGAGCTTGTTGACGTACCTGACAATGATAGGCTGGACGGCTACACCAAACTGGGTAAGAATGATGATCTCAGTTGTTACGGCAGAAAACAAAAGTCACCAACATGATATCGCGAGAAATCACAGACCAAGAGACATTGAACGGTTGGATAAACATGGTAAAATAGATACGTATCTACTTGTATGCACTCTTTTCCCTCTAAAAGGTGTAAATGCCCATATGCATGCGAAGGTGGTATCTTCCATTTCTCGCCGTGTCCAAGACAACGGGGCCCAACCACTAACCAAAAACCCCCACCCTACTACAATAACCAAGTGATGAAACGCCTCTCCAAATGCCATGCCTAGGTGATAATGATATGCTAGAATAACGCTGATGATAATGATGATGATGTGCTGTCCCCTTTCGCCGTCTCCTCCAAAAGCGGGAGAGGCATGTGTGACAATGGAAAGGAGATGGGTATGTAACGATGCAATGCCGGAAAACACAATGGGAAAAAAAGGAAATGAAGAAATGTACAAGGTGGTCTTTCGGCCAAAAAGAAAAAAAAATGACCGACGCCTGAAGGAGTAATGATGCCAAGGGCCAGAGTGTTCCAAGTTGCCGCAGAAGCGTTCTCAGCCAAGCGAGCAACCCCCAAGCTCGGAAATCCCGCGAAGACTCGAGAAGACTTTGATCAGGCTGCTGTCGCGTGGTGGCTCATCGGAGGACGTTGGGCTGAATTTCCGCGGGCGAAGACAAAAAAACACTCGATCGGTCCGCATGCAGTTTTCAAGCTCTCCGGTAGTCCAATCCAGTGCATCGTGAAGAGCATCGAACCATCTTGGAAGCGCAAAAAGGGGGGGTCAACGGACCCACTCCCACCGCGTGGGAGAAAACCTGACCCATCCGCCGAGTTGGTGCCATTGAACCGGGGGGCTTGTCGGGATTCTTTGCACCGAGAAAAAAATTACCCTGGCCCAAAAAATTACCAGAGTTGACTCAGAGGGTTTTTGATTGCCAATCATGACCGGCAATGCCCAACGGCATCTGTGAAACCGCCGAATGTGTCAAACTCGGGATTCTCACGTTTGAGAATGACTGAGAATTCCACAGGCGTCTCTGAAAAACTGCGCCTCGCTGGCATCTCAGCTGGACTGTCCACCACCCTCGCGATACCTCGTGACGCGGCCGGCAAACAGTGGGAGAATTTTTATCCAACATCACGTGCGGTGAATTGTGACCGCCAGTTCCGCTGTGAGCTGGTGGATATCGAGCAATGACCAAAACCCTACTAGGTGCAGGACACCAGTGGCCGACAGCGCTGCAGAAACGCGCATCGCAGTGGGATTTTGTCGGTCGGGACCGGTCGGGACGAGGCGGTTCGGCCGAATGTGACGTAAAAGGTTGCTCTTAGCTCCTTGGAAAAATGCGGAGAGCGTTGGTTCCCGTTCAAGCCGGACATATTTTATGCGAGATGCGTCGGGGTCTGGTGATGGTGGATCTTCGAGACGCGCCAGCTACGTAGCTAGTACGTGTAAGTGACGGCGACCCATCGAGCAGGCACCCCGTCGGCCCCAACCACATACGGCTTCGTGCTCGTCTTACGGGGAGGAAGCGCCCACCGAGCTCGGCCCGGCTTCTGGTCATCAAGCTTGCCGCATTTCCGCATAGCCATCTCCATAACCGCAATGCGGATGAAGTCTGAGTTCTCGCGCATCTCGCGCTGTCTTGGCCCAGGCATAGGATACTCGGGTTTGGCGTTGGAGGGTTGCTGCGCTTGCGGCGAAGATGAGAGACCGACGGATGGGCAAGGGACCCGGCTGGAGGAAGCAGAGGAGCCCCGGGCTCGCTGGACCCTATACGTTTGCATCTGGATAGACGCCGTGAAAGCTTTCGTAGTGGGCGCCTGGGTGGCAGAGTGAGGCTGCTCCAGCCGAACGGTCGTAGTCGGGTTAAGGTAGCGACGTAGAGCGGCCGTCGGCTCCTCCTCGAGCAGCGGAGGTCTGCGTTCATCGGTAAAAGGGACTTGTGGGTCGAGTGTCAAGATCGATCGGGTTAGGAAGTCCTCTGGAGGAATGGACGGGAAGTTCAGCGTCGAAAAGGACCTGGCGGCTTGACGAAGCGCACGCAATGACGCAGTAAGGTTCGACTTGAAGACCGACTTAAAGGGCCTGAAGGCGAGCCTGGACTGTTTCTTTTCCTCCACCTCTTCCTGCTTGTCCTCGAAAACGCGGAAATCCAACTCGTCATCCGCAATCTCGGGATATGACAATGGGTGGTCCTCCAGCTCTCCCATGGGGGACGATACGGGCTCCAAAGACCGTCTGGTTGGTTGGGTGTTGCGTCTCCTGCGCGGTGTAGGGGGTGTTTCCAATGACGAAAGCGTGTCGGTGTCGAAAGAATCGCTAAGCGATGGCATCGAGTCTGAAGAGATAGTCCTGGCCGAGAGTAAGGACCCAATGTTGCTATCACTGATGGAGGAAGAATCATCGTCCTCCAGGAGCTCGGGTGGCGTTAGAAGCAGGTCCATAGGGCCTTTGTTGCCCAACGAAAGACTGAACTCCTTCTCAGACTCGTGTGACTGGGCAATGATGGACTCGACTGTCATCCTCCTCTCCTCAAGAGTCTTGGCCCGACGAGCGCTTCGGGCAGCCCTTGGTTTCGGGATGCTCGTCATGGCTAGTAGGGCGGCCACCGAGGGCGGAATAGCATCGGGGGAGTGCACATCCTTGGGACGGTGCGAGGAGTGATGTCTCCGTTCAACATGGTGGCGATGCTGCTTCTGCTGGTGGGCGGCGTCGCGCGACCTCGGCCTCACGGGAATCTGAACAGGGCTCGAGGGCATTGCCTGGACGTAGGGAGCGGTGGAAGGCATTTCGATGACGGGTTTCGTAGTGTTAGTGTATCTGCTTGGTGTTTCCTGGGCATCCTTAACACGAAAGGATCCTGTTTCTGGGCGCCAAGAAGGCGATGGTGACGATGTGTTGATAGGAGTTGTCAGAATTGGATCGGATGTGAAGTGGTCGAGTTTCGAGAGTGGTGGGCGAAGATGCATCTGTGGAGGTTTTGTTGTTGGTTTATGGAGTTCCTGCTTGGGTTGGGAGGAATGACGTTGAGGTTGCCGCTGGCGCGAGACAAGGAACGAAGAGGCAGTGATCATGATGAAGAGGTATCGGCGCAGGCGCGCTTCATTAATACGTAGGGACGGGAAGGAGGGCGTAGACGCAAGCTGTGCCTAACAGTGGGCAGCCAATGGCGGGTGTGTGTGTCACTGCCCAGTGGGACCAGGAACCTGACCCTTCGAAGTACCACAGTAGGTACTCCCAGCCAACCCGAGGCACTGGGAAGGTTTGAGGCGATTTGGAGCCCTGGAGCCCTAGCGAGACTTCTTTCAGTGGGAAATTCAACAAATTGCCCGAACACCAGATTGGATGGAAATTAGGAGCGTGCCGGCTCGCGTGTTTGTCAGTGCTGTTCCGTTCTGTTCCAGGTTGCTGCCGTTGCAGGGGGGCCAAACCACGCCGGAGGGTTCAATCGAGTACGTAAAAGTGCGTCCGAATTGAAGGTACCACGACGGGGCCGCCTGGGTGGCTTCTGACGGGATCCACCGATTCGGGACCCTTTTTTTGCTCGAGATGGATTGGGTTCGGAAATTAGAGTTTCAGGAACTGCGAAAAGTTGGTACGGTACGTAGGGAATAAAGATGAGTCGAGGATGAGTCGAAAGATGTTGACAGGTGAAAGTTGCAGAAGGTCCAAGGTAGAGTGGCCGTGACGTGATAGTCCGTGGGATCTCTTATCATGGAGTGTTCGCCTCTTACTTATCTCGGTTCTGCCTGCCTGGCGCAGCTCGTTGTCGTCACCTGAAAGGCCACCGGTGGGTATCTCTCACGAGAGGTTCTCAGATAGTCTTCCTGCAGCGTGATCTCGTTTCCAGTCACCCAAGCGAATGCCCAACAGGTCCCTGGGTAGGCTGAGGTGTGGCTTGCCGCTGCCCTATCGTGCTCTGGGAACCTATACTGCTTTGTCAGGGGGTGGTAATTGGGTCGGGTGCAGTGTCGGTCTGAGACTGGTTACAACAAATAAAGACCGGCCAAGTATCGAGAGTTGCATTCACACAGACACGGAGGAAAATCTGAGATCTACCGTGACTTGACCTTGATACATATGCCAAACTTTGTCGGCGATTCATCGCGGTGGACACCAGCTGATAAGACACATCGGGGAAATGGCGTCGGACAACTATCTTCCAGGTTGCTCCCTTCCACATGTGCATGCCTGGCGATATGCCTGAGATAGGGAGGTGTAGCACGTCCAGTCGCCGCCCAGCTTTGTGACTTTCCGACTCCCGTTTCGTGGTCTCGTGGTACAGACCCCCAAGGTCCAAAAATGGCAAACAGAAGCATGATAAGCCGGCCTGCCTGATACGGCTTGAAGCTCTATCAAAGGGTACTTGTCGGCGGGCGCGCTTGTGCTAGAACACAAGCCTGTCTTGGCCCGTCCAGCAGGTATCGCTCGTTGTGGGGGTTTCTCCCCTTGTCGTTCTTGTCATTCGGGCTACACACCTGGGCTTGTGTCCTGCACGGTACGACAATGCGCTGCAGGTGACAAAGACTCTTTTCTTTGATATCGCGCTTCACCGAAATCTGTCTTACCTCAGCTTCAGATATACGAACACCTTCTACTTTACAGCGAAGTGAAGAGTGGTCGTTAACCGCGGCAAGTGGGCGCACATTCCCCTTTTCGTAACGAATCGAATTCGCGCCGATTCCAAAGTCGGGGTTCAAACATTGTGGAGGACCGAGACAAGAGCGGGTCGCTGCAAAAAGCGGAGCGACTCACCAAGTGGGTTCGTCCGGCAGCTCAACCGACGAATTGGCAGTTTGAGAATTCCGACCTCCTTCGAGCGAGCAAGTTCCGAGAAGTTCGCTGTCCCCCAGCCCAGCCTTCGGATCGGGCGGGCGGCATGCGCAAACTGTTGAGGTTTCACACCACGGGCCTGGAAATCGACATATCGCAGAAAGGCCCTGTGAGCCTCGGGAGTTTTAGACAGTCAGACACCAGCCTCGTGGATTGCTGTTTGTCCAGCAGTCCAAGTATCAATCTGATATCGACCGTTTTTGGACGTACACAGGTACTCTCGGTGGTCTAGCCCTTCCGGGACTAACTCGTAGCCTCGTGCGCCGTCTGCTGCTGCCGTGGGAAACAAAAATGCACGTCAAAATTTGCGCTTTTCTCCATGATAAAATGTGGGTGGACCTTGATGGTTTTTTTTCCCTCGCCCAGAGCGCCAAATTGGCCGCCGAGGCTCAAAAATTTCTCAACTTGCCCCAATCTATCCCTTTAATGGTGCAAATTTATCCTTTTAGCGTCATGCAGGTTTGTGCCAATCGGTGGTCCCCATTCTCTTGCAGGTTACATCTTAAGCTTGCAGATACCTCGGAAACCCCAGCCTTAGTAGCACTTACTAGCAGTATAGGCGGACTGCTTAGCTGACAAGCCACGTCACCAAGTCCTCCAGGTCTCTTGCAGGGCGCGCTAAAAGGATAAATTTGTATCATTAAAGGAATTGGAAACGAATATTAGGGCTATACGAAAGATACGTACCTTTTCTGCCTACATCTTGCAAGCCAAACCAAACCCAAGTACCTGCGATTTTCTTCACAACCGTTACATTAATCTCAGCACGACCCAGTATATAGCCAACCCATATAAAAAGGCCCCTTTTGGGCGTGCTAAATTTACTAGTGAAGTCCATTTTTAATATAGTAATTTTTTGTAAAGTTGTAGTGAAAGTCTTAAAGAGGAGAGACTTGGGGTTGGACCAGCGACTTGGCGCCAAGAGACACTGCTTGGCCACCAGAAAAGGGCGAAGTAGAGAAGGTACGTATCTTTCGTATAGCCCTAATAATCGATACCCCGAGATTCGAGACCCTGGATCTTCTCGAAGCTTTCCCAAATCATGCATCACTCCCGACACCGGCGGAGCGGCGACTCGTTCAACTCCTCGGGGATCCATGACATGCGGACACACTGACACACGCGCGTCGGCCGAAACTCCTCCGTCCCAGCCGCCAGCATCTCAAAGAATTCCTCGAGATGCTGGGTCCGTAGATACGGTGAGGTTCTCGGCGCTACGCAGCCCTTGACTCCGATTTATTTCCGTCAACGAACGACACAAAGAACGCCGATAACACTGGCAATCCTGCACCCCACACGCCGCCATGAACGCCGGGTCTTTGATGCCCCACCCCCAATAATACTAAGGATGAATCCTAGAAGACGGTGCGGACACTGCCCTGGGGTAGATGTCTTCTACGCCGTAGATAATTCCCATTTCCAACGGATATAATCCAACCACTCTCCTCGCCCACACCTACACCACACTAACACAAGTGATCGGCATCAACCAAGATAACCCTACAAACGCTTCGTTGTTGTCCCGCAAAGCCAAGGCATGTCCGGTTATACTTTTATCAGCAGGTTCGAACACAAAGGGAAACCTGAGTCTACTGGTTACCACTGGATGGGTTGCACCCCCCAACAAGAGAAGATCGATCCACGTGTGAGATCAAGCCTCACACCATCCGCCCATCCCTTTGATTCCCGTCCACTCAAACGATATCAAACATGAAGGGCTCCACTATCTTCTCGCTGAAGTGGTGTGCATGAATGCGGGGTGCATTAGGCCTAGGCAGACCTGTACGAGATGTAGCCCAAAGCTCTCTAAAAAGGAAGATTGTGTTCACTTATTACCGCTTTTTTTCACTCGATGTGGTTTTGCTCAAACAGGTATAGGGCCGGGACCATCTGACAGAAGCAAAGCCAACAAGGGGTTCAACCAATCTGTTACCGAGTTGATGCGGGTCACAGTCGATCGCACGCTTGCCAACGTGGTCAGTTGGTTCCTCGGAACACTTCAGTAACAGACATTGGTGGGATTGTCGGTATGACCTGCATCCCCGTGTTAGGCTTTGCTAGTCCGGACCTTAGCGCAGGTTGAGTAAAACCACATCGAGTGAAAAAAAGCGGTATTCTACATTGACCAGACGTGCCAGACTGCAGCCAGCCCAAAGAAATCACACCTGTGTGATTGTGGGGGCAACAGACACTGATATGAGGAGTTCTATCAAGCGGCGCTTGGCTTTCCTGCTCATCAAACGACTGGCCACGAAGAACTGATTAATCAGAACAGCGGATCAGAAAGGACTCGAAAGAATCATCCTGTTGAACAACACGAGACGATCTCAAATCCCCAGGACAATAAAAAAATTTCCTCTCGGCAGATTACAGATCCTACGAGCCAAGACAGAATGGGCACACGACCTTCTGGAAATGTTCTTTGCGCCGAAAGTGGGCTTAGGTAGCAGCGTAGCAGGCCTCGGCTCTTCTCATGATGCTGTGGCGCTCCTGGCGCTTCTCACAAAATATCGTGGCCATGGTCGTGGTACTGTAACTATAACATTGACAGGCCATGTCTTGACTCCACCAGCTCCATCGGTCAAAAAAAGTTAATCGAAAGCTATTCTCCAGCGACCGAATTGAGAAGGCAGTTTATCTGGAGAAGAAGACCAGGGGGATGGATAATGCGACATGTGCAGCATTCGAGAGCGGGATTCAGGAACCAACAGTACCGATCCATACCCGTTGGTAGCCGTATCACGGCGCGGCTTATGTTCCTTATCAGTCGAGTGGACAGATCTGAAAAGAAAAGTCATGTCATGATTTCACGTTCAGGCGTTGACTGAATGGTAGGTACGTATGGTGGTGTAGCATTGAGAAGAATTCCCGTGGGGAGAAAAGCTTATCTTTGGCGCAACGTCATAATCCGTCCTTTTTACACTACGACTGCCGATCGTTTTCAGCCCGCAGCAGCAGAGTGCTTCGAGAAGCTGTGGTAGTATCTCTAGAAAGGGGACATGGTGTTGCTTGTGGCAAAAGGTAATTTCAACTTCTGTCTCGTCCATCAACCTCGACCGGGCTCACAACAGCTACTTGTATAAAAGCAACTACATTACGCTTCATTCTCATTTTCGACATTTTTGTATCGACGGCGGGAACATCTCCACGACACTTTCAACGTCCTCCACCTCAAGCACGTGGGTAATAAATACATAGAACAAAAAAGTCCGGGGTTACATACTAGGTAGGTCTACTCGTTCAGTATCCACCTATGCACCTTCCTCCCAAGTCCCAAGAGCCAAGAAGAAGAGCCCTTTGTTTAGGCTCACCAACACCCAAATAGGAAGGACAGAAAGGGCCTCCTTGAAGAAAATTTCCCACAACCCAAGCAGGAAGCAGCGGGAACTCAAAAAGCGGCCCTGCCTGCCCTTGCTGGCGACGGACCAACGGCGACTCGGGGAAATTACTTGGTTGGTGCTAAGGGCCTAATCGGCTGGATGTGCTTCCGTCGGGAACACGCCTTTTCTATTGCTTTTTGACCGCCAAGATCGATTTTTTTAGGAAGCTAGACCAAGATTAGCAATAGATTACCGCTGTGCGCTGTTCTTGACAGCCTGTGTGCTAACCAGGGTGCCAAATTTCGTACCGCGCTAATATGGACCGTATCACCTCCCTATTTAGGTTTAAATATTTCCACTTTTTATAGTATTAAGCGCTATACACTCGATATTCTACTAGAATCAACGAGAACTCCCAAACTACATTCATAATCGAACATACAAAGTATACGAATATATAGCAAATACAAATATAAAAAGTCCAACTAAATCAATATAGTTACGGGATATAGTTAAGGCTTTATCGTATCTAAGAATATTTTGTCGTAAAATATTAGAAACGACTACTTGCTATAATGCCTATATAAATCAATTCTTTAAATCCTAATATAAAATTAATATAGATAATACTAACCGAATTACTTTTACTTTTACTGCGGCCAATACGATACACATTCTTTTTAACAGGAGAAAAGACTGTAAATTACCTACCCCCATATACCCGGGCGGTCTAAAATACGCTAAAGAACTAGCAAATACTATATACTATAGATCTAAGACCTAATTTAAAGACCTCTTTCGCATAGATCGATATACCTTCAATACCCTAGTGCAATAGCTTCAAATCCATACTGGTATAGAATCGACTAAATACTAAACTATACGTTAAAAAATGATAGTAGTACTATATATCCTAGCCTATATAGAAGCTTAAAAAACTATAATATATAAGTTCCAGATTAGTTAAAGTATTATAAGCGAGATTATAAAAGATCTACTCCTTAGATTAGTCACCCTCTATTAATATTTTGTACGGTTGCTAAACGATAATTATCTAGACTTTAATATCAAATTAGATCTAACCCTCAATACCTTTAACGGTTATATTAATATTATTAATAGGATTTACGTAGCCGCCTATATACCGCTACAGTAATAACTTCGGTATTATATTTAAAAAGGCAATATTACCCAAAATATATTTACTATAGTAAAATTCGACTATACTTTTACGTACGTATTAGCGGGCGTAGAAGGTTCTCTTAATAATACTTTACTTTCTGCCTATATATTTAAGAGATCCTTTCGTATATTAGAATTATATTATTACGTAATAAATACGGAGTTTAGAATACAGCTAAACATTATAATTCCTTTCTCGAATATTAGATATTATTTATAAAATTAAGATAATACGGACAAACTGCCAGAAATAGCAAAGGAACTATACAATTTATATTATATTTGCATCTGTATTATCGTAGAATAAATCTTTAATTTCGTTAAGAGAGGGTAGAAGATTGTGAGGGTTGCGCCTATTAAATACTCTATAAAGAAATAAGTCCAAATTATTTATGCGATAACCGGGCTTTATAATTTCATTATTACGCATTCGAGAAAGGAACCGAAGGTATTAATGTAAGTAGAGGAGAAGATAATAAAAGTAGTACGTCGGCGAACGAAATAATTAGTAAAGAGTATTCATTTTAATAATATCCGTTATAACGCGGCTTAATTAATAAATAAATAATAGTAATCGATTTATAGAGGGTACAGGAGGAGAGAGGAGGGGAGGGGAGAGGAGGAGAGATAGGGATTCTTGTATATAAAATCGAATTATTTGAACAAAATTATATAAAATCGAATAATCTATATAAATCGAATAATATATATAAATCGAATAATATATATAAAGATTTCTATATAAAATTAAGTATTTGATTTTACTTAAATTTTACTAATATTTTACTAGGATAAAAAAAAAAGGGTATTTACTTCTATAATTCTAATAAAATTATTAAATTTTTAATTTATACCCCTCTTTTTTAGATCCCTCTTTCTAAATCCCTCTTTTCCATCTATTTATATACGTACCCTTTATCGATTCGCTTAATTTCATTTATATTATCGCAATTAGCAGATTATTTATAACATAATTAATATATACTATTATCTCTAATTTGATTATCTTTTTAGTAAAGCGCGTTTGTAAATTATTAATAGTAATATTAATATTAATTGTACTAGGAAGTTTAGGAATTTGCAATAAGGCCGTTACCTTCTTTATCGAATTTCCCAATATTGCTATATTAAACTTCTTCTTACCTCCTCCTCCTCCCTCGATATTTATAAATGTAATGGCTTAATTAATTAAAATCTTATTTAGATTAGTAACGAAACGGTATTTCTATACTTAATTTATCGCTAGTGTAATAATAGCAGCGGCGGCAACGGTACGCCTTCTCGAAATCGTTATAGATAATTTAAATTTATTAGTATCCTTTTCTTTATTGCTTTTATTAAATTTCTTTCCGCCAATATTTTACTTATCCTTCCCTACCTCTTCCCCTACCTCTACATTATCGAATAAATTATTATCGTTTACATCTTCCTTAAAAGTTTAATTAAAATTGGTATTAAATATATCCTCTTATTATATTTTACTAGTTTTAATAATATTGTATCCCGTCCTATTTGCCTTAAAGAAAACTTATTTATATATATCGATATTACTAAGAGGCTAGCGGCGGACCTAATCGACTTTATATGTTTTAATAATATAGTATTTAACGAAAGACTCCTAGTACTTATTTGAAATAATAGGTAATTAAATATTAAAGTCTAGGTTAATATTAGAGTACTTAGAGAAGAGGCTCTATTATATTCTATATCGATGTATTTCGACCTTCTACTTACCGTTAATATATTTAAAATCCTAATGATACCCCGGCTATATTTTAATATATATTTCGATAAAGTAATCTTATACGTCCCTATAATCTTTAATATAGGTATTATTAAATTACCCTTTAATCCTACAATATAGTAGCTATTCTATAAAGGTAGTAGTGGTTCTAAGAGTGAACTTTATAAATTTAATACTATCGAATATAAGCGTAACCTTCTTTACTAGAGCTCTAGGTTTTTTAAGCGCCGTCTTATTCACTAGTTTAATTAGTACCTTCCGCTTTGCCTTAATTATAAGTTAGGCTAATAAAAGAGTACTTTATATAGTAGTAACTTAGCTAGTGGAAGGATTAGGTGCCAGTTCCTAGATTAATTGGTTTAGTATAATAATTAGGGAGGGGAAGGAAGGCGGCTAGTCATTATTATGGCTAGCGGGCATTGGGTTATTAAAAATATTCTAGATAGGCTCTAACAATAGGTCGTCTTCTATTAAACCTAAAGTTAGGGGTTGGGTATAGAGCTAGAATAAGTCAATACCCTCTATAGTATTGAGAGGCTCTATGAGGTCTTGGGAATTTATAATATCTAGTTATTTAGTCGATTGCTAGTATTATTTACTTCCTTTATAATATTACGAGTTACAACGACGACGAGCAATAAGGTCAACCCCTCTTTCTAAAAGCAGTATAGATTCCTAGGCATTAACTATATTAAAAAGGGTTACTCCAGTGCTAATGCGGGTACCCTAGTTGACTCTAGTTCAAATACCCCTTAAAAAGTAGTATAATTACTAGCTCGCTTGGTTGTAGGGCACTAGATTATATTGAAATATCCATGTGCTCGATGCCAGCACATCCAGCCAATCAGGACCTAAATAAAAAAAACTTCATAACTTTATAGCACGATGTAGAGTAGCATGGCATCATGCGCCCCATCGTCGGTGTTCCTGACTGACAAAAGTCTCTCACTCATGCTCATACGGTAAGAAGTCGGCACAAGGATAACATGTGCACCACAAGATTGTTTCTGTCGTTCGTATAAATCTCGATCTCAGGATCATCATATCTTCGAGGTAAGCGAGTGTACATGCACACACGCACGTATATACGCATTTTGGTTGGGAAAAAACGTGGGGGAGAATACTTAGGCGGCCAAACATGACCCGGGGGGAAATAAATGTCCGGCAAACTTGGGTAGGCCGATGATATCCAGAATCCTACAACGAAACCGATCATGATACGTGGGATTATTATCATGAAGTGAGAGTAACAGGAGGGAGGGAAGACTAACGTACCTCCAAGAGGAAGGTAAGTAAAAAGGGGAAAACGACGCAGACAAGAACAAAGTTGTTACAGCAAAAATACTACACAGAGATCCTCCGATCTGAGTCTCCTAGAGGTCAGGTAGCAGAGGTCAGGTAGCCACGATCAGAAACGCTTCGCTGCCTCTACACTCTCTTCTCATCACTCCGACCCTACTGTGGCCCACTACTGAACGGACGTCAAAGGGCAAAAAAAACTCTTTTAACGCTCCTCAAATGACTACCTAGTAGCATTGATGACAAACTGGAACCTAAGTTCCAAAGTCACATCCAGGGTGCTCCTCCTTCCCATTTGGCGGCAGCCAGAAGGACAGCATAAAAAAGAGATAATCGCACCTTCCAAATATGAGTTGAAGGGTAATAAGGGAGTCGTACCTTCCATCTTCTGACTTCACATTATAGGTAAAGTCATAGAAAATGGAGCTACAGTAAGAGAGGGAAAAAAAAAAAGAAACAAAATACATACATAGTACAAAACCAGGGTGATTCGCCGGCCCGTCACTTGCTTGCTTACCTGGAGGTACCTAGGGAGAGCAGAATGGGATTCCACTAAGTTTGCTCAAGTGCCTACCTATGGTCGTATGTTGTTTAGTTATATCCGCGTCGTAGTCTCTCATGACAGTCGTGCTCCGATGTCAGCCCCCATCCGCTCCGCCGCCACACGTGGCGCAGTCTCTTTGTCCTGCGGGTCCAAATGGTGTGACATTATGATTGGTGGGTGGGTGAGTGTGGTGGGGATGTCACAACCATTTGGACCCGCAGGTACAAAGAGATACGCAAGGGCCATGCGTAGGTGGCTGAGTAAATGAGACTACCGCGTCGGACAATGCTTCAGACCTAATGTCCTTTCTTCGTATTAGGTGCTGATGTCTGATGTCTGTTGTCCGACGACTGCGCCGCCTTCGTCAAGTCGCTTGAAAAAATATAACGGGTAGCAATACAATACCATTGTGATGCATCTTGTGTGTATTCATCGTGGGAGTATAGGTAGGATATAGCAGGGTCTCTCTGTACGATGGTAAACAAAACAATTTAGGAGCTTAAGCCAGTCAGTTAGTTAGTGGCCTAGTTGACTTCCTTTCTCTCCTCACAGATAGATGCCTTGTACTTGGTAACCAACAACGGAGAAACCCTCATGTGTCTGTCTAACAGCGGGAGCAAATGCTAGAAAATACTTCATCAGACAATAGTGGAAAGCAAGTACGGTTCAGGGACAAAGTTGTACCATGCCATAGCTTGGGTTAGTTGTGGAAGATATATCAAAACCGAACATGTGTTCTTATTGTTTTTGGTTTCGTGTTTCGATTTCTAGTCACACCCCTATCTCGCGCCGTGAAGAATTGTGGTTGACAAGAAGAAAACATAGATAGGTAGGCAGCGTGGAGAGAAAGAGAGGATATGCAATATCAATCAACTTCTTACATGGTCGTCACCGGGGCGTCCGACCGATGATCTAAAACACAATTGACCTTCGATGGAAAACGAACGGGATCTCAAGTTCTACTAGGTCCATTCATATCCAATTCTTACAGCCGTACATGTTCAACGATTACAGAAAAAAAGTGATTGAGACCAAAACATATGAAATATTTAAACATCAGCCTTTGAAAGTAAAAAAGACAACCGAACCCTATATAAAAAAGTTACTACAAAGGCGCCTGGGCATGCTCCTCCTTTTTTCCTGCTGCCTCTCTATAATCGTGGACGGGTGGGTGGGTTGGCAGCGAGCCCTAGCCCGTCTTCTTCTTTAACAGCTCAATCAAACAACCGTAAAAGGGATATCATCTTCATCACATCTACTCCTCATCCTCGCTCTCCTCCTCCTGCGCCGCAGAGGCAGCAGCAGTCTTCTTCCTCTCAGCCGCCGTCCGCGCCCACTCCTGCGCCTTGGCGCTGACTCTCTCCCTGCTCTTCTTATCACCGTTCTTCTCCTCCCACTGGGCCCACCTCTTGAACCAAGCCTTAGCCTGGCGGGGCTTGAGGCCCTTGGCCTTACTACCGCGATCAAACAGGTCGCGGACGACGCCCTTGTCGGCGTCGGCCGCCGAGGTCTCGAGGTCGATGAACTGGTTCCACAGGTCGAACTTCTTGGGGTAGGTGGCCAGCAGGTTCTCGAAGAGGGTGCGGCCCTGCTCCTTGTCGCCGTTGGGCGAGCGGAACTCGAGCGCGGCGAACTTGGGCAGCAGGGCGAGGTACAGGTGCGTCTCCTTGCCGAGAACCTGGGTGGCGCGCTTGAGGAGAGCGCGGGCGCGGTCGGGCGAGTGCGCGGTGGTGTGCAGGAAGTGGGCGTAGTTGACCCAGACTTCGGGTGACTTGTAGCCGAACTCCTTAACGATCTTCTCAAAGAGGTCATCGGCTTCCTGTTGGAGAGAAATCAGGTTAGCGAATATGCAATCATAGGGGATTAGAGGGGGTGGAAGCTTACCTTGCGCTTGCCGGACTGGATGTAGATAGTGGCCAGACGCTCGTAGACCTCCTGCTTGTCGTTGTATGTGCAAGCCCGCTTGAACACCTCGTCAACGGTCTCCTCGTTGCCATAAGCAACCTCCAAGTTGAGGTAGGCAATCCAGACGTTCAACTTCTCAATCTCCTCCTTGATGTTGATCGTCTTGATAGCACGCTCGGCAACTTGTCTGGCAGTGGCCAAATCGCTCACCTGCATCTGGAAGGCCATGTAGGCGATCCACAGCTGGGAGGAGTCAGGCTGACCAAGAAGGAGACGCTCGTAGTCGCTGGCGGTTTGAGGTCCATTGACATCGAGCGAGGCAGTCTTATCGACCGTAATCTGAGGTTCGCGGCGAGCCTTCTTCTTCTTGGCCAAGGCCTCGAGATCAGCCGCAGAAGCGTCAGCCTTCTCGTCGGCGTCCAGAGAGGCAGACCAGTCGAAGCCACCGGCCTCAAGACCCTTGACGTCGGCGTCAGCCATCTCGACATCGCTGGCCTCATCCTCATCCTCGGAGTCGTCCTCGACGTTGTCGGTACCGGTGATTTGGACGGCACCGTCAGCATCGCTCATCTCCTCATCAGAGTCGTTGTCCTCACTGTCCTCGGCAGCCTCCTCATCAACGTCCATCTCATCCTCGTCATCCTGCTCGCCGAAGTAAGATGGCTTCAAGCCAAGGTTGATTCTCTTGGCAGTAACATCCACCTTCAGGACCTTGGCCTTGACCTTGTCACCTTCCTCATACAACTTGCGAGCATCCTTGACAGACTTGTCAGACATCTCGCTGCGATGGCACAGACCAGAGAGGTTGGCGGAGCCATCGATGTCGATGAAAGCACCGAATTCCTCGACCTTACGGACCCGACCAGTAATGGTCTGGCCTTCCTTGAGGTCGGAGATGGTGGTGAGGGGAACGTAGTCCTTGTCGACAACAGAAGGCTTCAAGCTTATCTCGATACGGCCGTTGGCAACAGAGATGATGCGGCCCTTAACGAGCTGATCAACCTGGAACTGCTCCTTCCAATACTTGAGGTAAGCATCAGAGAGGTTCTTGATCTGGACGAAGGCCGTAACATTGCCACCAAGAGTGACGAAGAGACCCTTGTCAGAGACGTTCTTCACGAAGCCACGGACAATCTCGCCAACTTCGAGCTTAGTGTTCTGGGTAATCTCCTTATCCTTGACAGGGAGAGAAGAGTTGAGAATGCGAGAAGGTCTGGTAGACAGACGTATCCTCTTATTGCTCTTGTCAACCTCTACGACAGCAACACGGACGATCTCGTTCTTGGCAAACTTGGCAGGGTTGGCCTCTTCGTAGTCATCAGCAAGATCAACCTTGTGTACGGGACCAGCCAGGCTCTCGCTAAGCTTGACAATGACCTGGCGCTCATCGATCTTGGTAACCTTGCCGACAAGGATGACATCCTGGGCGATCTTGTCCCAAGTCAACTCGTCCTCGGAACCAGGAGATCTGGCAGAGAGATCGAGGCGCTTGGACTCGGCATCCAGAGAGACGACGCGGACACGGAGGGCCGAGCCGATAGGGAAGTTCTTAGCAAGGTTGGTCAACAACGACACATCGTCGGAGGCCTCCATAGCATTGACTCTGCCGCGAACGGTGGGGGAAAGGTTGACCCAAAGGTGGCCTTGGCCAACATTGTTGACGAAGCCCACGTAGCTAGAACCAACCTTGAGGTTGTCGAAGGACAGCGGCTCGGAAGCGGCGCCCTCCTTGACATCGCTCGGCTTCGCGGACAGTTCAAGGACGGAATGGCTGGATCGGTGGGAGATAGGGAGGAAGCGGTGGTTGCGAGCGTCATGGACGCCCAACACGCGGACGGGGACGACCTGCTTGGGCTGGAATTTCTTCAAGGGCTGCTTGGTGTCCTTGATCTGCTCCCAGTTGTCGTACACCTGAGAAACATCGATACGACCCTGGATGTTATCAGCGAGCTGGACGTTGACCTGGGTGTCCTTGACCGACACAATGCGAGCCTTGGTCAGCTTGCCAATGGAAATATCATCCAAGGAGGTGATGGATTCATCCACGGGGTTAGCGAGCTTCTCGCCCTTGGTCTCGACCTTCTTAACCTGCTCCGCAGCGCCGGGGATAGCAACAACCAGGCGGTTGAGCTCGTTGTTGACGGAAGTGATCTTGACAGTAATAGACTGAGACTTGAACATGCCGAAGTCGGGCTTGTCCTGATCCTCCTTGGGAATCATAGACTTGGGAAGCAAGGCAGTCAACTTGCCACCGAACTGGACGAAGACAGCTGTAGCAGTGATGTTGCGAACGTAACCAGAAACCTCATCTCCGACGCGAGCACCATCGAGAGTAGTAAGGAACTTGCCTTCCTTGCTAGCCTTGACGAGGCTGGGCTTCTGGGAGAGAATAATGGAACGGCGAGCCTCGTTCTTTTCCAAGATCACCAACTCAGCAAGAGTCTGGTTGACGTGGATCTTCTTGAGGGCAGACTGAGTCTTGCTGACCGACTTATCCGTCAAGTGAGCAACGGGGAGGATGGCCTTGAGAGAGCTATCGGCAAGCTCAACGAAGACATCGTCGTCAGTCTTCTGCGTGACCTTGGCCGACACCACATCACCGATCTGAAGCTTCTTGAGGGCCAACTGCTTCTCAAGACCGAAGGCAGATGGGTCCTTGCAAGAAACAATAAGCTTGGCAGCGTCGGGGTCGAAGCTGATGACGTAGATGCTGACAGTCTGGCCAACGCGGAAGTGCTCCTTGGGGTCGTGGATGTAGGCCTCGCTCATCTCAGAGACTGGCAAGAAACCACGGAGCCTGCCGTAGAACTGCACAATCGCACCGTGTTGCAAGACGTTGATGATGGTACCGAGCGCCTGTTGGCCAACCGCAATCTGCTCATATGACTGGATGGCAGGAAGATCAGAGTTGACGAGCGTCTTCTTGAGAGTAAGGCGAATCTGGCGAGAGGCAGCATCAGTCGAGAGCACACGGGCCTTCACCTTCAGGCCTTCCCTGAACTTCTTCTCGGGGTTCTGAAGGTGAACATCGGCGAAGTGCATCTCAGGTACCAAGCCAGAGATACCATCAGCGATCTTGACGATAAGGCCACCAACACCGGCGGCGTTGACCACCATCTTCTCAACCACACCAGAAACAACAGCACCGACAGGAATGTCCTCGATGCGAAGGAATGGTTGCTCGAGAACAGTCTTCTCCAGGGAAATGAGATACATGCCGTCGAAGGCGTTGTAACCAACAACTCTACCAGCGTGAACAGATCCCACCTTATAAGGACCGCTGTTCTCGAAGAGAGCATCAACCTTGCCATCCTTGACACGGGAAATGTGCACGAAGCCAGACACGCCCTCGACACCGACATCAACGTAGAGACCAATTTCGGGCTCAACCTGCTTGACCGTGCACTTCTCCACGATTGTTGAGTGAGGAAGAGCCTGCAATGGCACAACTGGTTGGTCGTCCTTGGAAGCGGTCTTTGGCTTCAACGATGTGACGTGTTTTAGTACGGAGATACCCAGCTTGGGGTTCTTTGCAGTAGGGAAATTGCAGATGACTCTGGCCTTTAGGCGATCGCCAATCTTGTATGTGTCTTCGAGATCAACGCCGTCGGGGCCAGCACCAGAGTGAACCAGATCAGCGGTGACATCCAGCGATCCCATAATCTTGCCAACAATTCCGTGGTTGGAAACCTCGGACACGAGCACGTCGGCGGCAGTACCGGGAAGGAATGTGTCGATAGTGGTAGCAGCCGAAGGGACGTTCTCAACGTTGCCAATGGTTTCACCCAATGTGGACAACTGAACGACCTTGCCCTTGGCGTTCTTGGTGACGATGCAGAGGAGGACGGCACCTGGCTGCAGGGCCTCCTGGGGGATGCTCTTGTCGACCTGCTTGCGAGCAAGGAAACCTTGCAACTTGGAATCGGCGATCTCGATGTCCATGACATAACCGTGGTCCTCGACACTGGCAATGGCGGCCATAACTGTGCTGTTCACAACGACGTCTTGCTCCGCCATACCGGTGTTGGCGAGAGAAGGCTGAAGAGAGAGTTCGATATGGCGCTTGGCCTTTCCAGGGGTGTGTGTAGAAGCCTCGTCGACCGTGGATACGACGTAAGCGCGCACATACTGGCCGATCTGGAAGATGGATTCGAGGTCAACGTCGTTATCGTTCTCGTCGTCCGACTCTTCGGCGTCGTCGTTGCCGGCGCTGGCCTCCAGGCGTTTTGTGAGGGGGGCGGAAATCGCAGTAATGGGGACATGGCCGATAATATTATTAGGTAAAGCAACGGCGATGTCGAGGGGGTTGATGGCACAAACGGAACCGAGGACCAAGGAGCCCTTGACCAGACGCTGCGAACAGTTAGTACTTGGACCAGACTCAGACTGAATCCCACGAGTGTTCCGGCGCATACCTTGAAGTTGAGACTTTCGACCTTAACGGCGTCCTCATCGGGCTTCGCGGGTGTGTCGTCGCCCTTTGACCTCTTCTTGGACTTCTTCTGCTTGCCCTCCTTCTCAGTCTTCTTGGTGGCAGCCTTGGCGGACTGCTCCTCGAACAGGGCGTCGCTCTTGGCCTGGACTTGGATTTGCTTGTATTCGAGAGGTGTCAGAACGCTGGCGCCGCCTCTGGGGAACATGGGCTCCTCTTCCTTGAGCAGCGTAGAGTTGGCCGGGGCCGAGGGAGCAGGAGGAGCGGGCTTGTCGGACTTGGGGACCGGTTTGTTGCCCTGCTTGCCCGTCTTTGCGCCCGCCTTGTTGCCGGCATCGTTGGACTTTGGCCGCTTCGACGGTCTCGATTCGGAGGCTGGTTGTGTTGATTTGTTGACCGGGGCGCCGCCCGGGCCTTCCTTGCGCTTTTGCGCACCCATGATGAACTGATGGGTATAAAGAAAGGATGGATGGATGTGTTGGAGTTGCAATTGGAGAGATATCCGCACTGGATCCCTCGTCCCTTTGCCCGCCTTCACACTTCAGAATCGACAGCACTGACAAAAACTGACCCAGGCCGCTTCCACTGTCCGCTGCCGAAAATTTTTGGTGGGTCCGTCGTCGTTCACCGTGGCCCGATAACGATAAGGAATGCGGTGAGCAACGGCTGCCATTCTGCCATCTCTACGGCGTGCATGTCCACTGGCATTGGGGTCGTTGGGGTTCTGGAGTCTTGCGGGGTTGCCCCGTCGCGCCTGTCCACGAGTGCCACGGCATCAGCTGACAGGACGTTGTTACATTGGCCGGGTACCTTTTGCACAGCGGGTCAGCCGCATGCGTTGCAGGGAAGGTTAGGTACAGTACAGTACGGTACTGCAGGCCGTTCGGTTGTTAAGAAACTGCAATCGAGGGTTATTGGATCATTGCGAGGTATAGCTGTTCAAGACGTGTGACGACTACACGTCCTTAAATGCCATGTTCGTACAGGATTGGAATATTCTTCAGGCTGATGGAAGATAGTCGTCGGGTTCACGTGGTTCAGTCTAGGTACCTCTTTGGTTCCCTGGACTGTGCGCTACCTGGCAAATGACGTACATGCATCCGAGCTGGAGCCTTTGAATAATGGATGAAAGCGCTCCCTCCCCGGTGACCGTCTAAGTAGAAGTACACCCGGAACATCGGATTGTAGCCTGAGCGGTGCCTCGTCTTGTCAACTTGTCCCTGTCGGCGCCACGCAACACTTGTCGCATTCCCATTTTCCATCATTTCGACTCGACAACTCAACAAAACAACCGGCAATGCGGCCCAAGTTCGCCCTATAATCTTAGAGGTATCCGTTGTTGACCTTGCTCGCCATGGTCTTCACCATGGGTCCTCGAAAGAAGGCGAAGCCAAACCCTCCGACCGAGACGGCGGAATCCTCAACGCCCACATCCGATATGCCGCCGAAATCGTCCTCAAGTCTGGCAGCCTCTATATGGCGTTCAAAAGCCGTTCCAACGCCGACCGCTTCGAACTCAGCTTCGACCACAACCTCGACACCCGATAAGACTCCCTCAACATCCCAACCTAATGCGGCCGCAGATACAACATCCATCTCGAGCAAGCGAGCGTTGAAAGAGGTAGCCTATTCCTCTTCTGTTAGTGTTACACACGATGCTAACAGACTCCCAGCCCCATAAAGCTCAAAGTTGGTACGGCTCATGGCCACGCAAATCGACACCCTCGACACAAGTCGCCCGTGAAACAATAATGGGCGGGACACTCAAACCGAAAAAGCGAGCAGACTTTAGCCGTTTTGATACAGAAAGGAGTACCGACAGTGTCAGTCTCGACGGTGCAGCTTCATCTTCGTCTCTCCCAAACATGTCACGATCCGAGAACCTTGATGATAGGGGATCCACAGGCGGTGAGGTACCAAAGCCGGGGCAGGCAGTGGACGATAACGCTGCCAAGACCGACCAAGTCGCTGTTAGTACCACTGGCAGCAATGAAGCCGAGGATCGCCCATCACAAGACACCGAACAACAACAACAACCGATGCCAGATACAAATGGTACACAACAGCCTGCGGAGTCACAGTCTACTACCACAGAACCACAGTCGGGAGAAGCTGCTTCCTCCAGCTGGCTAGGGTGGCTGGGTCAGTCTGCATATTACTATTATCCAGTGTTAACTGCCTCCGCCCCGGCTATGCCAAAGCCCAGCGAACTCAAGTCCAACGAGAGCGAACCTGAAGTACCTGAACCCCCCAAACCGACCGACGAACCCTCAAACAACATGCCGTCAGACGGAGATCCGCCAAAGGCCCCAGATGCCCAGAAGCCTACGTCACAAGCTGCAACTCAAGAAAAGCCGACTTATAGTTACGGAAGTTATTTATTTGGGTTCTGGTCAGGGAGTGGGACAGCAGAAACAAAACAGACAGATTCAACAGCATCGACGGGGGAGCCACAACAGGAAACAACAAATCAGCCGCCAAAGGATTCTGAGGATGTTGAGATGCAGGATGCGCCTCCAGTAGAGGAGGCTAAGCCGGCCCCAGCACAACAACCAAGATCAGGGTCTACTTGGGCGTTCTGGTACCGTGACTCAGGGTCGACGTCAAATAAGAAAGATGGCCAGAAAGAGGAATCTGGCCAGCTGGCTGTGATGGGGGAAAGTTCCGAGTCCCAACCGAAGAACGCAAATGCGACCGAGCCGGAGACAGAGCCAGCCAAAGAGCCATCACTAAAGTCGGTAAAGAAAGACGACCAACCTAGAGCGGCCACACCTTCATTAAAAGAAAGCTCGTCGAATAAGGGCAAACGGGCAAGACCGCAATCCATGGTCGACGAGCCCATTTCCCGCCCTGATACACCCAAGGTTGAGCCTATTGCAAAGGCTGAAGGAACACCCAAAGCTGGAACTTCCAAGAGTTCGAGTTCGATCAAACTGCCGCCTCCCAACCTTGTCCTCCCATCATTCCACAATGTGTACCGCATGAAAGAGAACCCTTCTATTGTCAGACAGATTAAAAATTACCTACTACGAACGCAACAACCGGCGCCCAAGCATGTGAACCTGGCCAGGGAGCCGCCAAAGATCAAAAAAGCCATAGCGTTTGGAGTACACGGGCTGATCCCCACATACTATTTGCGTCCGTTAACAGGACAGCCGACGGGAACATCGATAAAATTTGCAAACCACGGCGCTGAAGCGATTAGAAGATGGGCCGAGAGTCACGGCTGTGGGGATTGCGAAATTGAGAAGGTCGCCCTGGAGGGAGAAGGCAAGATCGATGAGCGTGTGGAAAATCTCTGGAAGCTTCTCTTGAACTGGATTGACAAGATCCGCCAAGCGGACGTCGTGATCCTAGCATGCCATTCTCAGGGAGTTCCCGTAAGCATCATGCTGTTGGCAAAACTGTATGAACTGGGTGTTATCTCTCCAACAGCAAAGGTCGGTGTTTGCGCGATGGCGGGTGTGTCTCTCGGCCCATTCCCGGATTACAAGACGGGACTAGAGATCATCATGGGATCTGCAGCCGAGCTATGGGAGTTCGGAGATCCGCAAAGGGAGGTATCCAAGAAGCTTGAAGCGGCTGTCAAGGCAGTATTGAGCTACGGGGCTCGAATCACTTATATCGGCAGCATCGACGACCAGCTTGTTCCCTTCGAATCTGCCATATACGCTCCCGCTCATCACCCGTACATCTACCGGGCCGTATTCATCGACGGTCGCATCCATGCTCCTGACTTGTAAGTGACCCTCTATACACAAACCAACTGTGCTTTACTAACACGGGTAATTCCCAGCATCGCTCACCTGGTCGGTTTCGTACTGAAACTACGAAACCTTGGCGTCACAGACCACGGGCTCATCCGTGAGCTCTCCGTCCCTCTGGCTGGCAGCTTATACACAGGCGATGGCCACTCTCGTCTTTACGACGATGAGCAAGTCTATGAGTACGTCAGCCCCTACCTCCCTCCTCACCTTTTCCCTCTACATTCCCCCTTCCCACTTTCCCTCCCTCCACCCACCCATAACCGCCTAACTAACCCACCTTTCCCAACCAGCCTAGCAATCTCCCACGCCCTAGAAACAACCGACATCAGCCCTTCTCCCACCCGTCCCAACAGCAAATCCCCCATTCCCTGCGACATGGCCACCCGCCAACCCGGTACCCTCTCCAACCCGAACCCGTACCACCTGCCCTGGATCATGCGCGGCCTGCTGGAGGAGGACTTTGTCAAGTCGGAGCTGTCGAACGAAGTGGAGGAATTACTGAAACAGTTTGACGATTGGAAGCCGACGACTAAGGCCCTGAAGGATGTTAAGTATCGGTTGGAGGCTGTTAGGTCGAAGCTTTGAGGGGTGGTGTGGTTGGTGAGGCGTGCTTGATGGGTGATTTGAAGGACACATGGTGGTTGTGGCGGTTGGAGTCTGTTAGCGATGGGTTACTTGCGTTACATACATGAGAGGTGTTTTGGGGTGTTTGATGCTTTTGATTTCTCGGGGCGCTGGGAGTTGGTATACAAGGATGGGGCAACATCACATTTACATGTCCTCGGTATATGTACACGCATTCTAATGAGGAGTTGAGAGGGTGGTAGCGTTGCTTCTGTTCGCGGTGGGATGATGTTTGGGATACTTTTGCTTGGTTTATACTTGCACTTTGGTGGCTGAGATCATATATACGAACGTGTAACATAGACCCAATAGAATAAGAGACCAATAACGGAAACCCCTCGACTGTGGAAATGACAGAAAAGAATACCACCGTAATTTGGATGCTTAGCAAGTATAGCACATTACGAGTTTTGACTTTATATATTCAGAAATCTTGCTATAGTACAGTTTGATATGTTTGGTAAATTGTATACAGGCATCTCGTACAACTCACCAAGAAAGAGTTGTGATTGTACAGAACAACCAACCATCTAGCCTCTTTGCCTCTATATCACAGTCCACCGCCAGGATGCTCAATGGTTACCTAAAACGCCTTTTATCGTTCGTTCCGACATGCGTTTCGTTAACCGAATACCGACTGCTCCTCCTACAAACTTCTCCACGCCCAGTTTTTATTTAGTCATCAAGTTCCTAGCAGACTTTTACCGTCTGCCAAGCTTCCACTGAGCAATCGTATCCTGGATCTGGTCCCATCCCAGCTCCGTAGTCTTGAGCCCTTGCACCGTCGCCTCCTGCAGCACCACCGTTGGGGCACCGCTTCCCTGGCCGGCATTATTCACCATGCCACCAACCACGCGCTTGGCGACCCTTCGGAGGTCCTTGACCGTCAGCTCGTTGATGCGGCGCGTCATCTCGCGGACCGGAATCTTGCGGCCGTGGACCTGGACCTGGCGGCCCAGATCCTCGAGCTCGACCATGCGGCTCTCGAGGTTCATCAGCAGGCTGCTGCGGAGCTGGTTCTTGGCGCGCGAAACCTCGATCTCGCCCAGGGCCGAGTACCCGTGGTCCGTCGTGAGGGCGTGCAGCTCGCGGCACATGACCTGGAGCATGGGCAGGGTGCGGCCGGGGTAGCACGAGGCGGCGATGCCGAAGAGACCGGAATCCGTGTACGAGTGGTTGAAGGCCACGCAGGACTCGACCCAGCCGTGCTGGTTGAGCACGTTGGTGTAGAGGCGCGAGTACATGCCCTTGCCGGGACCGCCAGCGGAGAAGGAGCCGCCGCCGCCGAGGAGGGTCTGCAGAGTGGCGAGGGCGTAGATGTCGTCGTCCGAGATGGCGAGGCCCTCGAAGGCGAGCTGGATGTGGGTGAAGGTGGGAAGATTGGGGTTGAGCGGTGGAGGCTGTGGTGGGAGGGTGAGGAAACCGCCGGTGTAGTGAGCGGGTCGGGTCAAGTCCTCGGTGCTGATAGGTACCCGGGTGAGGAAGGGGTTGGGGGTGGCCTTCTTGGCCTTGGGAGAGAAAAGCTTGGAGAGCAGCCCACCGCTCGACTCGGAAGAGTCCGGAGGGGATGAAGATTCACTCGAGGCCTCGCTGGACTCGGACGCTAGCGAGTCGAGAGAGGTTTCGGAACCTGTCCTCGAGAGAGCATCAGAGGCCTTCATATCACCGAAATACTTCTCGGCGAGCTTGACGGCCTTCTCATGAGGAACACCAGCAAAGGCAACGACAATGCGATCGGGTCTGTAGAAAGCGTCGCGGTAAGTTTGGATGACATCCCTGTTGATGTAATCTAACCTCTCCTTGGGGCAAAGCAACGGGTTGCCGAGAGTGTTGTCCTTGAAGGCAGCCATATGCACCAGCTCGGGCAGAATCAGTTCGGCCTTGGACCAAATCTCGTTGACCTCATATTGCGCCGTCATGATCTGTCCCTCAAGCTCCTCGTCCGTAAGCTTGGGATCGCGGATGGTGTCGGCCATGAGCTCAACCGCGGTGGGAATAGCCTTGTTGAAGGTAGCCGCCTGGTACATCATGGACTCGCGCGACGAGGCGCACTGAATGTTACCGCCGAGCTTCTCAACCGTCTCGAGCATCTCGTCGGCAGTCCTCGTACTTGTGGACTTGAAGGCTAACCGGTCCATGATGTGACTGGCACCCCGAACATAGTCGTTCTCGTATCGGGACCCCGCATCGATGTAGACACCCACGCCGGAGAAGGCATCGGGAAGGTCCTCGGAAGCGACACGGACGCCATTGGAGAGAGTGGTGATGTTGTCGCGTTCGGTCGGTTCCTGGAGGCATAGTCAGCATGCATCATCATGGCCAATTTTCAGAACTTGGAGCGTACCTTGGTGTTGACAGCGGCGGCTCTCGTAGCCAAAGTCCTAATTGCCAAAGTGCTAACAGGCAAGGGACCTGCCCGCGCCCTCGTCAAGGGCGAGCATCTGGAGGATTGGGCTACTAGCCGCGCTGGCCGGAAGCGATTCAGCATGGCTGCAACAGTTGTGATGCGGCAGCGTGATGTGGGTGGTCTACCTCGTCCGGTATAATGTCATTGCTCAACCGCGACTTCTGGGCACTTGGATGCAAATGCTGCCGTGCCGCCAGTGGCCACTCAGTGTTGCCGCCAGTGAAAATGCGGCAGGGCACCAGCCCACCAGGCAGCTTGCCAGCACCAGGGCAGCGACGGGGAGGCACCCCACTTGATCGGCCCAGCGTCAATGCGCAGGTTCCGGGCATTCAGAACTTCAATCCACTCTGCCCCACAACCCATCCTGGCTCCCCTGCAAAGGCGCCTTATCGATTGCCAAGGCTGCCCATGTCCACATGCGAGATGGCCCACAGCGCGGGACTTGGCACGCAAGCACTTTGGCTTCCGGTCTTTGCTCAGCTGAGCACTGTGGCACTCTTTTTGGAGGTTGCGGTTGCTGCCGCGTGAGTGCGAAAATGGAAAGAGTTACACTCGAGGGTTTCATGGAGGTTTTAATGGTCAACCTGGGAGAAGATTGTCCGGAAGCAGCCGCTCGCCGGTAAATGCCATGAGTGGGTGCCTTCTTCAGATGAGAAGGAGACTCGCATGTCGACAACATGGCAGACAGCGGACAACGTGCAGCAGTGTACCTACACAGATATCTACAGCCTCATGGTCTGAGGATTCGTGATATGTAAAGATAAGATGAGTACCTGTAGTGTATAGGGGCACCTGAGGTGTCATATCCAATGTGCACCTGGCCTCATATAGCAACATAGCCGCATGGGGAAAGGTCGATTGTGCTTTTTCCAATCCATGCCTCATCTCCCACGCCAGACTCCTGCAGCAAGGAGCATTCATCAGCATCTAGGGAGGCAGCTGAACCACACAAGTCAGCACCCAGGGCGATATCAAGGGCATCATCGGCATCATGGACATCATGTATGGACAACGGTCGCATGTGGATGGATGGTCCGAGGGCCTCGTAGTGACGACGTGACGGGCACACGGCGCACCCACCCCCCATCCATCCATCTACGGTACCATGCCCATTTCCACTTTGGACCGCTTGTCTGCTCTGGGGTCTCTGGCTTGGTCGGCACAGCTCGACAGGCACGACATGATGTGAGGCCTTGAGAATCGCCCAGGGACTGGCAGAGGACCCCCATCAGAGCCACCAGAGGGGGACCCCCTTGGGCCTTGGAACCTGGCTTGCCTGGGCTAGACTCCTGGTCAACTTTCCAGGTTGTTTGCGGTGGTGGATGGATGGTAGGTACGGATAACGGCTCTCTTTAGAAGAAAAAAACATTAACAGTACAAAGTTGCTTGACTTTGACAGGTCCTGACCTATTAACCTCTCCATATCTCTTTTTTTACAAATCTACCGCCGCCTCGCTGTTATTTCTTTTCTCTCCTTTTCCAATCTCTGACTCGGGATAGTATTCTTCAGTCCGCCCAACCTCTTGGTTCCTTCTGTTTGTTTATAATTACCCCCTTGTTCCTGCCTCTACCGCTGGTCGAGTCGTATACCTACATCGGATCTGATACAAATCGATCCATCTGCCTGCAGCTGTCACCGGCACCTTCCTCTAAATACCCTCCTACCGACCTTACATGTTACTTCTAGAGGGATGACAGTGTTCACCCACTCGACCCCAGCGCCCTTTCCGGGCTTTGGGAGTGACCCGGTCGCTTCTTCGCCAGGTGTTGCTGCCTCACCCACGTCCGCCGCCGCTGCCACTGGAAGCTCGGGGTCAACGTCGAGAACAAGCCGACTGCGCGGGCTGAGTTACCTCCGGAATTATACCCAGACTCACATCCTGTCGCGGGATCACTCTTCGCACAACACGACGGCGCCCAACTCGCCTGTCAACGCCTCGGGACATCACTCCGTGACCTTACACACCGACACCACCCACCAATCCGCCGCCAACCCGCAAGTCTCCAACTCGTCAAGCGGCACGGTCAGCAGCACCACCTCTGCTGGCCCTGGTTCGGGCCCCGAAGCCCCCACAGCCACAGCACCAGCGTCCGGTGTAAAAGCTGCCGCTAACAACAACAATAACACCGCCATCCCCAGCGCAAACAACGGCCGCACCCATCGCCAGAATTCCTCCTCTCTCTCCGCCATCCATATCCCCTTCATTTCCCGCGGCCACAGCGACCCTGCGCGCCTGTCCGGACATTCGCCTTCGCTCTCGACCAACGACGCGACCGTAAATCCCAACCACTCGGCCTCTGTGCGGCCCAATCGAACGCCCTTTTCTCTTCTTCCGCACCGTTCCCACTCCATCTCCCTCACCGACGGCATCGCTTCTGCGTCTCTGGAGTCGCCTACTACCACCACGCCGACGACATCAGTACCTCGAGGGACAACCTCAGCCGGACCCTTATCCCCTCAACTCTCGGATGACAACGGCATTCGGGTGGCTGCAGACACTTTCGATAGCAACAGCTCCTCTTCGGATAACATTAATAATCACAATAACGCGCCCATCATGACTAGGGCTCGATCCGCGACTACAAGCGACGTTGCGAGCAGGGCTGAAACCGGTGGAAGCATGGAGCCACTTCCTTCGATACGTTTTAGCATCTTCTACGATCCTCGGGCAACACGCCCGTCGCTTACCTTCTCTCCGATCTCACGCACTCTACCAACCGGAAAAGAAGTCATTCGCGTCGGCAGATATTCCGAAAGAGATAAACCTTCAGCGGTTCCGCATAATGTGCCCTCGGCAGCGCCCGTAGGATTTAAAAGCAAGGTCGTTAGTAGGCGGCATTGCGAGTTCTGGTATGAAGACGGAAAGTGGTTCATCAAAGACGTCAAAAGCAGTAGCGGAACCTTCCTCAACCATATACGCCTTAGTCCTCCAGGGACCGAATCCAAGCCCTTCCCCGTCAATGATGGCGATATCGTACAGTTGGGAATCGACTTCAAGGGAGGCGAGGAAATGATATTCCGCTGTGTTAAAATGAGGCTCGAGCTAAATCGTGGCTGGCAGGCCAAACTCAACGCCTTCAAGTTAGTATTCCACCGCTTGCCGTCTTGTCCTACGCTGCAGGCTCTTTGACCTGTCGTGCGTTCTCTTTGACATATCAGCTGACTCTCTCGCAGTATGAACACGCACAAGAGGCTTAGAAACATGACAGCCCAAAGTTCTGCGAATGGCGCTTCCCAGTCATATTCGCAAGACTGCTCGATCTGTCTTAATAGTATAGGGGTTAGTAACCCACAACCTTTCATCCCATCAACTATTTCATCTTGCTCTGGTGACTAATCAAACCTTCGGATGACAGCCCTGCCAGTCTCTGTTTGTTGCCCCCTGCTCGCATACATGGCACTACAAGTGCATCCGATCATTATTGTCATCGCCATCTTATCCTCAATTTATATGCCCGAACTGCCGTGCCGCTGCCGATCTTGAGGCTGAAGTTGACGACCCGGAGGATTGGGAGGCACTGGAGGCGGATGAACAGATGGAAGACGCCGTATACGTTCAGGATGGAAGTCAAGCCAGCTCCAACGACGCTCAAGCTCGACCGGTAGCGGCCACGCCGATTCACCAGCACGAAACAGACGCTAGCGGCGACGTAACGATGCTGTATTCGAACCCGCAACAGCCCGCCGTATCTAATCCCTTCGACGGGACTAGCCGCCCCGTGGTCTCGCATAACTCAACGTCGCAGCCAGTGCCCATTCGGCAGAGCCCAGCTGCAGTCAACGGTCAAGCAGATGAAATTCGTCGAGATGCCGCCAGGACTCCGTCGCCCACTGGAATCGCCCACGTTGTCAGCACTCACGAGGGTCCGATCACACCACGTAACGACGTTGGGCCTTGGGTCTTTGATGGCGGCAGCACCACACGTACGCGAGCCAACGGAGAACCCGACAGTGCTTCGAGACTAGCCAGTCTCGAAGCCGCAGTAGCAGGTGCTCACATCACTGGGGCTCCTGGGAGTACATAGCCTCTGTTCCTGTCCCCAGTGATTCTAGTGTACATCAGCCCCCTTTTGCATGGGCTAGTACGGTCTATTACGGGCTACAGTCTACGATCAACTCATCAGCTATCCAGCACCTGAACCACGACGGGCCCCTTTTTGCATGGGCTAGTACGGTGGTCTAAGGTCTGCGGTCTACAATCAACTCAGCTATCCACCAGGTTACCCACGGTGACACTCTGGTTAGCGTTTACTGCATGGGGCGTTATTTGTTCTTCACCATCTCTCCTTCGTCGGTCATGGTGGATTAATTTTTTCTTATACTATATGCTGTCAGTTGGGTCTTTGTCGATAAGGAGTATGGACGCTGGCATCTAATGGAGTTGCGAGGTCTTTGTTGATCTGGGAAGTCAAAGGAGGAGGAAGTGTTTGCAAGTTGTCTGTCACATACGACGACACGGGGCATTTGTCACAAGCGACAAGTTAAAAACCATTGCCCGGTGCTCGATCTCTGCTTTGAACCTTACAAGAGGAAAAAGGCCAGAACACAACAGCTATCCAGGTCAGGCAGGAGAGAGGCAACGTCGTTGAGTCGGGAAGGGAGGAGAGTATAGAGGAAGAAACGATTACATATGTTAGTGGGAGGGGAGGATAAGTTGATAGTATGTAGACAGCATCATCATTGTCTGTGTCTTGAGGAGTTTGTTGTGGGGGAAAAGAAAGGCTTGATTCATTTTCTCGGATAGTGCGATCACGGGTTTGGGCTGGCATAGTTATTTACTGTCAGACCTACACATAGCGATATTGATCATGGCGAAATAATGGGGCATAGCGATACGAGTTTACTTGGCCGCCAGATAATATACGTGCCGGAGTCTTGTTGATTGAAGTTTCGGCTGCGTATTGATACCACGCTCAAGAATGAACCTCACATCGATGAGTGACATAGAAGACATATTTAGGAAAGGTCTTCCTGGTGATGTTTGTTCACTTCAACATGAAGTCCCCTGATCAACAGTCATACCACGTATATTCGCATCATATGAAAATTTCAAAACGCAAAATGCCATAACGAAGTCATAACTCATACCCATCCATCCACCAACCAACCCAACCCAACCCAACCCACCTCACCTCCTAAAAACACTCCCACCCAACCGTTCAATCTCCCTCCCCTCCTGCGTGCCCCTACCCGCCTCCTCCAACAACCTCGCCCAAGCTTCCGCATCCCTGTACTTGACCGCCTCCTCAGCGGCCTTCACCCGCATCCCGCACTTCTCGTACATGCCGATCGTCGCGCCCGGTTCCAGTCCTCCAGCAGATGCGCACTTGGGGATAAAGGTAGCGGCTAGTCGCTGGTTACCCGCCTGCAGGACTTGGGTGTAGAAGGGTTCCCACCCGATCGGGGATTTCCGGTTTTTGGAAGAGAGGTCTTCGATTTCGGACCAGTCGCGTTTGGAGACTAGGGCTTGGAGACTGTTTTTTTTTTCCGCTATTAGTATAGTAATAGGGGGGCGAGGGGGGGAGGAGAGACAGAAAAAAAAAACATACCGAATCCACCAAGCAATCTTCTCAGTCACCTTAAACTCGCTCTGCACCTTCTTCGCCCTGCCATGGTATCCCAATCTAATCAGCTTGAAGACGGTCTGGTTGACCGACAAGCCCGTGAACGTCTCCGGGTGCAAGTCGCGATCAAACGCCTCCTGCATCCTCAGCAGCGTCGTCGCTTCTTTTAGGGCAGACAGCTCAAACGCGTTTTCTTTGGCGTTGTCCGCCAGCAACTTGGCTGCTAGCGCGAGCTTGTCCGCTGCCGTCCTGGCTTCTGGTTGGCGTAGAGCCTCGCGCACGAACACGTCGGACCCGTCGACGCGTCGGTCGTCTTGGTAGTAGAGGTCTTTGAGGAGGGCGGTGTCTTCGCACGTGGTGCTGCCGCTTCCACTTTGGCTGTAGTTATGGCTGGCAGCATGGGCATGATGGTCCTCATCAACGTTACCGAGCACGACACCACCGCCGAGTCGCGCCGACGCCTCCACCAGCGCCGTGGCCGTCGGCCGGCTGCTGATGACCCGGAAGAAGGTCGCCAAAGGCAGCTTGCGCTTGAGCTGGTGCAGCACAAAATAGACGAGGTCGGTGTCGCCGGACTCGATGGCCTTGTCCAGGGCTACTTCGTCTTCTTCCATGCTAAGCAGCAGCGGTACCTGTCGGCCTGCGCGCGGCTCGTGGTTGAGCAGTTCGGTCGCCAGACGGCCGCGGCCTTCGTCGTAGGCGGCCCGGGCGATGGCTTCAAAGGAGATTCCCGGTTTGCCGGACAGCTTGTCGACGATCTTGCGGCAGATGGTGTCGTCGTCTTCGGCGCCGACGCGCACTTTGGCCGAGGCCCAGTGCACGTAGATCTTGTCGGTGGGGAGGCGGAGGTAGCCGGCGATCTTGAGGGCGAGGAGGTATTCGCGGCGGTTGAGCAGACGGGCGATTAAACCCGAGGGGGAAAGGCGCTGGTATTGCTCGTAGGATAGGGGGAGGCCGATCTCGAAGAAGCGCACGGCGTTGAGCACGCGGAGGGTCTCGCACATGTCGACGAAGTCGTCGCTGTTGTAGATGTCGAGGACGGACTTGCCGAAGGAGGCGGCCTTGAGGAGCTGTTTTTGCCAGTGGATGCTGAATTCCTGGCCGGCGGCGTTGACGCAGGTGTCGACGGCTTCGACGAGGTTGGAGCGGATGAGCTGGATGTTGTCGTCGGCCTTTGGTGACTGCATCTCCAGCTGTTCGACGGCGTCTAGCAAGATGGATGAGGGCGAGTCGGTACCCAGATGAAAGACCTCTTCGATGACGTCGGGGACTTTTTGCAGGAAATCGCAAGTGTCGTTGGCAAGAACACGGACGCCGTCGAAGTCGGGGAGGATATGGATCCGGCCATTGTCATAATAGAACCTGGCTAGTGAACCCCCTGGGCCAACGAGTCGAACTTCATCCTCCCAGGCGATGACGACGGCATCGTTGCCGCACCATTCGAAGTATTGTGGCGGGATCTTGGATTTGGACACGTATTCGCTCAGGCGAGTCTGGAAGTCGCTGCTAATGACATGAGCCTTCCCGGTTGTTGTGTACAAGGCAACAAACTTGCCATTCGGCGAGATGCTGATATGTGAAAAGGGCCCGATATCGATGAAGCGGTCTTCGCATTCGCTTGCGTCGGAGACGTAGATTGTTTGACCGATGCTCAGCAAAACCTCAACGGATCTGGACAAGGTGTAAGCAGGCGGTACGAGAGACCATGAGTGAACCTGGCCTTCCGGAGGTTGTGCCAGGAGTTTGGGTCTCGGTTCATCATAAGCCGAGACCGATACGAGCGAGTTGTTGTTCAAGAGAGCGACGAGACCGTGGCCGTAGAACTTGCATGACCGAACCCCAACCTCGTCGGCGTCGTGTCCAAGCGAAAACTGGGTGAAGTCGCCCTGAAGATCGTAGTAGCACCTCACGGTGCCGTCTCCGGTGACAACCAGAAGCTTCTCATCCTCAGACCAACCCAGGCCCTTGATGGAGCCCTTGTCCCACGGAATGCGCCTGATGAGCTTTCCGGCACAGCTGTAAATGTCTATGCTCGGTTTTGAGGGCCTTCCTGCAGCGAATGCCACCAACTTCTCCTCATCGCGGTAGAGAGCTGTGATGGCAACGTCAGAGCATGACCTTTCTGAAACACGTCATCATCGAGTGGGATCACAAGGAAAACAATACCAACAGCTCCGCCATAGGGGGCACCGGCAACAATGTAGTTGTCAAGGTCTAGGTCCGCATCAAAAACTTGGGTGTACAGTTGGGTCTTGCGGTAAAACTTTTCGCCAACCTGTTCCCATCCTGCTGTTGGATGAGGGACCTCCATCATATCATCATGTTTGCATATTGTGAGTGTGAGTGAGAGTGAGGAATGAGCATGAGGTCTCCAGCAAGGTACGAGATTCCCCAACACCTGCCCAGCTCAGGCTGCACTGCAGGCGGTTACTGGTGCGCTAGCGGAGGTTCCTTGGATGACCTGGCAGGCGCGCACAGTGGGATGCCTCCCCCTGCCCCCTGCTCCTGTCGGGTTGTCGTTGATCAGGCCTGCGTGGAGCCGGAGTCACCGTGTGGGGACAGTACCCAGTTGTCAGCCCCACAAGCCCCTCCATGCGCTAAAGACAAAAGTTCCCGGTCCGACCAACGTCGCTACCTTATGTTTGCATCATCTCCATCCTCCGGCACAGGAACGAATCAATGCCGGTTAACCTGTACCAACTCCCAACTTTCCGGAGCCTTATTCTTCTGACTTCCCGCTTCTTGATTGTTTGAGCCCAGCTTCCCAGCCATCTGTCACCTAGAATTCGTACCCAACAAAATGCCCGGCTGGCGCGACGAGTACCTTTCATCCCTCATGGATGCCGACCAGCGGAATCCCGTCAACCGAGAGCTTGTGGATACCTGTCAGTTGCTTGCCCCGGCCTTGCCCTGCTTCCTTGTCTTGTCTTGCTTGCTTGAAGTCCCACCGCAACTCCCTTTCATTCCTTCAGAACTTACCACCCAGCAAACATCATCCTGAATATGCAAGTCTCCAGGCCAGCAACTCTTCGACCGCATATCCGTACTAGAAGCCGAAAAGGCGGCCCTCCAACAGCAAGTCGAGACCTACCTATCGTCCTCCTCGTCAAGTAGCGGCGCCGCCAACAAGCCCCGAGACCGAGACCCGACCAAGACCGATGCCGCCGCTGACTCGACAACAACTGCGCCGACCGCCGCCGACTCCGCCCTTCTCGCCCGTCTCCGTGTCGATCTAGCCGAAGCCCTCCGCGCAAAGGGCGATTTCCAACGGCGCCTAACGGCAGTCGAAGAGGAGCTCGTCCGCTTGCGCACGAAGACGACAGCCGACAACAAGGCATTACAAACATTGACGGCTGAGAGGAAAACGCTCACCATCAAGCTCCGAGACCGCGAGGAAGAGCTGCGCGCCAAGAGCAAGATGTTGGCGGACGTGCAGGATGAGTTGCAGGTACTTAACACCCACCTGGATCTTGTCGAAAAGCGGCGCTCCGAGATGGAGGCGGAGAACAAGCAGCTGGTAGCGCGCTTCATGAAGCGGGTTGGGCAGGAGGCGGAGGCCATGAACATGGCGAATGATTCGACGTCGGGTTCCGGTCATCGGTCATCTGGTTCCAGGAGGAGATAGAGGATGGAAAGCAAGGAATATCGAATGGGGGAATCCCAGCAGCGGGGGAGCGCAACAAAAACCGAGACTGCGCATATAGACGACAAGAGGAGGGTGAAGATGACCGTCCGAGAACGCCAAGAAGTTTCGACAATCCATGCCAGCACCCTGATACAGCAGCGCCAAAGATACCACAAGGAAAAGGCGGACGATTTACGATAATGTGATCGGCATAGCGCAGGAGTTTCGGAAGGTTGGTTGGTCTCTTTGCTTGTATGCTTCACAGCCAGCATATTATTACTACACGGGGACTGTTACAAAAGGTATGTATGTACTTGATATAAAACCCTGGTAATCCTTTCCCTTTCCCTTTTGCCCTTCCCTTTCCTTCCCTTCCACCTCTATTTTACGCATACATCTGGATATATCAGATGAAACAAAAACCCATACGACGCGGATGATACAAGCTCGCTTTTCAGGCGCGCCATCCAGAAACCGCTATGCTAGAATAACAAGACACATCATACGCGCATACTCCTGCGAATATTTTGATCCCAGGTATCATCATGGTACCAAGAGCCCATCAAAGCAGGAAGAGCTCGCTAATCTCCTCCATCTCCAAATCCAGCACAGCATTTACCCCCTGGCCATTTCATCACCTCCGGGTCGAGATACAATATGTCCCGCTAGCGCCAGTCCAGCTGACATAGCCTTCAGGATACGTAAGGTGCTCGACATCCAGGATCGACGTGGCCACGTCGTTCTCTGCATTCTTGTTGTCGTGCACAAACGTCTTGAGCGAGATGATCTTGCATCCGATCTTGAGGTCCAGGAACATGCTGACGAGGTTGTCGTTGAGCTGCGACGTGAAGGCCTGGTTGTTGACGAGCACCACGTCGGCCCGCTTGAGCACCTCGAGGACCTTCTCGTTCTTACGGAAGTCCCCTCTCTCCAGGCGCACCTTGCCGGGCTTGACCCCCCACAGCCGGCAGCGGGCCAGGAACTCGTCGTACTGCGCCTCGGCCAGGTTGCACGCGTTCTCCATCATCTCGCAGCCCCAGCTCTCGCACCCAATCTCGAGCGCCGCCTGGAGCGTGACGTTGCCGACGCCCGAGCCGAGATCGACAAACACCTTGCCCGAGGTCAGGTTGGTCCGCTCGAGAATGTCGGAGATGAAAGGGTGGTTCAGTTCGCCGTAGACGTTGTCGCTGCCGTTCTGGTACTTGGCCAGGAGCTCGACCCGTGGGGCGACGGTGCGGTCGTATACCTGGTCGAGGATGAAATCGACCAGCTCGCGCGGTATCCCGTGCATCTTGTCGAGGTTTCGGACAATGACGCCCTTGCGCATGAGCTTGAGGAGTTCGTCATTGTATTCGCGGAGGGCGGCTTTGAAGCCGGGGCCGTCGGATCGGTTTTTGCTCTTTACGAGCTTTCGGAGGATGCCTGTCTGGTGGTCAAGGAAGATCTTGCCCTCTTCTTCTGTAAGATAGGTCGAGGCGACTAGTTGTACAACTTTTTCGATGTCCTTGACGGCATCAATCTTATCTTTACCTTCTACCAATTCGTATCTACCATGCGCGCGTGACAGATTAGCTTCATGTTCCAAGACGAGTATATGGTGCGGGGAAGGTAAAGAAAATCGTAAAGGGCCACCCACCGTTCAGGATACCTGACCCCAGGGTACTGCAACCTCACAGCAACCTCCTCGTTCTTCAGTCCCAGTGCGGGCTTGCACTTGTGTTCCAGGCTCGCGACCTTGGCCGCATGTATGATTCCCGATCCGGGTATCCGCTCCACCTGATCCGCATCCTCGCCCTTCCAGATCTTGGGGTGTCGTAGCTTCCGGTTCACGTCGACGGGTCGCTCATCGTGCACCCGCTTGCGACGCTTGCGCGCGTCCAGGTTGTCCTCCCAGTTCTCGTCCCCGTTGCTGTCCGAATCCGAGTCTTCAGAGAAGTGCGGGCTGATGGGCGACCGGCTCGAGGCCTTGGCCGCACGCCGCTTGCGGCTGCTCCGGCCGTCGCCGCTGATGGACGGGTTGGGCGACGCGCTCTGGACCCGTCGTGCGGTCGAGGTGGTGCTGACCTTGGTGAGAGAGGCGCGTGCGGAGGAGGAGGTAGAAGTGGTGTGCTTGGTTCCGTTGAGTCTGGATGTGGACGAGGCGCGCGACAGCGATGACCCCGCCCCCGCGGTCCGGACGTTGGAGTGTTGTGAGGAACCGGTGGTGGGTATGCTCGAGGAGGATGTCGACGCTTTGAGTTTGGGGCGCTCGACGGTCTCGCGGACGGTGCGGATCTCGGTCTTGATTTTGAACTTGGATTTTTGGTTGAAAATGCTCATGTTTCTTGTCTTTCCGCCTCCCGGTCGTTCGGTCGTTCGCTTTGCGTGGCCGGCTGTTGGTTTACCTTGACAGTAATATGGGTTACTGATGACAGAAAAAGAGAGAGTGACAAGAAGGGACAACGACGTATGACGACGAAGAGGGGCGCAAGGCTTGAAGAGAGCCTAGTCGAGCTGTACGGCGTAGCTAGGTAAGCGTATCGGTACGCTTTTTTGGGCTTTGTGAAAAGGCAGGCGACGGAAGTGGATTCGAAGATCGAGCTTCCGTTGGAGCAGGCTCAGCACAGAAAAAGATAGTATGGATTGGGGTCTCTTCGCTTCGGGAGGCCTGCGCCGAGAAAAGGCGCGGCGCGACGGAAAGGTGGACTCGCCCCGTTCTTAGTTCGGTGGAATTGTTCGGTGGGTATCCCGTCTCGGCGGAACCTAGTAACGAAATGCCTTTGCGTCTGGCTCTGGTCCACGTTCGGGGTAGGGTGTTTTGGTGTGTAAGCACGCCTCGCTCGCTATCTCTGTATTTGTATGGAGATGATATGTCCGGATGATCGAAAGGCTGAAAGATGCAATGGGCGCTCGGCGACAGTTGAACCAAATCTATTGGGTATATGGCATAGCAAGGTGTATCTTCCTGCAGGTGGTGATCTCCAAGGTGAAGAAAAGGGCAGAAAAGTGGATAAGGTGGCAGGCAAGAACAGACAAAAAAAGATGAGGAAAGTCAAATGCAGATTCCATCCACCATGCCGGGCTTTCCACTTCTTCCACTGTCGCTGCACAATGCACGGGGCTAGCAGAATTGCCTGGACTCCCCAAGACTCCCCAGGCGGGTGCAACCTTGCGACCCTGACCTTCCAGTCGGCGTCCAATCCCGCTGCTTGTTGGGGAGCGCTGGAACACGGCGTGAGGCGAGTTGACAGCTGCAATATCTCGCCGCATGGCCAATCCTGTAGGCTGCAGCTGCTGCTGCCAGTCATTCTCTTTCTCCAGACTGTCAGGACTCGGCACCGACCCCTCACCGACGGGCCCGTGCAACACAGCACTTACCCCGCATACAGCCCTCTGGAAGGAAGGCATCAATATATATACAAAAGGAGCCCACGAAGATAAGAAGAGGTTATTCAGAATAGAAGGAAGCCAAGTACACGAGGAAATCAGGTACCTAGCAAGGCCTAACAGGAAGGATAGTTGGGGACGGATTTCCATATATTTAAGACTAGCCGCCCCAGGCTTCCAGAGGTTCTCATTTTCCTCCTAATCTTCACCTTCTTCTACCAATCAATTCAATTGACACAAGCCTTTTCCCTGACACAGACTTCCAGCTCTCGCTTGGCGCGCCGCTGGGTGGCGCGACGTCGACTTTTCAGATCCGTGATCATGTGACTCTCTTTATTGATATTGATAGGTGCACAGACCAGCTTCGTTATTCCCGTCATTCCGTTCACCGAGGTGAGACAGCGGGTGCCCTCAGCCTTCACCGACGATAGACTGTTCATTCCATGCCAAGCATCACCATCACTGAGCTTCCATTATATCGGTGAGATAAGGATAGACAGATAAAGTATATTGCATTGGATCTTATTAGCTTCTGTTCTATGGACATGTCAAATGCGAGTTCGTGAGAGCATAACAGCAAGTGAAAGTGACATACGCCTTCCCGCCATTCTGTGCTATCAGTGTTCGGGTTACATGCTGTTCCTTAGGAGATAAATTGTCCTGATTGTCGGGTGTGAAATGTGAATCTCTTCAACATTTCCACATTTTGGTCGTGGATCCAGTGACCGAATGATTGATCTGTCACTGTCTATATAGACTATAGGTAGGGACAGGCAATAAGTTCCGCACTTATGAGGCAGCAAGGTTGACAGCTTGAGGTTATTTCAACGTCGCCTTACAGCCCAGCCTTATAAGCCGCGCTTCAAACCCTTGATGTCCACACCCAGAAATGGCCATCAACATTGCAGTCGGCAGAATCTACCGACGGAAGAACTCGAATATCAGCCCGTATTTTACAAACCAGAATCATACATAACGTTTTACCTCTCGTCACGAATGTACGCTCTACGGAGGGAAAGGGAAAACGGCTGATCGATGATCACTATCGACAATCACAACCGTTCGCTGCCGATTGTGCCGTGGCCGACAGCGGCCATTCGGGGTCCGTCTTGGCAATGGCATGCATCGAATATCAACAAACATGATGCAAGGTGGCTTGGAGGTTCACCATTGTGTGGTGATGAAGCTTGATGATATTCGATGGCTTCAAGTTTTCCAGGGTCTGGGCTTCCATGTTTTGTTTGTTTGGACTGGAGGTTGCATTGATTGTGGCCCCAGTCCAGACCGCGCCAAGCCTTGACCCACAAGCCGGCGGTCCCACATTTCGTGACGTCATGGGCTGCGATTTTATGTGCTGGATTCTTGAACATAACTATCAAAGTCGCGTTTGTAACAGCGCACGGAATTGGTCTCCTTTTTGTGCTCAATGTTAGCCAATGGCCCAATTATATCGGAAGTTACGTCAAGCAAACTCATGATATCTAGCACATTCAGTCACGGGTTGGGAGAGAAAAAAAAACTTTTGACACTCGGAGAGAGTTCGGGCTATTCTCGATCAAAGGGGCCGATGGATGATACATAATTCAGTCGTGCGGCGGCCCACGAGATGGAAGTGACCCTGACACCCACATGGTGCATGCCGATGTAAGGCAGCTCACTCGGATTTGTTTCGTTTCTCGCTGCAGAAAGCGAAAGCGTGGACGTTGGTGGATGGTGAATGGAATCGATGTGCAATCACGTCCCAGCAGGGCTGGGAATGGGGGATGGAAGCCAGCTTAAGTGCTGCCCTGACTGCCCTGCTGAGGCAGACCCGGGCATTGTATCACCAAGATGGCTGGCCACCGCAGCAGTAAATACAAACACAAGCGGGTGGCCTGATATTCTCGAGAGTGACAAAGAGGCACCTAGAGCGTCCTGAGGCCGTCTGAACTGCCGCTTAATTAGCATGAGGGACTGATTCACACTGCCGACGTCGCGCAAGTGCTCCGTTTGTGTGCATTTTGGCGCAGCCACGGGGTGTGCCAGCCCCTCATCTGGAAGGTCTTTGTTTCAAGACGAATCAGAAAAGACCATTTCGAGATTTTGGAGAGGGTTGAAGGTGTGACGCACGTATTGAATCGTGATGCATCTCGTCAAGCTTCCATGCTTGGCTTGGTCTACACTACTTGACCCCCCTGGCCGCCCAATTGGCGTCAAGACCCCCGTCCATATCTCAACCGATCGTCACGGTTACCACCCGAGTCCCAACTTTTCCATGGAGTGTCCCTTGAGCTTCACCCTTGTCTGGCAGACAGCTCCGTGAAGGGGATCGAGTGGATAATCAACTGGCATGTTTACTAGCCCTTCTAGAAATACATAGCAGGTAAATGCGTGTTCCAAATAGAAAGTAGGTACCAGGGAGACTCGGCGAGAATGGAGAGCAAAAGTGAAAAAAGGGAGAGAGCATTGGCATCGTCACTCCCTCAGATTCCCTTTTCTTTTTTTTTCTTTTTTCTTGTGAGATTTCTTCTGCACCACCCCTGCCTTCACATGTAGACCCCCCTGCTTCTCCTACCCTCTTGCCTTACCTACCCCCCGGAAACAGGTCTGGGCTTTCTGCTTCCTCAAAGGGCTGTCCAACCCCGATGTCTTGCGTGCCTTCCCTATGACGCATACCATCCCTCCGTGCCGAAGGTAGGTTGCTCCCACGTCACTCAAGAACAGAACCTGGCGTCAAGCATCAAGCAAGCTGCCCTCCCGGAAACGCACACACTCCCCGGACTGTGAAAGGTCAAGTCTGATTTTGGTCCCTTCCTGCTATAAACCGACTTATACCACCTGGCACCCACCCCGTCTCCATTTCAACCCTTCACCTGCATCGATCTCGACTTGGACCTATTTTCCATTAATTTCTTACTCAGTACCAAAACAACAACAATACGATACCCGATACCCAATACCCGATACCCAATACCCCATACCCAATACCCGATACCCCCGCACTCGTCCGCGTCTAATCGTCGTTTGCTTTTCCAAGTTGAGGACCGATATTCGAATAGTCCAGCATCCTACCCGCCTCACCTCACGGTTTTCCATTTTGTTTTCCTGTGATACCCAGCAACCATACCAACAGACACCCTAATACCATTGCGCGTCCTTTGATTTCAGTTCTTTTAATCAGTCAATATGGCGACCGTTAACGGAAAGGCAAACGTCAACCGGCCGGTTGATGCTAAGCAGAAGGAGGCCGATGTCAACCGCAAACTTCAGCTCTACGGAATCGCCAGCGCTTTCCAGAACGGCAAGGTTCCTTCGGTATATCTACCCATCGCTGTATGCAGTCGCAGTTAGATACAGACCACGCTGACTGTTTTTTTTTGTAGAACGACCAAATCGATGTTGCGTTGAACAGCTTCCTCCAGTCCAAGGCACTCACAAACCCATCCACGAAGCTCTCCACAGAGGGACAGCAGCTTGTTGCCGATTTCAGGGAGGTTGTGAGACAGGCCAAGAATCTCCTGCTCTCCAAGAATGAGGGAAACCTTCTCCAGGACTTCATTTGGCAGACACAGCAGTTCGACCCCAAGGCTGTCAGCGTCCCTGGTGCTCCTGTGAATAAGGAACAGGCCCAGCAGCATGGCAACCAGGCTCTCGAGGGATTGCGCACTTTGGGCACTCTTATTATCACCAACGGCCAGTTCCGCAAGCTGCGTAAGTTGAACTGTCTAACCTGGTTGTAGACATTTGCCTGATACAGATGCTAACAAACACCAGTCAAGGATGCTACTGTTTTGCTCCGTGATATCGCTGGCGATGCTGCTACCAATGCCGCCGCTCGCGTGAGGCCTTCCCAGGAGGATCTCCAGCAGATTGATGCGCCCGCCCCCGATAACACTTGGCACGAGAAGCCTGAGCTTTCCCGTGATCAGGTGAAGAGCAAGTTCAACGACTTCTACAAGGGGAACCCCAAGGAGGACGCCAAGCATGTTATGGGCGAGGCCACCTCTGCTGCTCACCCTGATGGATCGGCCAACCCCAGAGATTTGGCCAACACCGCTGCTCACGATGGCCGCACTGGCGCCTCTTCCGGTATTGACGCTCAGAAGGGCATCTCTGCTGCTGCCAACACCGCTCAGCGCAAGCTTGACCAGAACCTTGATGATGAGACCAGGGAGAAGGCCAAGAACAAGAAGGAGGAGTACAAGGCCCGTACGAGGGAGTATTTCAAGAAGAAGGTTCCCCAGGAGCGTCGCGAGCAGACGATCTGGCGCTTGAAGGTATGTTTATGCCGAGAAGTGCTAATTTCAACTGACAAATAGCTAACATTATCTGAAGAAAATGGTTGTTGAATGCCAGCAGCACCCTGATTACCAGCGTGCGATCACCACTTTGCTCAACCTCGCCGAGGAGTACGGTCGCCACGTCAACAGACTTGCTCAGGAAGGCACTGGTACTGTGAAGGATACCCATACCGCTTTGGCCCAGGCCGAGGGTGATCTCAAGACCCTCATCGAGCGCTTTGCCAACGGCACTTCCAGCGATGATCTCTGGGATTCCATCAAAACCATCTATGAGGATGCTGACAGAGATCCCGAGTTGAAGAATTGGTTCAAGGCTATGAACAGCTACATCCGCCGCTGCCTTCAGGAGGAGGGCTACATTCTCGATGATGCTTCCAACGAGGAGTGGAACCGCCTCTACGACCACGGCAACTACCTTCTCCGCAACAAGTATCGTGCCCACACCGACCGCATTGTCGATGAGCTTAAGTTCTTGGCCGATCAGTTCGACCAGGATCCCCAAAACAAGAGCTTTGCGGCTTCCCTGAACAAGTTGTTCACTGACCTTGGCAACGATGAGAACGGCAAGCCTACCTTCAAGCCCCATCTCATTAAGGATATGACCGAGGTGATCATTCCCGCCATGTTCGAGAATGTCGCTTACATTCCGGTTCCCCGTATCGAGTACTCTGATCACCAGATCGACGCTGTGATCGAGAACCTTGTCCTTGAAAGCGACAACTTCATGCCCAATGTCCTCGAAGTTGCTAGTGAAAACTACATGCGCTTTGGTCGCAAGAAGATCGCCAACAAGAACAAGATGTCCGTTGATGTCAAGGTTGCCGGTATCCAGATGGATCTGCGCGATGTGAGCTACTACATCAAGCGGAAGCAGGGCTTCCCTTCGCTCAGCGACACCGGTATTGCCAACATTTTGCTCGAAGGCGATGGCTTCACCTTCAGAATGAAGATGTCTTCTGCCGATGCTAAGGACAGGCAGAATTTCTTCAAGATTGATAAGGTGGATGTTGATGTCAAGCACTTGCGTATCAAGTTGATCAAGTCCAACCACAAGCTGCTTTTCAACCTCTTCAAGCCCATCATGCTCAAGGTCCTCCGCCCCGGTCTCCAGAAGGCTCTTGAGAAGGCCATTCGTGACCAGGCTGCCAGACTCGACAGCATCCTGTACGAGATCAAGCAGGAGGCTGACAGGGCTCTTGACGAGGCTCGCGAGGATCCCGAGAAGACTCCCAACATTTACAAACGCTACGTCACGGCGGCTCAGAAGAAGGTTCTCCAGGGCAAGCAGAAGGCCCAGGGCGTTGTTGCCGACAAGAAGGTCAACTATGCCGTCACTAAGGAGGACAGCATCTTCCCCCACATCAGCCTTCCCGGCGGAATCAGCTCCAAGGCCACGGAGTACAAGGAGCTCGCTCGCAAGGGCGACAAGTGGGAGAGCCCCGTGTTCTCGATTGGTTCTGCTGGAAAGAGCCGCGACATCCCACCCGCTCCTCGTGTTGTCCGCAAGCCGCACTCTGCCACTAGCACTAACGGTGCAGCCCACGGCACTGGCAACGGCCACGCGCTCCACAGCGGTCCTGGCATGAACGTTGGCAATGGTAGCCTGAACGTCGGCAACGGTGGCCTGAACGTTCCCGGTGGTGGCTACCTTCCTAGTGATCCCAATGTGAGCGGCCATGGAATGAAGACTGTCGGCAGTGCCCCTAATGGCCGCGTTGCTGTCGGTGTCTAAAGACATGACGAGATGACGTTTCTTTGGAATGAACCTGGAAAGCTTGCTTTTGCAAAACTAATGATTGAATGCTGAATTACTGAAAGGTCCATGATTTATACCCATTGCAGTCTAATTGTAGGAGGAAGCAAGTCAAAAAATACCCAAGGAGGAATGAAAAGTACGGGATACCCAGAGACTGCGTAATACGGTTCGATTGGTTTTACTGAGCACCTACTTTTCCTTTGTAATATTTCAGTAACGGTTTCTTAACAACACACTCCCTACGAAGCTCCAGTAAAAGGAAGATAGTCGGTTAATTCTACTTGTTATAAAAGCTTGATCAGTCTTGGTGCACTCGTGATGGCCGGTCGTTGTGCTCGTGTAAGGATGTGTTCCATTCGGTTTTTTTTTAGCGTTTTCACCAGGTGAAAAGCTCCGGTGGAAATCGGGTTCCCCGAACAACCTCGACACCTTTATACCTTTTCACCGGGTTAACACGTCCGTGCACGTCTTAACCACCCGGTGAAAAAAAAATCCCCGCTTTTCGACCTTCTAGCTAACCAGAGCGCAAAACCACATTTTCACTTAGTGAATAGAAAAATTGCTATTTTACAAGTCGCAACTGGATAGATTTTTACAGATTTTAATGCTAAAACTCGCCATCCCCTTCTAAAACTCAATATTTATAATAATTTCAATACTACATATACTATAATACTATATATCGTATAGTATATTACCTCCTCGAACCCTCTCAAATACAGCGCAAATCCCCCAGCACCACCGCAATTATAGCACGCAAACGTAAAATATATATATATATATAGCCTCCTTTCTAATTATTATAGCGGTAATACAATTAGGTCCCCGGCTCGTTATAAACCTTAATTCTTTAAAAGGAATCTTTATTACTAAAAACCTTTTATTTAAGCATTAAGGTCGATTATAATCACTCATCTGCATACAAGCAAATACAGTATTTATACTAACCGTATAACTCTAATACAATACTAAGTTATATAGGAAAAGGACCCTACAACCATATAAAAAGGTTATAATCTTCTTATTAATAACATTATAGGGTACCACTCGTTAAATATCAGGATGGATTATTAGGCGAAGCACTTCTATAATATATAGGTTAATATCGAAGTCCTATTAAAATTTAATAACCTATATTTACTTCGATTCTCTATATAAATAAAGCCTTTTACTAAATATTAAAAGCTTATATTTAATTTACCCAATCGAAGATTAGACTTCCCCCTTTATATACCCTGACGAAGATCGAGAAAAACCTAAAGTTATATCCTTACTTTAATAAAGTACTAAGTACCTTCGATAATTCCCACTTTCTTATAAGGGTAGGTAGTAATAAGTAACCTACTTAGCGAATCTATAAGAGTAGGCTCTTAATAAACGTTATATTCGTATATAATTTTAATAACTGTATTATATATACCCTACCTGGGTATAAAGGCTCTATATATAACGGTTAAATATTTAGGGCTTCGCTAGTACGTGGCTTCTCGATTCTAATAAATTGCTTTTATTTAGCCGACGGCGGGTATAGTTATTTATATAGACTATTTATATTATATCATAGCGTACGATATTATCTATAAGAATCAAAGAAGGGGGGTATTAGACCAGTAATATATAAGGAGTTATATAATTTGAAATATAATTAGACTAGGGTTATTATTGAGAGGGTAATTAGTAGGTTGAAATTGGCTTTTAAAATCCTTACCTACGAACTAATCTTTTCTAGTAAAATGTAAATTCTTATTATTTATATTTATATAGCAATCTTAAATTTTATATTAAAATATAACAATATTGACTTCGAGGATAAGGACGAGGCCTTTACGTACTTTGAGGAGGAGGGAAAAATCTTAGCAGATAATAACGAAGAAGAGGAAGTACTATAAATTAATTTTAATAAGGCGGAGATACGGAGTAGAAAGAATAATTTAATATATAAGCATTGTAAGAAAATTGTAAAATAAATATAGTGAAATTATTACGTATATTTCGAAAGGATTAAAGGGGTAAAATTATAAATGGGAGAAATCAAATAAAAGGGAAAGTCGAATAGAAGGAAGAATTAATTAGAAATAAATCATTTTAATAATTATTATTAAAAATAGGTAAATATATTTAAAATTGAAAACTTCGCCAAAATTCGAACGAAGAGAATTTAAAGGGGTATTTATATAAGATACGTCATACTAAAATCTTAATTCCCGCTAGCCCGCCCCTATTAGGAATCCTACTTCCATTTACTACCACTTTTATTTCTAAACTTTTATTGATAATAATATAAAATCACTAGTATTTATAACTCTTCGAGACGATTCTAGCATTCTTTTTATATTAAGATTTGAAGGAGTATAAATTTTATTATATTATAGTAAAAACTATAAAAAAAAACGAATATAAAGTCAGCAGGAATACCCGCGTACTAATTTCGCTAATTAGGGGAAACAAGGCGGCAATCGAATTTAATATAATAAATACCCTCTAAAATATAGTAGGATTACAAAGTATTTATAAAAGGTATAAATTTCAAATACTTTACTATCTATCCCTCCTATTATTATTAATCCCCTTCTAATTCCTCCTCAATTTTATTAAAGTACCACCTTATTCTCTCTAACTTTAATCGATAGAAGCATTCAATCTTTCTCTCAAACTTCCCCTATCTTCTTTAAACTTCTTTAATAATATCTTCAAATATATAATTATCTTAATCTTCGTTAAAAATCCCTATTGTAATCGTAAATTACTTCGAACCCCCCTTAATCGTAATAGCCGTAATAACCGTTAATACACCTTCGAAAATAGTCTCGTTATAGTTTATCCGCTTCTTTTTCTTCGAATTAATATTAAAAAAAGCCGACAAACTCTTTTAAAGACCGCAGGCATAGCAAGAAACTGGCAAAAAATCTTCATTATCATCGTTATCATTATTATTATTATTATTATTATCGATTTATACAACTATCTCTTCTTTATTACCATTACCTTCGCCTTCTTTAAATAAAGTAGAGTTAACTAATAATTAAAAAAGGGTAACCGCGTTCGTACTAATAGTACTTTAATTACCTTCGAAAACGCGCTCTATAAATTCGAAGTAGGGGAAAATAGTATACTTAAATTAGGAAATTTTAGGGTATTCCTATAAAATATTACTTTATTAATAAATCCTCTCCCAAATAAATATTTTAAATAAAACTAATAGCAATTAAATTATCCTAAACGTCTAGCAGCGCCGTAATTACGCCCGTATTATTATCGCAACTAAACCCCAACTACGAACAAATAAAGTCCTAAAGCCGCTACTTCGTTTTAAAAGTCCTATATTTATTACAAACCTACGTAATAGTAAAAGTAGTACCCTTCGCAGCGAACTGACGTACAATTAATTAATACGTACCTTCCTTAAAACTATTTTATAATACGCCGCCGCTAGTAACGGCTTTAACGAAAATTTTAAAAGTAACTTCTTTTTAAACTGGGGTCTATCGAATCTTTAAAACGCTAACTTTACCCTTACCTTTCTTACTAGAAATAGAAAGGGTAGAGAGGGTAAAGGATTAAATAAACGAAGGCCTAACTTAATTAATATTAGCGATACTCAATTAAATAAAAAATTAGAAAATATTAGAAGAGGAAGTATATATTATCGAATTTTAAAAAGCTATAGCGGGCGGCTAGGAGATTAGTACTAGCGGTTATAGAAAAGGATAAACGAAATTAAGTATATAAATCGATATTTATCGACCGTTTTATACGACTTAAGTATATCGAAAATTTTCCCCTTTTTGCCACAATCGACAGATAGTCCAGATCTATAGCCAGATTAATATCGGGAGGGGTCTCTAGTCATATAAATATATACGTTGAAGGACCTTCTATATTATAAAGGTATTTACAGCTATCTAGGGACTTAATTAGTAGATTTATCAAAATACGTTTATAGATTTCATGAAATACGATTTTCACTGACATTTTCACCAGAATACCAAGCTACCTAAACGCTAAGGCTAAAACCTGGTAAAAATTAGTCTATACAACCTTTTCACCCAAAGTACCTAAAACCCAGTGAAAAGACCCTAAAATTTCGTTATAGAGCACACCCTAAGTGGTAGTACAAAAACAAACTGGGTTAGGGTTATGTAAGGGTTTTTTGTCATAGTGCCAAGTTTTAAGTGCGATGCTGTAGCCTGCCAACCCCTGTAACCCGCAGCGCGTCATAGTGAACTCTGCTCCAGGCAACAACCGCGTCCGGGACAATGAAATTCTTATATCCATCCGGGAACTACTAGACAGTTCTGGTTGATTGACTTCCATACTTTCTCTTTATTTCCGCAAGGTTTGGAACTGGGGTTGTGTTCGAAAGTCGTGATCTCATTGTAATGATTCAGTACACTCGGACATCTTTGAATCACCTTGAAAACACAACCATTTGAGGTAGCCAGTGTGACGCTTTCACAATGAATACCAACAGACGATCCAGATCACCAGATGAAGAGGCATTGGAAGAAGACCAACACCAGTACGGGGCTGGTACTCTAAGCCTGGAAGAACTTGATGAACAGTGAGTCTTCACCATCATGGAAACCCCATCCATCTGTCCAGTCCACTAATTCAAGAAAAACAGCTTCCCAAACAGACCACGAAACCATTCCAAGACCTTTCCCTTCTCCGACCTCTTCCGCACCCTCTTCAACCCCCTCATCGACTGCAAACCCTCCACCTCCGGCACCGTCCGCGGCCCCAAACCCGGCCGAGGCGGCCACTTCTCCAAGGTATCCTACCATGAACAGCGCCGCCACATCATCGAGCGCTTCATGTTGCGCTGGCGCTCCGAAGTCGGCAACGACTTCTACCCGGCTATGCGCCTCATCCTGCCAGACAAGGACCGCGACCGCGGCGTTTATGGGTTGAAAGAGAACACCATCGGCAAGCTGCTGGTCAAAGTCATGAAGATTGATCGGAACTCTGAAGATGGGTATAACCTCATGCACTGGAAGCTTCCCGGGGGTGGACAGAGTGGGATCAGTAGGTCTGTGGGCGACTTTGTGGGGCGCTGTTTCGAGATAGTTAGCAAGCGCGCGATGTGTGCTCAACCTGGGGGGATGACGATCGCGGATGTGAATGTCATGTTGGATAGGCTGGCGGGCGCCAGCGGGGAGGCGGAGCAGTTGCCTATTTTTGAGGAGTTTTATCGGGGGATGAATGCGGAGGAGATGATGTGGTTGGTGAGGATCATATTGAAGGATATGAAGGTGGGCGCGACGGAGAGGACTTTTCTGAACCTGTGGCATCCGGATGCCGAGGCGCTGTTTAGTGTGAGTTCGAGCTTGAGGAGGGTGTGCTGGGAGCTGTATGATCCGGAGTTTAGGCTGGAACAGCACGAGACGGGGATCAAGTTGATGCAGTGTTTCCAGCCGCAGCTGGCGCAGTTTCAGATGACGACCACGTTTGAGAAGTTGGTGAAGAATTTGGGTGTGACGGAGGAGAACCAGGAGTTTTGGATCGAGGAGAAGCTGGATGGTGAGAGGATGCAGATGCATATGCAGGAGGATGATACCGTGCCCGGAGGATTTCGGTTTGCGTTTTGGTCGAGAAAGGCGAAGGATTATACTTATCTTTATGGTGAAAGCTTGGGAGACGAGCAGTCTGCGCTTACACGGCACCTTCACAAGGCCTTCGATGACGGCGTGCGGAACTTGATCCTCGACGGCGAGATGATTACTTGGGATATCGATATCGACAAGATGGTGCCCTTTGGAACGCTCAAGACGGCCGCGTTGGAGCAGCAGAAGAACCCGTCCAAAGCCGGTCCTCGTCCCCTCTACCGTGTCTTCGACATCCTGCTCCTAAACGACAAGCCTCTTACTGAGTACACCCTCAACGACCGGCGGAGAGCCCTTGAACGCGCCGTCGTCGGTGTCCACCGCCGCTTGGAGATTCTTCCCTTTGAGCGAGCCACCTCCCCAGACGCCATCGAGCCCCTTCTGCGACGGGTCGTGGCCGAAGCATCAGAGGGCCTAGTCCTCAAGAACCCGCGCTCTCGCTATTCACTCAACAGCCGCAACAACGACTGGATCAAGGTGAAACCCGAATACATGTCTGAGTTCGGCGAATCACTCGACTGTGTAGTAGTAGGCGGCTACTTCGGCTCCGGCCGACGCGGCGGCACGCTCTCCTCGTTCCTGTGCGGTCTGCGTGTGTCCCAGAACTTTATTAAAAGTGGCAAAGCCGCCACCGCCGAGAAGTGTCTCTCCTTCTTCAAAGTCGGCGGCGGCTTCAAAGCCGAGGACTACGCCGAGATCCGGCACCACACCGAAGGGAAATGGCACGACTGGGACCCTTCCAGTCCACCCACAGAATACATCGAGCTCGGCGGCGGGGACCGTTTGCAGTACGAGAAGCCGGACGTGTGGATCCGACCGAGCGACTCGGTCGTCATCTCCGTCAAGGGGGCCAGCATCACGCCGTCGGACCAGTTCGCCATGGGCTGGACGCTGCGGTTCCCGCGGTTTCGAAAGCTGCGGCTGGATCGCGCGTGGGACTCGGCGCTGGACATGGACGAGTTTGAAGCGCTGAGGGGAAAGATCAAGGACCAGGAACAGGAAAGGAAGAAGATGGAGATGGAGAATCGCAAGCGGAAACCGGCGACCAAGCGCGCGAGGAAGGATCTGGTTATTGCGGGTATGTCGGATCCCTATTCGTTGGCATCTTCTTCTGCTACACCGGTGATTGTTGCACCGAGAGAGACAAGAGAGGCAAGCACCCACTTGTTCAAAGACTTGGACTTTTGCGTCCTTTCGGAGTCTCTTAAACCAAACAAGATGGCTAAGCCGGCGCTGGAGAAACTTATCAAAGACCACGGTGGCCGCATCCATCAGCAGGTTATGGACCGACGCTCTGGTGAGGGGAAGAAGATAATCATCCCTATAGCAGATAAGAACGTGGTCAAAGTGGCTAGTCTGAAGAAAGCCATGCCGGAGATGGATATTATCAGGCCTAAATGGATCTTTGACTGTCTTGCGCAGCCAATGTCACAAAAAGAAAAGGGATATCTCCTCCCCTTCGAAACCTCCCACCTCTTCCACGCCGGCAGCGAACAAACGCAAGAAGAAGCGGAACAAGCAGCAGATAAATTTGGAGATAGCTACACCCGTGACTTGGCAGATACAAATGAGTTGAAGGCGGTTATGGATGGTATTGAGTCTGATGATTATGTTTCTGATTCTGACTGGGATTCGGACTCTGGCGGAGGAAGGGGAGTGGGTGGTGGGTTTGACGTGAACTATTTTCTTGACCACTTGGAAGCGCAGGGGACTTCGCTGGATGAGTTACGGTCGTTTATGTTCCGGAGGTGTAGGGTTTTCTTTGCTCTAGCTAGCAACGGCACCAGCGATGGGACATCGGCAGCAGTCGTCTGTGAAAACAAAGCCTTGAGACTAAAGAACTATGTACGATTTGGGAACGGGAAGGTAGTTGACGAGCTGGAGACGGCGACGCATGTGGTTGTTGTTACTGCTTCTTCTGGTTCTGGGGCAGGAGAGGAGAGTAAGAATGCAAAGACTGAAGAGAGAGAGATGGCGGCGGAGATTCGGTATAAGATTAGCTTGGGAGAGATGGGAAGTCCGGTGCCGAGGATCGTGAAGGGGGAATGGGTGGAGGAGTCGTGGAAGGAGGGGACGGTGGTTGATGAGGAGGGGTATGTGGCTGGGTGAACTTGATGTTTACCTACTGAGGAAGTGGTATCTAAGGTTGTGGTTATGTGATGTTGGTGTTGGGAGGGCAACGGATGGTTCTGTTTTCAGGTTATTGGGTGCCTTTAGTTTGAATTGGCGCCAGAAAGGGGCGTCTAATGAATGGTAACTGGTTTTGTTGATATTGCATGGTGTTTCTCCATGGAAACGAACCTTTTGCTTGTTTTCCTTTGCAAGTGCCTGCTCAAGGCGACTGTCTTGAAGGCTGCTTTGAAATCGTTTTGGCGGCTACTTTCGCCTTCTGCACAAGAAACGTCTTGACTTCACCTTCTTGAACTAGGATATTCACTGTCCACCTTGAACGACGGTTTTGAACAACAGTATCCGTTTTGTTTTTCTGCAGTACATGGTTGTCTGCCTTTTTGACCCACTTTTTCTTGACGACAGAGGAACTACCTACTGTCATCATAATCCTTTTCTTAATCCTGTTGGCTCGTAGCCCGTTATCGCCATCCCCACCCTATTTTGCACCTACGGTCCAACATTCCTACCCTCATGACCATCGATACCTGGCTCTGCCTTGTCTTGGTATCTCAACCAGTTTGGTACATTGTGGTCATCCTTTTAGAACCAAGGTATGGTCCGGCGAATGGCTTTTGCATTATTTTTGTGAATCTGCTTCTGGAAGGTTCAGTGGAGAAGTGGAAGTTAAGCTGACTGTATTCATTCATCTGAACTTTTGATGACCTATGAATGGCATTGTTAGCGGGGATGAAAAGATTGGTAACGACCGGCGGAACATTACGTCTCTTGCACATCGCTCAACAGCACATTTTGCAAGAATGCCTCAGAAGGGTATCACACAATAGAAAAGGGTACGAAGAAGAATCTTGAGAGATAGCTGCAAGGTCTTTGGCCGAAGCATATTGACATTATCACTGAGTGTCTTGGGGTGGAGTTTGGTGTACTCGTCAGGTGCCCGCCCGCTAGTCAGACGGTCAATTTTGTAGACCTGACGAGTACCTAATACGTGGAATGGTTCAATCTGGTAAGGTATATTTGAAAATTTGAGCTGTTAGTAATTTTCTCAACCGGAAAGTTAGAGTGGAGACTTTCGGGCATGAAATCACGGGAATATTAAGGCTTTGGAATTGCAGATCAGGTTCAACTTCGAGCTAGATGATCTTGGAGGTCGGTGAGAAATGGGTGTGTATAGGTTCCATTGTTGTTTGTACGGGTTGGTTTCGACTTCATCAAGACGAAGTTGACACACCCAAGAGATCCCACAAGTAACCCATTACTAACCAATACACAGGGTTAGGTATATCTTTAACCACATCCATGCTGACTTATATGGATTTCCGATGTCTACTTACCTTCAAATTAATGCCTGAAGACTTCACTTCTAAACTAGAGTCATGGAGCCAAAAGCTGGGCATCTGATAACAATCTGACATCGGACAGACACTCGAAATATTTGAAATGTTCCACACGAAACAATAAAAAACAATAAGCATGAATGGAATTGGCATGTCAAAGAGAACAAGGAAGCATGATTTGGTTTTGTTCATGCTTGTTTTCCTTGGTGATATAAGGAACAAGGTGTTGGGCGCAGGATTGCTTGGGATATATCGGTCCGCGAGGATTCCTGTACCAGTTATGTTGTATGTATGGGAAGCACTCTTGAAGATCACGTTCAGGCAGTCCTGCTTCAGGATTCCAGTAAGTGTCTAGATCCTGACTGTCACTAGTCAAGACCGAGATTCGGCTGGCGCCCATGGTGTCCTGGCCAGCAAGAACCAGGCCGAGGGCCAGGCGACAGTGTATTCGGTCTCCATGTAAACAAACCCCCTGAATCATCTCTCACTCTACTTTCAACATCATACCACCGGCCCGGTATTTTTACCTCTACTCACCGCCCCACGCGAGGTACCTTCCAATCTGTCTCCTCGCGCAGACCCCTTTTGCTGCCAAGGCTAACCTATTGTGAACCTTATTCAATCGACTGTCCCTTAATCCGCACAATACTAACACCTTCACTGAAACCACCCCGCCCCCTTTCTGGTGTTTTTATTCTGGAAATTCGACAATAAGTTCGTGCCTCTCCCAGATTCCTCCCCTCGACTCTTTTCACAGACTTCCACAACCAACACCATCATCTCACTCGCAACAATCGCTTTCTACCTTACAAGACTTGTGCCAAACCATTCTCGACTCCCATCGTCTTCGAAATTTGTTGTCTTCACGAACAAAAACTTAAATCAACGACCTTCTACTGCAACTTAGTCGTAACCCACCATTCAACACATCACCCCACCTTTTCTCAACGTCGCCATGGATCAGACTAGCTCTAAGAAATCGGACACCATGGATAAGACTAGAGGTACCCTCAAGAAATCGTAAGTCTCACTAAATACTTGATTCTTTTCTTTCGCATTCGTGGTAAATCAACCGTCCTTCGACGACGTGGTGTCTCCGTCCAGCACCAACACCACAGTCACCCACTTCTCAAAAGCATAGGGAATCACGCGCACACGCGTACTCTCCCTCACTCCTTTCCCTTCAACCCCTCTCTTTCAGTATGGAATATCCTAACCTACCCGGCATCTCACTAACTCATCACCTGGTAGTATTCTCGCCATTGATCTTGGCAGCACCGCGCTCCGCGCCGCCTTCGTCGAGTGCGAAGCGCCCTACAATTACATTCCGATTCAAAACAGAAATGCACAAGCCAATCAAGACGCAGGCGCACCTGTCTCGGGCATGGGCGACTTTCCCGTTACTTGCTGTCCCCTCGACCCCAACGATCCCTTTGCCAGGATCGGAGCCGATGCGGCCTCCGAACCTGGCCATGTATCCGCCAAGTATTTAATGTACATCCTCGCCAACGTCGATGACTCGGTCTTGGCCGATTACCCTCTCCCGGCGGACCTTATGACCCTTAAGGAGGACGCACAGCTCCGTGAAGACTGCCGAACTATCTTGGCCGTGCTGTTTGGACGCCTGAGAGAGCGCGTGGACGAGTACACCAAAAGAAGGGACCTGTATTTCGACGAGATCATCTTGACCATTCCCAGCCAGTGGGACGCAACTTTCGAGGCAATTTACGAGTCTATTGTCAAGGAGGCTTTCGCCTATGAGAGCAAGGATGGCGAGAAGATCGAGAAGAATGTCCACTTCTGCGGCGAGGCTGACGCGCTGGCGCGTTATATCATCCTCCATGAGGAAAAGGAGCTCGATGACTGGGAGGTCGTTCTCTTCCTCGACTTTGGAGGTCACTCCATGTCTTTTGCCACTATGGAACTGAAGAGGACCAAGAACACTGGTGGCTCTGACAACTCCAACATGACCTTCCTGGACCTGGACTCGGGCGGCTGTGCCGGTGGAAGCGAGATGTGGTCTCACCAAGTCGGCCAGTTGATCAGCGAAAAGCTTAGGGAGACCGGAGTGGCAGATGCTAATGAAAGGAAGAAGTTCAAACTTCTTAGTTATTTCAACAGCAAGAAGATTGGCTTGATGGATCAAATCAGGGAGGGTGGTGTTCTCCCCCTTGTTTGCTGGGATGAACATGCTACCCTCACCACTATTAATCTATCACACGAGGAAATCAAGCGCTGCTTCGACACGGCGCTTGAGAGACCAGTCGCAATGGCCAAAGAGCAGCTCAGGAAGTTGAAAGGCTATAGCGGAGACAAGAAGATCGGCGTAGTGGTAGCCGGAGGAACTCTCAAGAGCAACACAGCAAGGGAAGCAGTCTTCGCCGATTGTGATATTCCGGAAAACCGGATCAAGTATACAACCGAGATCGATGTCACTTGGCTTTCATCGTGCAACTGTCACGGCGCAGCATTGGCCCACGCGAAGAAGATGACGGTGGCCCAGTTTTTCGAGCAGGGCGCTGTGATTGCTCTTCAGCAGAAAGGTCCTGAACGCAACGCTGAGTGGGAGGGTTTCGCCTATCTCCTGGTCGGGAATGATAAGAAGTATGTGGCGAGCGTGTATAACAGAAAGACGGGCGCGGAGTTCAAGTTAGTCTGCAATCCCAACTATGCTCAGAAGGTTACGGCAGACAAAAACGAGCAGGACAACGCCGGTGAAGCAGGAACAAGTGCTGGTTCAGTCACAAACGCGCCAGACAACAGCGACTCGGACCCCAACACCAATTTCATCATCCCAATCGAGGAATGCTATGATTTGTGGCCACTTGGCCCCCAGCTGGCTGGAAGAGTTATTATCGAGGCATCCTTGACCTCACCAAGCGGCACTGCGTCATCTGAGAGGACTCTCCATATTTCAATCAGCCGCAAGAGTCAACGAGCTGGTCCAGGAGATAAAGTCATAGACCTCCCCCTATTCCTCGACCCCGGACACAACGCTGTTCATGTTGATGTTGACGCGCTCGGCCCAGAGGCGTCCAACCAGCAAGCAGCGTTGAGACAGCGTGAAGAAGAGGAGGCAAAACCTGAACACGCTGTGTCAGAGCTTCCAGAGCCTGCTCAACCCGAAAAGGAGACAACAGAGGCTCCATCTGAGCAAGGCTCTGGAGTCAGGCCTAGTAGTTCTAATAAGTCGGCTACAGCAAAGGCATCTAGGACCAAGCGGAAACGGAAGGACACAAATGCTGCTCCGGCCCAACCCAGCAAAAGGCTACGAACCCGTGCCGATCTTGGCTCCGACCACGAGTTTCAGCAAATTGACTACTATGCCCCCCCTGTGCAGCGCAAAAGAAAAGCGACTGCCCCTGCTTCTTCTACAGCAACGAAGAAAGCACGAATTGCTACCCCCGCCCCCCAGCCCAACACCCACCAGATTCCTGGCAACCAGTCAGATGAAGACCTCCAAGGGCAGCTCCAAGAGCAGCTGTCCCGAGAGTCCAATGCCGCCCAAGATGACGAGCAAATCGAGGAGCAGCCACAAGAGTGTTCCCATACCCAGGAAGTGCCCCAGCACAATGACGAGGACACACATGTCCATATCGACGACCAGCTCGACAACGAGCTGGATAAAAACCACGAGCCTGCCGCCACAGCAAGCGGCAACCACACCCAACCACCACCCCCACCCCTTTCCCCTGAGCGCAGCAGCTCCAATAACCTCAACGTCAACGGCAACAACAACAACAACCTCAACGGCAACAACAACAACAACCTCAACGGCAACACCTCCAGTTCCACTCGAACCCGAACCGCCGCGAACGCCAGGGGGGCCACGGCCACAAGGACTAGGTCCCATACCCCTGCACATGCCGACCGGCCGGCAACAACATACACCAACGGCAGGTTCGCTCCGAGGAGCAGCCCGCCCAAAAGACACCGGACAGAACCCCTTCCGGAACAACGTGGGCAACCCCAGCCCAGGCGATCAACTCGCCAACAAAAGGGGAAGTCACCGGTGGTTGCCTCGCCAGCAGCCACCCGGCAACAGCAACAACAACAGCAACAACAACAACCTCAAAAAGGGCAAGAAGACCCTCAACCCGGTCCCCAACACGCACCTCGCCCCGAGCAAGAGGCTAGACCTCAAGCCGGGCCATCACAAGCCCAAGCCCAAGCCCAAAACGAGGCTGATGATACCACACCCCCCGCTACCGCCGCCGACCCCAACACTCTCCAACAGGTCGCCACAACGGTTCTGGCATACGTGGCAACACACCCTCACCTACCCCCCCGTCCCACCCGCATCCGCCAGCCTGTTGCCCCCGAGGCTCCCCGCCGCACCCGCGAACAAAATCTCGCCAAGGCCGAAACCCAGGCCAGAAGGGATCAGTGGAGGAAGGCTCCGGAGGGAAATAGGGAGGACGAGGGGGTGATACTAGATAGTATTACGGTTAATCCTGACCCTGATGATCCCCAGGCTGATCAGGTCAATGTCGATGAGGATGACCAGGTTGATGATGATGACAAGGAAGATGATGACGAGGATGAAAATGATGGTGACGGCGGCGATGATGGTGATGGTGATGATGATGGGGATGATGATGGAAATGGGCCGGGGTTGCCGGATCTTGCGAACGGGGAGGGGGCGTCTACTTCTCTTCCTTTTGCGTCCTTTACTTCTTCTTCGCAGCGGCAGCAGGAGCAGCAGCGGCAGCGGGAGCAGGAGAGGCAAGGCAAATCATCTTCGTCTGTGCAGAATCTACGGGGGGAGAGCTCTGGCAGTGGAAGTGGTAGTCGCAGTGGAAGTGCCAATGGACGGGGACATGAGGACGAGGCGGAGGAGGGCAGCGTGGGGGAGGAAGTCACCCTTCGCGGCCCTGTCCCCTTTTCTCGGCTCCCAAGGTTTCAGGCCCGCGCCTCCGCTTCTCCACAGGCACAGGGACAGGCACGCGGCGAAAGGGGTAATCGGGTCAACGCTGCTGAGAGGAATAAGGAGAACCAGCGGCAGCAGACGACCGGGGCCGGGACTGGGGAGGAAAGCCGACCCAGACCCAGCCGCGAAGAAAAAGGCAAGGGCAAGGAGGTTGTCAAACCTGCGCCCAAGCCTGCACCCACGTCCACGCCAACGCTCGCCCTGCGGGCTTTTTATGGTCAAACCTCCTCCGCCGCAGCCTCTTCTTCCTCCTCTGCCTCCGCCATCCCCAACACCGCCCCGCCCTCCAAGCCCAAGGTGAACAAGGGCAAAGGCAAAGGCAAGGTCGAAGAACCCATCCTCGCCGCGACGACCACCACCACCACCACCACCACCTCCTCCTCCTCCTCCTCCCAGTCTTCCTCCTCCTCTGCCTCCACCATCCCCAACATCATCCCTTCCCCTAAAAAGAAGGGCAAAGGCAAGGCCAAGGCCAAAGAAACCACCACCACCACCCCCGCCCCTCTCGCCCCTCTCGCTCCGACATCCTCAACCGTCCCTCCCTATCCACGCCTCTCGCGCCTCCTCCGCCCAGCACACAAAACCACGGACAAGGGCAAGGCCAAGGCCAAAGCCAAAGGAGCCGAAATCCTCGCCCCTCTCTCCCGCACCGCCCTCGCCGCCTTGATAGAATCAACCGGCCCAACCGGCCCAACCGGCTCAACCGCCCCAACCGCTCCTCCGCCCATCCCTCCCCGCCCCAAGCCCACGGACAAGGGCAAAGGTAAGGACGATGTGGTCGTCCAAACGACTCCGATCCCTCTGCCTAGATATGCTTCGGCGTCGAGGGCTGGACGGGGGGTGGACGGGGATGGGACGGAAGTCGAGGGGGGGCGGGAGCAGGTCGTGGACGTGGACGGGGACGAGGACAGTGTCGAGTATGGGAGTAGAGTGCTTCGTAGTGGTATTAGGGGAGATAACAACAGCAAGGGGAAAGGGAAGGAGAGGGAGGAGGTCAACCAGACGGCTGGAGAGAGTAGCAGGACCGGCGGCAGCAATGCCAATACACCTCTAACGAGGAAGAGGGCCCGTATTGGCATTGAGGACCTCCTCTCGTCTCCGCTTCAGCGTCAACCTCAACCTCAGGAGGAGGACGACTCTTCTCCGGCGAGGAAGAGGCAAAGAACAGGTGGAGGTGGAGCTGGAGGAAAAGGAGGAGAAAGTTCGAATGCGAAGAAGAAGAGGAAGCGCTCTTGATAGCAGAGCGTCTTTGGGTGTGTGTGTGTGTGAGAGAGAGAGAGTGAGAGAGAAAGAATTGATGAAGGGGTGATGAGATGAACGAAGAAGAAAAGAAAGAAAGGAAGGAAAGGGACGTACGGACTTGTTTGCTTTGAGAGTTTTTGCTTATGGTTTGTTGATTTTTTTAAGGCTTTGATAAAAGGGGTTACTAGCTGGAGAGAAGGATTTGTATCAAAGAGTTCTTGGTCAGATTGGTGCTCGTAGGATATTTTTGCTCAGGAGGATATCGATTAGTTCATTAGCTTTGCTCGTCCAGATGCCGGTGCTCCGGGTCTTTGATCCTCTCGATCGCTACTGTCTTTGGTAGAAGATGATTAGCGTAAGAGCATTACTTTTAGAGGGGGTATCGTATTCTAAACATTAAATTACCAGCTTCTTCCTTCCCGTGCTCACCCATCCATCCTTCCTACCTTCCTTCCGTCTGCAAAGAACATCCCCTCGAGTGAACAAACGCCTAACTTTTCACTCCCAGTTCACCCTCATTACCTATTACCTAGGTACCTACCACCACATTGTATCAATGCATCAATGCAAACACCTAACCTCCCCAAACCCCTCCGTCCATCTCAAACTCCCCATAACAACCACCAACAACGCCAACCCCCCACCCACACTCACACCCCCATAAACATACGCATGTCTCCTCCTCAACGCCGCCAACTCGGAAACCCACGTGCTCACCGTCGTCAAGCACCCGCAAAACCCATCCGCCACCCCCTGCAGCACCTGACACCCCACCACTCCTCCCAAGCTCGGCATATGCGCCAAGTCCCAGGCCATGCCCAGCACCGCAGTACCAAACATGTTCACCACAAAAGTCCCCAAAGGAAAACTGGGTAGTCGGCCGTTGAGATGCGCCGAGGCGTAGAACCGCAGGAGACAGCCGAGCGGAGCAAAGACGAGGGCGAAGGTTGCGGAGCCGCGCCAGCGCTCTTCACTTTCATTCGGAATAGAGTGCCGGTCGGGTGGGAAGATACTCAGCAACACAGCGCCTAGCCAGCAACCGAAGCCCAAAAGGACAGCGAGGCGGTCGAGGATGCGACTAACGAAAGTGTAGGGGAGGGTCAAAGAGAAGCGGGTAAAGAGGGGTGAGAAGGCGATGGCGAGGTGGGCTCCTAGAAACAAGCCGGCGAGGGAGAGGGAGATGGTGGTTATGCCGACGGAGAGTAAGGCTAGGAAGGAGTAGCCGCCGTTTCGGGAAACTGGGGTAGTATCATGGGCGGCGAGGTCGTTGGAGAGCGCCAGAAAAATATCCCGGATGAAAGAGGAGAAGGAAGTAAAAGAGCCGCAGAAGCCGGTTGCGAGACCGATGTAGAGCGGGATGGTCTTTTTGAGGGAGAGGTGGGCTTTTTTGGCTGCTGCTGGGTCGATATCGGCTTTTTCGGCTGGGACACTGCCGCCGGTTTCTTCATCGTCATCGTCCTTTTTAGGTTTGGGGGCTGTTGTTGATTGTTGACCCCAGTCTGATGCCCGGAAGAGCATGCGATCCTCGGCTAGGAAGCCCATGACCACACAGCCGGCGAAGTTGGGCCATATCGAGGGGAAGATGATGGGTGATTGTGGGTACGAGGAGGTGAGGGCTTGTAGGCCCAGTCTGGCGAGGGTGCCGAGAAGGGAGAAAAAGATGAGGTAGGAGATGGTGTAAAGTTCTGTGGCGAGGCGGGAGACTTTTTGTTGTCTTTTGGCGTGCTGCTCTCCCTTTTCCTGTCCCTTTTCCCTTTCGTAGTAGTTCTCTGATGACTCGGGCTCTTCCCGTCTTTGCTGCTTTTGTTCCCGGAGGTAGTCCTGGTCACGACTCCTGACTTGTTCTAGAGTCTCATGGCGAGTGATGGACTCCTCGTCTGGGTTCTGGACTGGTGATATATTGGATGCCTCGAGGTTTGCGTAGTCGTCTGGGACATCATAGTTGACGGGTGATACGACTGAGGCACGACGCGAAGAGGCTCGAGAAAGGCGGCGTTGTGATTGTGCCTGGTGGTGAGGATGTAACTCTGTCCCTCCAGTTACATGTCCCTGGTTGTATCCATCATTGTGTCCGTGATTGTGGTCGTCGACGAGGTTGCGCTGACGGTTGCGGTCAGGTGAATCAGGGGTACTGGCAGTGTATCCCTCGGTATTACTTGGGGCCGTCATCATCACCAATTCGCAATATCGATAGGGCCGTCCGTGGGGGAGGGATGAGATACCACAGCAGATTACGCATCACCATAGGCCTCGATGTTTCCATTACCAAAGGGTCGTGGTTCGGGCTCGCTCTGATTCGCATGTTTGTTTCAAGGTCTCTGTAATTTACCTGACAGCCGATGACGGATCTGAATCTGATAGTGACAGTGCCGTTGCGACAGTGACTGCTAGCGGCTACTGTACGGGGTCTATCTTATCGCCGTGAATGGGGAATGGAGACCGACTGGAGAATGACGGTCCCTTGTCAAGCGCCCCGCACCCCACTTGATCGTCCTCAATGCGGAGATGTCCCAATCACTGACAGAGTGACCTTCCCTGTAAAGTACCTTGCTGTCCTTCCCCCTCTTTGATGCTCATCATGTTCACCGTCCGGTCCCTTTGAAGCCGAGTACTGTTGCCTGGATTACAATTCAAAGGTGATGGGGATGGTACCCAACCCGAGTCCGTCATTCATAAACCTCACGATGTTGTTCATGTGTTGTCGTGATGCTCTTAGTGCCGGGTCACGGTGTCTTACGTATACACCAGACTCGAACACAAGGTGAGTTGCTGATAGATTCGCGGATAACAAAACTACGCTAGAGAATGAGTGCAACCTGCCCGAGCTCCAATGCCCCAATCCCACTCGGAACACGGCGATGGGAGCTGCCATCTCACTCGCCGGAGTCGCCCTCTCAGCTATGTGGCCCACTCGGGCTCTCTCTGTCTGATAGAGCTTGAAGACAATATGTAAGGCCGGCCAGCACCTCCATTAGATTCCCGAGAGGTCTTCGTATTCTTCCTGTTCCTTCTCCCCTTCTCTGTATTCGTGAACTCTTTGTTATCCAAATACACCATCGACAGTCGTGACTTCTACAACCTTGGGTCAGCCACCTCATCACATCATCTCGACACCACCACCACCACCGCTGGGATAGCAAACCTGAACCAACGATATCAACACACCGTCGAGTACACCAACAACAACAACAACAACAACAACACAAATCACCCACCATGTCTTCTCTACCACCCAACGTCCACGTCTCCACGCACCCCTGCCTCCTCGCCAAGCTCTCGCAGCTGCGGTCCAAGACCACCAGCGCGCGAGACGTCAAGACGTTGATCCACGAGATCTCTTTGCTCCTGGGGTCGGAAGCCCTCGCAAAGGCCATGACCACGGCCCCCGGTCCCCAAGGGGAAACGCCCCTCGGGTTTACTTACGAGACCACTACCGCTGCGCCGGGGAATATCTCGCTGATTCCGATTTTGAGGAGTGGATTGGGGATGGTTGAGGGTATGTTTTGCTTTTGTCTTCTTTCTTTTATTGTTTTTGTTTTTGTTGCCGTTCCCGTCCAGTCCTCTTTCCTGCTACTTACTCATGCTCTCCCTCCTCTATTACAAAAAGCCCCGCTAACAAACCCTCCCCCCCAGCAATCCAAACCATCCTCCCCCAGCCCGTCCCCGTGCACCACCTCGGCCTCTTCCGCGACCCCATCACCCTCGCCCCCGTCGAGTACTACAACAACTTGCCCAACCATCTCGTTTCCCCCACGCAGGAAACCGCATCCGACCTAGCCATCATCCTCGACCCCATCATCGCCACCGGCGGCACCTGCGCGGCCGCCATCCAGACATTGATCGAGTGGGGCGCCAAGCGGGTGATTGTCTTGTCTGTGCTCGGTGCCGCCGAGGGTGTGAAGAAGGTGGCTGAGGAGTGGCCTGAGGGAACGGAGATCTGGCTGGCCGGTGTGGATCAGGAACTGACGCAGGGGGGTATGTTGAGGCCTGGTTTGGGGGATGTGGGGGATCGGTTGTTTTTGACTATTGGGAAGTAAGATTAGATTAGATGGGAGGTAGAGTAGGCGGGGTTGAGCTGCTGTTAGTTAGTTGTGACTTGGATATATAACACAAAGTTATATGCTTGTATTGTTTGTGTGTCTTGCTATGGTTATGTCCTGGTGCTTATACAACCGGTCTCATCCAAGTTACCTACTCACTTGTGTTTGACTTGGACTCGAGATGGTAGTTTGGTCTCTTTGTATATGGACTCGGTGGGAGAAGACATGTCACTCCGTCGGGGCATAATGACCGATCGGTTCTTCCAGCGCCGTTCACCTAGTTAAAGCAGTAAGGTGGTTCACTGTTGTCCTGTCTATTATGTCACTGTTGAGTAGTCCAGGGGGTATCATCACCACAACTCGAAACGAGCATATACCCAGAACCAAGTTAAATGATATACATAGATAGAATGGATCAAGAAGTCGTATTCACAATCTTCACACAGCGATTGCTTGGCGTTTCATCAACATGGGTAACCACCGCCGTCTATTCCATATCACCATTGGAAACTGAAGGTAAAAAAAAAACATGCATTAAGAGCTAGAGCCCAAAACAAAAGCCCAGTCCCCAAACGCCCAGGTATAGTTAGTTCACATATCAAGCACCTCTTTAAAACCCCAGACCACTAAACACCGATTTAAAAAAAAGAATAAGGGATATACCAGGAAGCGAAGACCAAGCTACGAGGGCCAAGCCCTTCTTCATCCAGATTGAGAAGAGGACCACGAGTCCGCTAGCGCTTTCAGTGCTTAGGCTGCTGCTGCTGCTGCTGCTCCTTCCTCTTCTGCGCGCGTATCTTCCAGCTCTCCTTAATCGCCGTCGCCGCGCTGAGGAGTTCCTGATCCGACACGCCATCCCTTATACTCGCCATGACGCTCGTGACGGTACTCGTATGATTCGCCTCATTCTTGTCGTCGCGGAACCTAAACAGCCGCCACCGGTTTTCGGCATCCAGACAGCACTCCACCACGCGGTCCTGCAACGGGTCGCCCAGCGCCTTGAGCGTCTCCCACTCGTCCTCGGCGATATAAAGCGGGTCGGGAAAGAGCTCGTATTTACTGCCGCCTGGTCCGTCGTTGCCGCAGAAGATGTGTAGTTCCGCTTGCGGGACGGAATCGTAGTCGGTGAATTGCTCGGGGAAGCCCTCGTCAAGTTCTGCTTCGGTGGCTTGTACCAGTGGGAAGTTAAGGCGCATGCGGAAGTCCAGCGTGTTTTCGTGTGGCGCTTTCCATTTGAGAATGTGCGGGTCGGTGCCGAAGTGGTAAGGGGTGGTGCGACACGTGAAGATGAGGCCGTCGCTGTCGTGTTTCAGGGCCGGTATTACTTCGCGGAACATGGTCTCGATGCCGTACGACAGTTCCATGCGCTTCATCTCCACCTTGAAGGCCATAAAGGGGATTTCCTGGGGAAACTGTTGGAGGAGCTTCTTGTAGGGTTCGTATACGTAGGCGCTGAAGTAGCCGAGGCGCTTGTCGAGGGGTTTGTTTAGGAGCTCGGCCTTGTCGTCGAGCGCGAGTAGGTCGAAGACGAGGAAGCGCGGTTCTTTTCGACCGTTCGTGCCGGGGACTGTGTCCATTACCAGCTCGCCGTCGATGATGGTGCCCCGGTGGAATGCTTGGATGTCGTTGGGCATGGGGAAGTGCATGCTGTTGCGGGGGAGGAACCAGTAGTCGTTTTTGCGATCGATCAGGTATTGGACTTCTTGCCCTTCTTCGTCAACCGTGAGGTAGAGGAGGTAGCGAATACCGTCGGATTTTTCGCAGACATAGTAGCTTTACACAAGTGGTCAGCCTGAGTTGTGACATGCGCAACCGCACAAAGAATCTCTAGACGGGGCCTTGCTTACTCTTCTCTTCGTAGTTCCTCTAGATGCTTGCGAGCAAAGCTAACAGGTTGTGCTCCGGGGAAGCCAATAGAACTCCTCCCTAGAATCCGGGCAACTTCTTCTCGCAGAGAAATGGCCAGATCGCGCGGCGCTTTGATGCCAGGCTTAGCAATGTCGGCAATGGGCCCTGGTTGTTCCATTGTGAGGGCGGCAGCGAGAGCGGATCGTGGACGACTAGACGTAGACGGTGGTGATGGTTTGCGACAGCTGTCTGGAGTAACGCTGGCTATAATCGATAGCTGTGATATGCCGTATATTCGATTCGATGTTCCTTTGTTTAAGTCGTGTCGCGGAAAGAGGAATCGAAATAATGCCGAGTGGTGAACAATGGACTGTAAAAGTTGTTGAGTTGGTGTTGAAGGCCACGAATTGGCAAGTCCTCGACGAGAACGGGTCGTCATGAACTCTTGGGCGTGGCGCTTATCTTATCGCATCCCCTGGACGACACGCTATAAGTGCCATGCCAACAGGGACAACCTGAACCTCCATAGCCGTGAAGAGCAACCAAGTGAAGGCGAAGCTACCGCCGTCATTCACCATCTCTATATGTAGTCAGAGCAGGTTCCTCGGCCGTAACCATTCACGTCCAAGGTCTACAACATACAGTGACAATGGTTGAGCAACCTCGAATCCAACGCTGATCATCCCTTTGTTCCAATAGTAACTATTTGTTTGGGCCTATGCAAGGTACGGTGCACTGACACCTCCAGTCCCCCCGAGATCCCCTGAAAGAAGTGTGGAGCATGCCCGTTCGATACACGTTGGAGGTTGTGGTTGTCTGACCATTGCAACCCGTCCAGTCTTTACTCAACATGCCTGGGCTAGAGAAGTAAAGGTATAAATATCATAAACCGGTCTTATTCCATCTTAATGCAATAACTCTCATTATTCTTATTCTCGTCTAAAAGTAATATTCCCGCCCCGTCGTCTGCTAACGGCATCGTCATCAAGACACAAACAACCCTTTTAACATCTCCTGAACGCCCGGAAAGTTGTTGCTACACTTTCCACATGATAAATCATTCCTCATGACGTTTAATATGAACCCATCGACTCGGAGGACGAACCACTTTGTCCGACTAAGACTCGTTGATCTTGTTGACCTCGGCCTTTGCTTCCTCCCAAGTTTCCTGGTTCTTCTTTGCCCACTCAATCTGGCTCTTGGCATACGCCAGCTACGACCCAAAGTTAGCAGTTGGTCATGATTGGTATACTGTGGATCGAGGTGGTCTTACCATATACCGCTTGAGGTCATCCTCCTTCTCGCGTTGGAATCTCTTGAGATCCTTCAGAACGCTCGCGCTCGCGTCCTTGACATCCTTGGCCGATGCAATCTGTGCTTGCTCCAGTTGTACGATTGATTCCCTGGTCTTTCCAATAGTGTCACGCCGGGTCCGCTCAGGATCAACGTCCACCACTCCTTGAACTGCGTGCCGAATTGGTCCAAAGATCTTGTTCGTAATCGAGGTGCTCGCCGCCTTCTTATGACTCGGGCTACCTCCTGTCCGCTCTGGCGCCCCGATCTTAGCGGATGGTGCCTGAGAGAAATCGCCGTGCGTAGGAGGAAAGTCCGAATCGATAGATGCAGTGTCCTCGCCACTCCCGTCCCTACGGTGTTGCGCCGGCGCTTCCCTCCTAGGGGGCTGGATCTGCTGGCTACTGCTGAGATATTGATCGATCCTCCTGGCCTCTGCCTCACTTCTCTCTAGCGATTCCAACAGGGCTCTCTTTTTGTTGAGTTCATCCGTTGTCATCTCTTGCTGGACCCTCTTCAGAATCCTATAGCGCAGCACATTTCGTACCACCCCGGCGAACTGCGCACTTTCCCGCATCGGTTCGGCAAAACTGGCGCTCAACGAAGTGGAAAGCTCCTCCGTGGCAATGTATGACGAGTCTGCCGCCTGTCCAACCCTCTCAATGGCCGCTGAAACGGTAGGCGCGGTCTCTGACAAAGCAAAGGCGTTGTATCTGGCACCTAGTTCTGAAAGGTCTGAAGCCAACGAAGACAGATGGTTCAGCGTGCGGCGGTTCACTTTCTCGATCGGCCCAGTGAGTAATGCTTCGAGGTCCTTGATGGAGGTCTCAAAGGCAATGAAATAGGCGTCCAATTCTTGCTCGCTGAGGGAGTTGGCGTCAGGCGGAAACCGAGCAAGGGACCCGGGCGCAGCACTGTCGAGGGCTTGCGTCGGCAACGTCTTCAACTTGGCCGAGCTACTTGGCACAGGAAGGAAGTTGTGTCCAGGAGTCGGGTTCGCAGGATCCAGGGGAGGCGCCTTCATAATCTGCTTCGGGATGGAGGACACGGGATGCGAATGGAGTACCTCCGTCTTTGGCTGCGTTAGCTGGCTGATCTGCTCCGTATCAAAAGGCCTTGTGACTTACCCAGCTTGAGTTTGGATCCAGGAATCGCCACCATACACCATCGGTACGGACCTGCTCCATGCGCCTGCACCGGTTTAGGAAAACAGCAAGCATGCGCTTTCGCAAGTCGATAATCTGCTGGTCTTGTTTGGCATTTGTTGGGTTGGCAGCATAATCGGCCATGGTATGCTTCTCTGGTATGGGGGGAATGACCAGCGTAGGGTGAAGTCTCGTAAGGGCGTCTCTTAGCGACGCAAACTCGGAGTATCGCCGGCGAACGGTCAGGTCCTAGGAAACAAAACTGGTTAGCGAACACAATGCCAGCTAGTCGAGGGAAGCCGAACCTTACTCCAGTCTTAATGGTATACACAATGAATCTTCCGCCGCTCTCCTGGCTTTTGCCTGCCTCGGTAATCAAAATGGGTAGTTCGGGATTTTCGTAGAGCATCTGTTCGATCCTGCTGTCATAACCACCTGGCTTGCGCCGTGGTACAAGCTCGCCGTGGGCTTGGTCATCCGCCTCGTCATCGGTCGCAACATCGCTTGCTTCCCTAGGGTAACTGGGACCTAGTACCTCGTCGTCACCAGCATCCGAGGACGTCAGGGGAGCATCGTAGCGAGCATCTTGGGGAGTTGGGAAGCGAGCGTCTATGGAATCTATCAAGGACCAGTCGGTATCAGCGTCATCATCGTCATGGGCAAAACCCCCCAGGGATATATCATCCAACTCGCCGTCCATGGCTAGTCCAGAGCAGGCTTAGAATGGGCTGTCAAGATGGTAGAACTCACAGTCGCGAGCGGTCGGAGAAGCGGGATTGGTTGACGAAGCAAAAGAGTCACGGCGCTCAAAGCTCCCATAAGGGTTGTTGTCCTCGTCGTTCCACATGACGCAACGTTTCTTTCTGGACTTGAGCGGACGGTGGCAGGAGAGTCAGAGAGTTGACAGGACGGCGCAGAGTCTAGAACCTGAGACGGGATGTGGCAAGCAATTGGACCGGGGTAGGAGACGAAGGTAGACAAGAGACGTGGGTTCGCGGGACCAGGACCAGCACAATGGCGGGGTTTCGAGACCAGAGGCCGAGGGCAGGTTTGGCAGACGGAGATGTCGAGGGCCACAGACGAGAGTCGCGAGTAGAGGTGAACGTTGAGGGTAGACGTAAAGCTAAACGGAGTCCAAGAAATGGGGACGGCGCATATGTAAGTATGAGTGGGCGTATGATGATCACAAGAGCTTCTGCTTGGTTTGCTTGGATAACGCGAACAGATGCGGGAGGTTGACGATGGAGAGGATGGCCACAACCCAGTACTGAGTGCGATCAAGATGATATGGAGAGAAAGTGGTGAGAGGATCCCTGGAGTGGAAAATGGGAGTTGTTCTTTCTCAAGAAGTTCCAGTTGTTGCTTCCATGGTCCAAGGTCAGTTCATGCATCATCCAGGGCGGCGCAGCTCGGGGCGGGCACGGCGGGCAGCGGGCAGCTCATGGCTATCACCCCAGGAATGACGACGACTACAGCGCTGCACGGACCATTCTTGGCGTGTACCTAGTACAGTGAGGTCCATGTACGCTGAAGTGGAAGGCTCGGCTTACATAAGGTATTGGGGCACAGGGCAGGGCACGAGGACCTCGACGGTCCTGTTCAGGTTTGTAGTGTATGATTCCTTTCCACATCCTTGACTCGAAAAGAAGCTTCTTGGTTTTCGATTTGGTCTTTTAAGATCTCAAAACGCCCTGCTGTAGTTCTGTCAGGCGCTTTATTAAATTTCGTTTGATCTTGCCTAGGTCATTGGCCACTGAGCCACTGTCAGAGGCCTACCCAGACTTCTGTCTCGTGGTCGCTTTCCTTTTCTCCAAGTACGCAACGCGCAGTGCGTCGGGTCGCCATTCCTCTTGTCTGAAAGGACAAATTGTCCAAGAGAAGGGCAGTCGTGAAGCTGTTCTTCAACCGTGCCTTCCTTCAGTTTGCCGGCAGAGTTTTCAAGAGCGACAACCCTCCGTCATCTGAACATCTCTTTACAATTCAGCTCTCTTCACTTTCTCTTCTTCTCTTCAAATCAATCAGTTGCCAACGTATTTCTATGGCTTCACTTTACTCCGCTGCACCACCACTCACAACAAGACTTGCAAGGTTTCAGTCTCGTTGCCCCGTTACCAAGAGGTTTCTTGGAGATACTTGCAGCTCCAGTGCCGGCTCTGCGCGCATCCTGCACTCGCTCCGGCTCCAAGACGTCCTCGGGAAACGGCTCGTCACATATTGCTCCAAGATTCCGTCACCAGCCATCTCGCAGGTCTCGCGTCGACAAACGATTGGCGACATTGACGCGTACGAGGCTGCTCTGTCCGGTCAACTTTGCCCAGTCATCCTCAGTGAGAAGCGTCTTAGTGGTCGTCTCAGTGACCTTCCCAGTGGCCTGTAGGTCTACCCCACTCTCGCTGCGCCTCTAAGGTTGCCCTTCAGTCAAAGCTCTTCATCCTGTTCTCAGGCTTATCAGATATAAAGCACCATGTCCGACTCCAACTCTCAGTCTAATAAACGAAAGCATCTCTCAACATCTTTTGCTCACCACGGCGGAGAACTACACAAACGAAGCAAGCAAGGACTCAACGGGGCAACAACAACCGTGTTCACAGCCATGGAAGTCGACAAGACCAACCGCCACCCCAATGCTGTCCCCGTCGGAGCGGCCATCTTCGACGAACCTGTCTCATACCTGGACCTCAAGGCCTGGATCGCCGAACAAGAAGCGCTACCCCAGCCAGAGCCACTCACTGATATCCAGAGGAGAGCCATTCTGGACCTGAAGAGATCCATCGTCAAGACGAAGCATAGTTTTAGCATCGACGAAGCTGATTGGGTCTCTCTACTTATGAGTAAGTCTATACCCTTGTTTCTATGCAGGCTCCTACTTACAAATGCACTACACAGGATACCAGCAGGCCCATCAAACGGAAGGATGCGAGACCGAGTATAATGATAACCACCAGAATCAGGTCGGCAAGGTTGGCTTCATGTGCTTTGTCTCACTTCGAGTTACCAGGGACTGGGAGCCGATACTCTTCCCCAGCGAAGCGAATGGCCTGTTGCAGGACGAGACTACCGGAGCAGGTTTTGTACCGCAATTCACCAGGAAAAAGGACGCAAAACGGTACGCAGCCAAGTCCGCTATCGAGTGGCTTATGTATCAAAAATACATGCCCTCAGATTGCCAAAACGTGACTTTCAAGACAAAGTCCAAACCTGCCAATCACCAAAACGGGCAGTCGAAGCAAACGCCTCGAGTTCCGGCTGCGGTCCCTTCGGCCATTACTCCCCAGCAGAGCCCTACGGCACCGGTCAAAAGCAACGGACTCGCTAATGGTAATGGCGTCGTGTCTGCGCCCATCTCCATCCCCGCCACGCCATCGCCTCCCGCGACCGGGGAATCGGAATCAAACAACAGTAGCAACGGTGCCTCCCTAAACCCAAATGCCGTGAGTAACACCGGGAACTCATTGGCACCCTATCTTGCCAAACCACCTCCGGCTGCCCAACCTACTCGTAGGAGAGGCACCGACAATCTTCTTGATATTGACGTCCATGACAATAGTATCTCGGTTCAACAACGAGTAGCTGAGATGTGCAGGAGATTGGGGATGAATATGCCGCAAATTAAAGTCGAACCGATTCCTGATACTCAGAACATGTTTCGCGGATGGGCCATCTTTCCGATCGAGGCCGGGCCGGTACCCGAGCATGTCGGGCGAGTGGAAAGCGGTTTATTGAAGACCCCCACCAAGGAGATGGTGGCTGAGCAAGTACTGGAATTTTTGTTCCAACTTGAGCAGGAACGGATTGCGTTGTGCGAATCTTTCATTGCGGATGACTGAAGGTGCACAGAGAGTGAATATTGTAGGATCAGGCAGAACAATAATAAAGTTGGTGATGGGATTCATGGTTGGTAGCGCATACTTCGTGGTGCTTACCTCGGTCGGTATTTGGTTGCCTCTCTCGGACGATAGGAGAAACATGGCGCAAGCATCTGTCCAAGCCACGATCTCGGAGCGGTCTTGGAGTTGTCAGTCTGCCCGTAGGTGGGATGAGGCTTGTGTCGTTCACGGTATAACTACCATCTCGCAAGTTTACTGCGGACATCCCGCCTCGAACCTACGGGTGAATTTGTTAACCATCATCGTTCAAGGCAACATCAGAGCAGCGAAGTTACTGTAACACTACGATCAGCGATATATATCTTCCATCAAAAAGCGTTAGGCCTCAATCTCAGCACAAAATAGGATCCCAGGCAACCATGCTCTCTTATTGCTTGTGGTGTAAATGCCACGCCGCAGAGAGTCATCAAGGCAATACCAAAGCGATGGTCTGTTTCCGTGCTCAACGCCTTACCAAGGTAACAACTCAACCACTAGGATTACTAATGTATAAGTGGAATTTCCATGGTATCCCGCATCAACTCAGCTCAAGTGGAATCCTCACTACAGTACTCAGCCCTAATCGGTATCATTCCCCCCTCTCAGCCTCAGTTTCTCCTTCTCCTTCCACCCCTCCTCCCCCTTTCCCATCCTCCTCCCCCTTCGCACTGCCCTTCTCCCTCTCCCTCTCCTTACTAGTCCTCGAAATAACCTCCAACCCAAAAATCCCATCCCCCAACGACCCCATCCCGAGTCCCAACTTCTTTCCTCCCCCTCCAGCAGCCTGGTCCTCCCCATCCTCATCGCCAAAAAGAAACGCATTACGTTCCCTCGAGGCGTTACTCATCCTGTTACTCTTTCCGAGACTTTTCTTCCTTGGCTTTGTTTTCGTTCCCGCTGTTCCTGCTGCTGCTGGTCCTGCAAGGATGGAATGACTAAAACTAGATGGTCGACCACGGCCTAACTCGGGAAAGGCGGTGGTGGGTGGTGAGCGAGGTGGGGGGAAGGGACTGTTGGTTGTGTGTAGTGTTGATGAGGAGTTAGGGGTGATGAAAGAAGGGTCTTCTGGCTCGAGCATCCAGGCGAAGGAGGATTGGGCTATTGTTGAACGGGTGGGGAGGGGTTCAGGGCGGTGAGGCGGTTCTTGTTGTTGTTGTTGTTGTTGTTGTTGTTGTTGTTTTTCTGGGGTTTCTGGTTGCGAGGGTGAGGAAGAGGAGGAGAGGGGGTCGGGGTTGGCTGGTGGTGGTGGCGAGGATGGTGTTGGTTCGCTGGGGTTTGTAGAGGGCGGTGATAAGGGTGGTTTTACATGGATGGCGGCGGGAGATGGTGAGGGGTCATTGCCGTTGGTTTCAGGCTTCTTCGTGGTAATTTCCGGCGTCGTCATCTCCGTTGGGGTTTTGGGAGGTCCATCCGCTTCCCCTGTTGATCCTGGCGCAGCTGCAGGTGGAAGAGTGGTAATAGTCGACGCTTGTGATATGCTAACTTCCGCTTCCGCTTCCTCTTCCTCTTCCTCTTCCACGGCAGACGAAGTCATCACCACGGGCGTCGTATCCAAGGCAACTGTTGGCGCCCTTGAATCGGCACTACCCCTGTGGTGCGAAGGCGAGAGGCTGAGGGCGTTGAAAGTCGGAGCAGAAGGAGGCGGGGACGACGGTGCTTGCGGCTCACGCTCAGCAGGGGCAGACTCCTCCAAATCAGGGAGTATCAGAGATGAGTCCTCCAGGCACGCCTTGACAAACTGGATTTTTGCCGCGGTAATCTCCACGGTTTCGATGTGCTTCTCCTTGTCGGCTGTTTCCCCTAACCCTGAAGCGGCGAGGTGCTTGAGACTGGTGATGGACTCGTCCAACAAGGCAGCTAGCTGTCGGTTCCTCCTCTGCATGCTCGTAACCGTGTGTTGTGGTGGTTGGTAGAGATACCCGTCGCGCAAAGGGCTGCGGCCCGCTGCACTCCTACTAGACGAAGAATTACGAGCTTCCTGGAGACCCTTCTTGATCTCGCCCATGGCGTCCCGTACGGCCTGGTTGATGCCTAGCTTCTCTCCGCGTTCGATCATGTTCTTAGCAGCGCCGGAGAGTAGGGCTTCAACGCCACCGGGTTGTTGCAGGGAGGATAGTGGTGACCTGGCTCCTAGAGTCCGTTGGCGTAAGCTACCAAAGCCGTGTTTGGAGGGCGAGGCTGGCGGTTGAGGGCCAGGACTCGTGACTGAAGGAGCGGCCGATGACAAGAGTGGGTGCTTTCTGGTGTGTTTGAAGATGATGGTGGCGCCGCCAGTAGCGTTTGGATGGTCTCGTAGGTATAGGGCGTCGTCGACGAAGGTGTGAGGTCCTTGTGAGTCCGGAGGAACTGGGTATCGAAGGAGGAGTTGTAAGGCCATGGCGTAATCGGATTCGAGTACTGTGTGTTTTTGTTGATGTCAGTTGCTCAGTTTGGCCTAGAAAGAGTGACAAAGAGTGAGTGGTCTCACATGTCCATCGGATTCTCAGTAGCATGGCTACACATATCAGATCTATCAGATCCAAGTTCGGGTCGAGAGCAAAAATAGTATCCCATAATACAAGCAACTGTTCAAAAGGGAACTCTCTGCCGAACAAAAGGCGGATCCAACGAATGAGGAATATTTGAGGAAGGATTTCAATCTCCTTTAGATGGCTTGCAAGTTCGGGATCCACCTGCATGAGCAACTCGTCGTGAATGTGCCTACTCTTCTCGACGATGGTGTTTTGTTCGCCCGTTTTGTCACTACCCACTTCGTAAAACGCGCTTGCACGTGCCATGAGCATCGAGAAAATAGTGTAAGCGTCATGTTCAACGTATGCTGAGTCCAACATGTCAAGCATAAGAGGAGGGCCAACCTCTTCATCGGCTGCCACCGTCTTCTTTCGGTCCAGAGCGTCCTGGGTGAGAACATGAACGATAGGGGCAAGCAGTTCGTGCATCCCCTGCCGGTAGCCGCCCACACCCGGATTGAGTTTGCAGTAGAGGAACAGTATATCAAGGATCATGGCCTGGACAGAGTCTTGGTGATAAAGGGGGTCATCCGGCAGCCGTTGGACATCCTGCAGGATCTCAGACCGGATGAGCTCATCTTTGCGCACAAGTTCCCAGGGCGAGTCGGGGTCGTCTGCCAGAGGATCAACGGGTAGCTCGGCCAGCAGTTCGGGGTGCTTGATAAAGCGAAGATGTTTCTCATGGATGGATGTATAGGAGCTGCGACATCCGCTCAAGATCTCGGCCCACTTTTCAGTTGGCGAGTCTCGAAATAGAAGGAGGATCTTCCAGCAGACGGAGCGACAGCCTGTCAGACATGGACTGTCTTGGGGATGGTGCTTGATTGCCTGCTGGAGATCCAAGAAACTGGAGGGCTTGGAGCTATATCGCATTGTCTCTTCCCATTTTGACCTGAGGACAGGTCAGTATGTGATGTGGTTGATAGTCTACAGAGTAGTCGTATGCGGCATTGTGATATAACATACTTTGCTTCGGACAATGGTCTCATGACTTGGGTGACGGTGTGACGTCGTTGATGGTACAGCCCAGTATCTTCCTATTTTATTTTCCGGGTGGTCACCTCGGGCGATGTGGCTCAGTGATGCTATCACGGAGTTGCTTGTTGTTGTTGATTAAAAGGTTGGTCAGGATTGGAAATGTTAAGTACTGTATATATCTCTTTGGGCACAACGCCATCAAGGACGCTGAACTGTGAGAAAGATGAGACGAAAGAAATGCCAGGAACTTGAATCCTGAATGTTCACCTCGTCAGTAAAACTGAATCTGGGAAGGCAAGAGTGGTACTGATGAGTGACGGTGGTGAGTGACCTGACCAGTGACAGTTCTTGGCTGCCAAGACTTCTTCAGCGCTCTGTGAGCGTGCGAGTGCACTGAATGGTGGGGCACCTCGGCGGTCAGGGGAGTGTAGAGTGGGGCCGGACTTGTCCGCTGTTCCGCGTTGACGACCAACGTCACGCTCGCCCGGCAGGCATCCCGTCCATTTCATCCTCAACTCTCAACACCATACAAAAGACATTTGCCTCTCCACGATCTTTTAGATCTATCTTGGCCCGCTTTGGGCTACCTAATCACAAAGGGATTCAAAACGGAGCAATAAAGCTGTGGCTTGTTCTACCCACCACCTTCAAACGCCAACAACGCCAACGTCGCAACGTCGCCCCGTGAGACGGTGAAGATTGGGGCTCAAGCTTCCTCGACAACACTTTGGCCCTCCAACGTTCAACTCGAACTCTTCCCCTTCAACTTGTCGACATATTGCCATTCCCTGGATAAGACCCGGTGGGATCACCAAATCCTTCGATTCCTGAAGCACAACCATCATGTCAGCCGATCTTTTTGCGGCCTTTGGGGCCTCATCTGAGGATCAAGGTTCTCAGTCGAATCGGAACAACCCTTCAAATCCTTTAGCTAGCGACCCTTTTTCTTTCCTGGCATCAAACAACAGCACGTTTCCATCACAACCACAACCACAGCCGCCAAAGCCGCCGCAACCACAACAGCAACCAGTTCCTGTCTCTATTCAATGGCCGTCAGCACCGCCTATTCAACCTCAGATATCAAATGTATGGGGGGATCTCGGTACGCTAGGTGGATCCCAAGGAGGATTTCAGAGTTTCCAATTTGTATCGCCAGTTCCGGCACCCCCGAAGCCCGCTGCGCCGGACGTAGAGGATGAGGACGGTTGGGGAGACTTTGAGGTTGCCGCCCCTACAACGACAACACAGCCCATACAACCTACACCAAGCGCATTCTCTCCGACTAGCAACGCCGAACCGCCACGGAACCGTCTCGTCAGAAGCCCAACGCTTGATTTGGTGTCCAATAAGCTCGTCAACCTGGACTTGTCCTCGACTGCTACTCAGCCATCTGCCAATAAGCCAGCTCAGAAACAGAAACCTGTGATCAAGCCTATCCGGAACGCTGACCCAAATGTCTTGTTTGATGCCGATGACTTTGAGCTCCAGGGGGTAGACGGTGATGATGACGACGACGACGAGTTCGGTGACTTTGAAGGCACTTCAAGTCCCGCGCCAATTGTCCCAGCCGCCAGTTCTGGCACGAAAGAACCCAAGAAACAGCCCCCTGGCCTTTTCTTATCGGGTGGCAATTCCCAGACGCTATATCCAGAAGCGCCAAAGTCTCACACTCGAAAACTCAGCGATGTCAAGGAGCTCAAGATCAAGACACCGGTGACCTCCGACTTCCCCAAAGAGGTCAAGGAGCGTGAACCTTCCCCGGTCACAGCTTGGCCGTCAGGTACTGGTGATGGTTTTGGGGATGATTGGGATGAGTTCAAAGACCTTTCCGTCAGTAGCACCAAGACACCGGCAAAGACGGCTGGTAATACCAAGACGCCAGCAAAGAAACCAGACCTAGACTCTTCTTTTGACTCAGACTGGAAGGACTGGGGGGAAACAGAGAACGAAAAACCAAAGATTGTCGGAGTTGCTTCCCAACCCACCAGCTCTGACAAAAGTCCTCCGCCTACGAACGTGCCTCCGCCATCCATCTTGCTCTCCATACTACCCCAGCTCCTCGACCTCTCCAGAACATCTCTTCTCAAGATCAAGGCTCTCCCCGCGGCCAAGCAGCATGCTGTTGTTTCCGATCCTGCCACAATGACATTCTTGCGCGGTTATCTGGCCCTGGCTACTGTGACAGGCAGGATCATCGCTGGCCGGAAGCAAAGGTGGCAACGCGACAAGTTTCTCATGCAGGGCATGTCCATCTCAGCCGCGGGAGGCATGAGGGGAATGAAGCTTGCCACTGTTGATAAGACTCAGTCTGCTAGAGATGATCATAGTGCCGTTGCGGTTCTGGATGTCTGGACCCAGCAAGAGGGAAGTCTGCGCTCTACAGTTACGGCAGCTAATGCCGCCTCGGATACGAAACTCAAGGTCCCACAGCTTAAGCTCGCTCTCCAGGTTCATGTAGCCAAGAACGTAGCCACGGCACCGAAGCCCTGTGTGATCTGCGGCCTCAAGAGGGATGAGAGAGTTACTGGCGTTGACTTCGATGTCGAGGACAGTTTCGGTGAGTGGTGGATCGACTTTTGGGGGCATAGGGCATGCAAGAACTTGTGGGTAGAGCACGAAGCCAAGTTGAGACAGCGATGATCACCACTCTACTCGCTTGTCGCCAAGCGTCAACACCATAAACCATATGCGGGCATCCGGGCCGAGTAACCACCAGGCGGCCAGTAATCCAGGAGCATTCAACTGCGTACGTACAACTTGCAAGTGGACGTTCATGTGAAGAGAGTGTCAACGAGTGTGTACGCCAAGCCGTACTGTACCCAGCTCAACAGGGGCCAGACTCCCACATTAGCCCCGCTCCTTTGGTGATAAAGTGAATGTACAACTTCGATCTCATCCTTGGCTTTACATAATATCAACTATTTTTGTCTAGACGCTCTCTTACCACGATAGCGACAGGTCACATATGGGCAAGTGCTAGCGTGTTAGCGAAGTTAGCCAAGCACTAACGGCTTACCCCGCACTTGGCATGTGAAGCTGTTAAGAACTGGTTTAGGCCGTTATCAGCCTTCTCGGGGGGGCAATTGCCCGATCGGTTTCGGTCCGGGTCAGGACCCGGGAATTAAACATCCGGACCCGCTAAACCTCGGCGCCCCATCTAGACAACAACAACATCCGCTTGTTTGGCTCTGACATCAACAGACAGACAGCAAGTCAGAACCAGACACCAAGCCGACACACCATCAACCAGCCAATCTCCCATTACGAGAATTGTGACATCTCTCACCTCGCTCCCACATTATTTCCTAGAAAGGTCATTATTTGGCATCAGTCAGAAACCATGACATTGGAGGTTATCTACGTTACGCGCCACGGTGTAAGTGCGACTGATATCACCTTCCCTTTCCCCGTCCTTTCTTTCCTTTCTTATTCCCCATTGTCAAGCCTCGGTTCCGTCTTCCCCGTCCGCGGTGAAACTTTAGTATGCTACCCAATACTTGGTCTCGGCTACGCAACGTGACACCAAATCCCTCTACGCAATGGACAATGGGCGTGTCCATGACCACTGGGGGTCAGTCACCGCCGTGCCGTGCCGTTCAAAGTTGCGATTGGTCTCCGGAGATCACTCCGCTGGCCCCCGGCATGGACTATCACGAGTGCGACGTCGGGAACAACACAAGCATGGAATAACCCATACCGGTACAATATGGATAACATGCTTTCCCATAGCAGACCTCCAGCTAGCTACCAGAGTGCTGCTGGCTCTCTCGAGAATTACGGCTAAAAAGTAGAATTGAGCTGACGCAAAAGGGATGGCTCACAGTTCCGCTCCAACTGGCTGGTTGACCATACCAACGGCAGTTACTCGTCCAACCTCAGATCCCCTACGGGTATTGCCGCAGACCCAGCCCTCACAGCCCATGGCGTAGATCAAGCCAAGGAGCTGGGCCAGCGTTTGGTTACAGCAGACCCGCCCATAGAGCGTGTTTACTCTAGTCTTTACTACCGTTGTTTACAGACGGTAGAGCCCTTCGTCCGATCAGCATCGTCCTCTCCGTCGTCTGTGCCAGAAGATGCCGAAAAGGGCACTCGCCACTGCCAGCGACAGCTGCATGTTCGAGGAGAGACAGGATTAGGCGAGTGGTACGGTTCGGCGCCGTTCGAACACCCCGTACCTGCGAGCCTTGCCACGCTCGAGTCTCATTTCCCTTCCCTGCTGGACCGTGATTATCAGCCGGCAGTAGTACCGACGCGGATGGGCGAGAGTGTCGATGAGCTGCATGACCGCCTTGCTGTCACCTTGGAGCGGCTGGTTGCCGAGTGTGATAGGGATGGCATCCGTGCCGTTCTCCTCTGTTCGCACGCTGCCCCCATCATTGCTCTTGGCCGTGTTCTGACAGGCAACATGCCGGAGAACATCGAGGTCGAAGACTTTCGAGCCTTTACCTGCGGCCTTAGTGTGTTTCGGCGACGAAATGGAGCTTCATCAGGAGCCAACGCATCTCTTACGGCCATCAACCCGGTCAGTGTAAGTGCGAATGCACCTCGGGCCCAGACGGTGACGGATCCCAGCACCAGCAGCAGTAGCAGCGGCGCGAACAACACCAGCAACATCCTCGGCAGCACTCCTGGAACGGCAAAACAAACCGCCAAAGCAGGTACCGACGATCTTCAGGGTGCGGAGAGTGATCCACGGGAGCAGGGTCTTCATGCTCCCGTAGTCTGGAGGGGTGGCCGAGGCGTAGGGGGTGGTTGGAACCGCGAACTGAACAGTGACTGTTCACATCTTTCTCAGGGAGAGGAAAGAGGATGGTAAGCGAGCTTTGATTAATCTAACGCTTTGTTATTTTGATGCCCACCCCTGATTTTAAAAAGAAACACGACTACTAACCAAGCCACGCAGGCGGTTCTCGGGCGACGAGTCCTTTAAGAATACCCCCAACAAGAGCATGCTGGATGCTGGAATATCACTGGGGGTCGTCGTGGAGGGCAACAAGGAGAGTGGCAAGTCTCACGGGAAATCTTCCACCGGTGGCTCTCGTCTCTAAACCGGAGAAGATGAGAGGACGAGACTCGCTCTCCCTTACTTTCACTACTGCAAGTCAGTGAAAAAGAAGCCGAAACGGCATGTATGACAGAAACGACGAGACGTGGTCCTTCATGCACAAAACACGACAATCAGGCCAAAAGGCCCACGATGTTCGAGACCGCCATGTCGATCTCGCCGATTAAGCATTGACACTTGGACGCTTCATTATGGCAACACGCTCCATTGACCATACGATTTGCGGCATTCATCACAGACATGCTTCTGCAGAAAGGGTCTCGAGATATGTCGATTGCCGTGAGAATTTTCTCGTTACCACTGTGGTGAACGTCTGACAGCCGTTGGTGTCTCGAGGGTGTGTAACGAGAGAAGAAAGAAAATGGACAATCTCACAACTGTCCCTGCTTTCGCCGTGCCCTCCCCGGCTTTTACGCCGTGCCCCAGGAAACGGATTCAGATGACAGGATGGGGAACAGCTAGTTACACCAGATCCAGCAGGCGGCCAGTGAGCATCCGGGCTACCGCTAATTCTCATTCAAATCGGATTTATCCCCCCCCCTGTCCTGCCAACTATGTGGCTTTCTGAGGTCTGCATGCCCCGTTGAGGCGTCGCTGTGAAGGTCTCTCTCCAGATGTAATTGGCTAGTATAGTGTGGGGATAAATCCGATTTGAATGAGAATTAGGTATTGGAACTGGTTTTCCTAATTGCTGCTGCAAGCCAGAGGGGTTCGCTCGGGCGTTGAGGCGTCCATACGAAGGGCTGACGGCGTTAGAGAAAATAAGTGAACACGATAGTGTGTACCCGAAAACTGGGTCCGAAACAGTTCTTACACCAATGCCACTTGAAAGCTTCTCGTCAAACATTCCCTTCGGTCTCGAGTTCGCTTTTTCTTTGCTTCTTCTTCTTCAGAGTTTTTCGTTTCTCTCTGGTTCTTGAGCACCACCGCACGGGAATGTTACCCGTCATCTCTCGGCCGATGACGAATTTGAGTTCTCACTCCTCCATCCCCACGGGTGTCACCCACCATTATCGAAAACCGAATCTTGACGGCCTATCCAATCACTCCCACAATGCCCTTTCTTTCCCCCCTCCTACCCAAACTTGTCTCGTCAGCTGTGCGTAATCGAGGCGGTCAGAGAGGCAGAGAAGCTGCATGCTCTTTCACAACATGTTGTGGCAACGCGAGATGAGAGAAACGATGGGGAAGATTGTGTCCCGTGGTTGTAATGAGATTCCATGCTGAAGGGCGGTAGGGAAAATCTGATACATCACAATGTTTCCCCTCCTGCTCCGTGTCGAAAACCAGGGAAATATTTTCCATGGCGGTTTGACACACGGCCCTATCTCACTGAGAGATATCGGCGGTGCGCCGCAGTGGCTGCCAAGAATCCCTTGCAGGCTTTTTCGACTGTATACAGCCCAGCAGCAAAAAAGTAAACAAGGGGATTGACTGGAGGGAAGGAAAGCTTACCGCAAAGAAAGGGAAAAGTGCCCTTTCCGAAAATGGTGGTATTATACTGTACACACGGTACGGTCCCAGCTTTCTGTCCACAGCTTGCGAGTCCCGTGAGAACGGACAGACTAGATTGATAGGATGCAAGAGCAATCGAGATGAGATCCGATCTCGTCGACTTCCTTGTCATTACTATTACTTTTCTGGGACCGCGAAGCAACCTCAAGGCTACTGCGCTACACCAAAAGCAAAATCCAAGGCCGAGTCGAGTTAACTCGAGGAGTGCCTTCCTCTTAACTAGAGAGAAAGTCGACATACCAAGAGATGGCGTTACCTATATGAGGCTATGACCGACGGGACTAGTCGACATGCCAAGAGCTGTCAGGCTGGAAAGGGAGTACCATGCCTATTGTGTTCTGACACCGCATCCAAAGGGGCCCTGGAAACGTCCTTTCCCAACTTGGTCAGAAGTGACGTCTATCGGATTGTTGCGCAGTTGCAAGGGACAGTTGCAAGTGCGTTTTCCTCATTGGCCAACATTGGTTAAAAACGGCAACCTCTAGGCATGGTTTCTCTCACAGCCTTCACCATACACTACGCTATGGATTTCACTTTCGCCGCGTCTAGCCCTACGTGTACTGTGGTACATCACACTAGCGACTGCGTATCCGTATACTAATTAATGCAGTCATTTACGGCCAAGCCTCGTGACATTGACGTATTCTGTACACTCACACGGTACGTCAAAACCGTGTTAGGTACCGGCCGCACTTAACACCGAAGAGCAAGAAAACCTCATACTACTGATGTCAAGCACGTTGTTCGGGCACACCAAAAGTAGTGGACACTACCACCAACCTCAAGGTATCGTGGTGTCTATCGTCCCGTTGTGTCAGGCCTCATCATTCCCGTCTACCGCCTAACCGCCCACGTTCCCGCTCCCGTTTCCCGGGCTGTGGTAAGGACGATGCTACCCCGAACGAATGGTATTGTACACTACGTATTTATTCCATCCACATCACTGCCACCCTTGGCAACGGCAAGTGAGAAGGCGGATCCCTAGCATCAAATAACATGCAACCATGGAAAATGTCGATCGAGATCCACGGTCTGGACAAGATGGGATTCTTACAGGCGGGCAAGGCACATACATACCTCTACGTGTACACGGAGGGAGGCATAGGGCACCGCTTTTTTTTTTTTTGATAACACCACTCGAAATGGGGAAAGCATCAGTCACTTCAATATCCGGGAAAGGTTACCGGATCTACCGATATCAGATCCGATATCACAAAGGTCCCGGGATGTCGACCTACTACAACTCTGGGTTGGGTCCCAGCAAAAGCTTAGAGGCGGCGTCCTGGCGTCCATCTCTTTCCGTTCCCCTGGGTACGACTGTGGCTTATGTTGAGGGGAACGCTGCCCTCTCTGGGCTGGAACAGCAACAAGAGCCGAGGTTCATCAGGTTACATTTACTTGTCTATCAACACCGCCACAACCAACACGAAACACTAACAACCACGAAGCAACCGCCACGGGTATGTATACCAGATAGCTGGCTCGCTGAAAGCGGTACTTCCTTGCGAGAAAAGAATCGCGGAAGAACCCGCGAGCTGCAGACCTGCAAGCGAATGTGCCTGTGACACTGGCAGACAACACATCTTCTCAGCGGCTGGAAAGACCATTCAGACACCACGCAGTCCTCGAGGGCATGAGGAGTCAACTCCTGCACCGACCTGAATCTTTAGTTAAAGCTGAACTGTTCGAACACACCAATCGCCGACGTTGGTGACTATCCCCGGTCCTTGTTTTAAGAACCGCAAAATGAGGGGGGAGTTGACGGGGTTAAGCTTCTCTGAGCGACGAGTACAGTATGGGCAATTTCCTCCACACCACCATGGATGGGGAGAGGATGAAAATGCACCTGAAACTGAAAGTAGTATGGTTCCAGATATGCCATCCAAGGCCATTGATGGCTACGCAGTATGTGAGAAGTCAGGCAAGTCCAATACGCACAGTGTAAGGCTCTGCCATAGGTATCTCTTTCGCTTTTTCTAAAACCCGAATACTCACACCTGTTGCTCAAAACCAATCGACAAACGTCGCTAACCGCAAGTGGACAGACCTGCCTTCTTCAACCACACCCAATGATCCCAATTGGCCAAGTAAACAAAAGGGTTTTAGGGTTCCCTACCTACATGAGGTACTTCCAACAAGTAGACCGGCGTTCGGATGTCGAAAGCGAGATGCTACACTGCCACACAGTCGATCCCGGACCATTTCCTCCACCAACAAAAAGGCAAGACCCGGCCCAAGCATTATTGCGCCCCGATGTGACTGCCTCTTCCAGAATGCGGTACAGTACTGCTTGACACTAGAGTCGTCTACAACGGTAAGTTCCAGGCCTTTGGTGCCTTGGGTAGAAGGACCCCTTCTTTTACCTGGCCCCCAATGCCGAGCCGAGATCAACATCAATGACTGCTACATCACAATATCCCTCATCTTCTGCTATTTCAGTAAGCATGATGACTTCAAATTCCAGGTTTTTGGCAACAGACAGATGCCAACATTCATGGATGAAGCTTGTTGGAGACTTCATAGTACGCCTGGAAGAAGCAAAACCAGTTCGTCCCTGCCCCGCAACCGAGTGATACCCCTTGAGCCAGACGAGCCTGAGTCAACAAAAAGGCATGGCTCTCGGGCCCCCGGACGAACGTTGGAAGTGCCCCGGCGGCTGATTGAGACTAATTCGCCGCCTGCTTGTCTCAGACATTATACCGCTCATGACAGGACTTGGCCTTCCTACGTCCTGGTTGCAATACCCGGCCGGGGCCACCACAGTTACGACTTACGAACGACACCAACATCCCTTACTGCCACATACCTCTACTACTCATCTAACTGGAAAGTGCTTGTCGTTGTCCAAAAGTTGACATGCCCATCGGCCAACGGCCGCTTGGCGAATATGGGGCCCCACGTCGACGACATGGTTTCCGTTTAGGGAAGGCATAACTGGTAGGGCAGAACGGGGCCTGACAAGGCAATGAGGAGAGGGATCAATCAGACTGGCTTACCACTGATGGGTGACAACAACAGACACACATGTTAGGAAAGAAACTAGACAAGGTAGTATACTCATTTAGGGTCTGGGTACTAGTGATCCCCACTTGTCTACCCTACCTACACTGCTAACCTCACCAGCTCACTGTACCTGTTGCTCATTCAGTTTCTGGCTAACTGCCCTGGGAGAACAATGCATACCGATTGATTACGGATAGGCTAGTCTGTCTTTTGGGCTGCCTGACATGTCTATGCTATCATGAAACTCGCATGCTGCCAAATGCAATGGGGGAAGATCTCTATCTGCCACACCTACGGGATGCCTGTCTTCGAGACGATGGAGGCGACCAGGTTGCAGATGTCATACCTACCCCCCCTCCTCCTCCTCTTCTCTCCCCAGACCCCATTCGTTATGTATATAGGGGTTAAAGGTCCCTTGATGATCTCCATCCAGGGTCTCGGATTGTCCACAACCATCATTTGCATACTTGCTTTGTATCATCACATTGTCTGTTCTTGTCTATCGTTTGCCTCGCTTCAAACCCTCAAAGTCGAGAAAGTCTTTACATAAACCTCTTCGAATCCCACCTCCTCAAAACCACGATAGTTTCACAGCATCGGTTTACTTCAGTCATCATCACAACCTCAAAGAACGACTTCACTACTACATAAAGTCATCATCATGTCTTCCACCACTTCACAGCGCTTGTCTTCTCGGGAAGAGTTCGAGTCGAGGACACTCGCTTCTCTCAAGCTCCCAAACATCCGAATCAACGAACTGACCTTCCCATCACCACCATCGACACCCAATTCAGTTCAGTTGAGCCCAAGCTGCAGCTTTCGATCAGTATCATGGAGCAGAAGACCCTCGGTCGACTCGGACTACTTCTCCGGAGCCCTCTCCGGTCTTTCAATCACTTCATCAGTGTCTTCTACTGGCTCGGACTTGAAGAGAAAGGCAAGCATCACCAACTTGGATACTCGCCCAGGGTCCAGCATGCGCAGTCTGCTCGGACCCCAGCAGCAACAACTCTCCCTCCCTCCCATTTCCCACATCTTGAATGCTGTACCCTCACCCTTTGAGCATCAGCTCAGCCAGCACCGAGCCCAGACATCTCCTGGTCATCCCTCACCACGCTTCGCACCTTTCCAGCAAGGCATGTTCACCCCACTGCCATCACCAACCTGCAGCATCTCATCGTCATCATTTTCAAGCCAAGCCCAGCGCCAACCCTCTTCCCTGCCACGGTCTTACTCCGTCCCAGACGTGTGCTACAAGAGTTTATCTGCTGCTTCGCTGTCGATCACCAGTCCCCAGAAGAAGAGACAAGCATCGACTACCTTTGAAAGTGGTGTCTCCTCCCGTTTCTCCGCCTACACCAACAAACTTCAAGTCCGTCCAAGCAAGAGTCATCGCACGACGAGCAGACGGTCTCCCTACGAAAGCGCCGTTGTTCTGCACCGGGGCAGCAGCGACCGCAAATCATCCACCTGCTCATCTACCTCCTCTTCTTCTTCTTCTTCGTCATGCTCGCCTGGCCCTACCACAGACGACGAAACATCCGACCACCCTGACGAGGACGAAAAGCTCGCCACGTCTTCTAGCAGCAGCAACAGCAAAGGCAAAAAGCAAAACATTCAACACACCCCCGAACAAAACCTGTTCATTATCTACCACAAAGACGACCTCGAGCTTCCCTGGGCCGAGATCGAGAAGCGGTACAACGAGCGCTTTCCCGGTCTCTACCGGACCGCTGGTGGATTAAACTGCAATTACTACCGTTTGAACGCCAAGCTGCCGCGGACGGAGGAGTCGGACAAGTTCTCGCTGATCTTTGACGAGCGCCCCCGGTACGACCCGGAGAACCCAGGAAAACTGTTGCCGTTGACGTGGGATGAATACGAGGGGGTTCGGTTCCAGACCATCCATGTCCAGGTTAGGCAGGCGGCCAAAGTGTTGGGGCACCCGATTGGACTCATGTGGAGGTGTCCGGAGGAGCTGGTGAAGAGCGAGAATGAGTGGGTGTTGGAGGAGCATAGGGTTAAGGCTAGGGAGTTGGGTGAGTTTTTTTCTCTTCTTTTTCTGTGATATGAAGGTTTGGTGAGGAAAAGAGGCTAACAATGGTAACAAACAGCTGCAAGAAGGTATTACCAGAGAGAGGCGTGGAAGAGGAGTCAGCAGTTGCAGCAACAGCAACAGCAGCAGCAGCAGCAACAACAGGAACAACAACAAACAGACTCTTACGTTCAAGGCTGAGCAGTTCCGATAAAGACATCAAATCTCGTTGTTCCTACGCATATACATCAAGACTCCCACGAGTTTACCTCAACTTCTAGTACATCCTGAAACCGCATACATATTCTTCCTCTTTCTCTTTTATATTTTCATCTTTCGGGGTTTCTGTACAATTTCTCGTATTTCTTTGCATGTGTATCATCTACAAACATACGGGGATACGGGGCAACACCTGCCAACCATGATACCCTTACTAGAGGGAGGCAGTCTCTTTTGCATTTTTGGTTGGCAGTTAGGTGTTCAAAGGCGAAATAATGGCAGTCATGGGATTCTTGAGTTGATCGTGCTCGGGGACTGGTATGGGACTGGTATGGGACGTGGAAGGGAAAAAGTGGTTGCATATGTTTTCTTTCGGTAGGGTATGGTTGGTACTGGTAATTGGGTGATGAATGGAACGGTGGGGGTTAATGAACACGGGTTAATTGAGTCCTTTTGTAACCATCTTTCCTTGTCATTCCATGTCCATGTACTATTATCAACAACAACAAGTGTCTTGAACGCATAGTCCTTACGGTAGCCATTGGTTGGGAAACATGGCTACGTTTGGATCATTTTTGCGGCATTGGGTGCCTACACTGCTTTTGAAATTTACAGCAACTTCAAAGAACAAGAAACAGGTCTGGTATCCCGATTTGAACCTTTCGTTGCTCATCTTGATTCGTGACTCCTTCTCTCTGTCCCATCTACCGCATGGTAGATAGGGGTAGTCTATCGACCCATCCATCTATTGTGAATCCACCTCCAGATGCTTCACCTCCTCACCCTTTTCCTTTTCCTCTCTCCCCCTTCCTCCTTTCCCGGCACCTCCCCTTCCACCACCACCGCGTCCATGTCCACCACGTCCTCCACCTCTACCGCCCTTACCACCACCACCACCAACACTAGCCCTCCCCTTACCCATCGGCATCCTAATCTCCAACCCCTCCGGCAAATCCGCCACCTTCTGTCCATCTTTCCACAACAGTCCCACGCCCTGTCTCCTCCCCCTAACCTCCTTGAAATACTTGAGCGGGACCAACCCGTCCTTGTCGCCCTCCGTCAACACCACCCCATTATCGCTCATCCACCACTTAATCCCTTTTTCTCCGTCCCCGCCTTGCTCCTCTGCGTCCCTGATACTCCTCTCGACATCCACAAAAACTAACACCTCCGCATCGCTCCTCATCCCACTAATGACACCCCTTTCCGTATCCTCCGGCAATCCAGTGGAGAAATGCACGTGGTTCCTTCCCATGGCTTTGAGTCCGCCGCTCTGGACGATCTTGTCCCAGAAGGCGAAGTAAGTACCGTGGATTACCGTTTCTGGGACCGGAACGGTTCCTCCCTCCGTTTCTCCCTCCTGCTGCTGCTGCTGCTGCTGTCCCCCCTTACCCTCCTGACCAGCCAACACCAACCTCCTCAACAACCCTTCACTCTCCAATTTGATCGAATGCCCCTGATTAGCTCTAATCAGCCAATCCTTCGGGTCCTCACTTTCCTCTCCCACCCCAAGCGCGTTTTCCTCTTTTCCAGGTGCCAACTTGATAGCAAACCTTTGCTTATCACTCTCCCTGACCGCCTTCAAAATCTCCTGAAAGGTGGGCTTCAGCGAGCGGATCGGTCCCCACGCTAGAACCTTGTCCAGGGGCGCGTACCCTTCGGCGTCGAGGGTGATGCCTGCTGAAGAAGCTTGGTGGCGCAGGAGGCGGGAGAGAGCGCGCGAGAGGTCGACGTCGCGACCACCCTTGCGATGACCGCCATGACCGCCACGGCCGGATTTGGGAGCGCGGTGACCACCGCCGCGACCACCGCCGCGGTTGGAGTCGGCGAGGTCTTGGTAGTGGGTTGCTTGGGCTTGGTTGGGAGACGCCATTTTGAGGTGGTAATGGCGGGGATGATGGCGGTGGTGATGGAGTTTGGTTTTGGTTTTGGCGGGGGTTGTGTTTGTGTTTGTGGTTGTTGTGGTGCTGAGGCGGGTTGGTTAGCCGAATTCTCTTCTTTTTTCACGATGCCTGCAAGACAGGAGGATCCCTTTATACTGTGTATGGGGAGCTTGCTTGCTTACCTGCTGCAGGTGAATGTGCGTGCTTCTTCTTGTCTGGCGACGATGAGCCTCGAAAGATGCAAAGTTGGAGGAGTGAATCGAAGTTTTCCAACAGTAGTCCCAACTGTCCACAAAGGGTTGATGTTGCTGTTGCTGATGCTGATGCGATGATGAAATTTTATTGTTAGCAGACTGGGTCACTTGGGTGGGTGAAGAAGTTTTTGATTCAGTCCAGGGTAGGCAGGCAGCAGCAGCAGTCAGAGAGGACAAACGCACCTTCTCATTCAGATTGGATTGAAGAATGAATCTCGCCTCGTCGTGGTTGGTTTTGACCAAGGGGATGGGGATGAATAACTCGAATGGTGAGACGAGATGGACGGGGTGCCTGTACAAAATAATTGTGACACGATGATGGAAACCTGACTTGTCAATAGTCAGCCGACAGATTTTGTTACCGTAATAAACGCAGTTTTTGCGTAAAGACCCGCACTCGCCGCATCATGAAATCATACAGACCGTTACAATTCGCCCCAGATACAAGGTTTCATTCAGGTGAACAAAATCAACCACTTTGATGATTCATGGGCTTGTTGACCCGAAACTGCGAAAATTATCACGCCGACATGAGTCACTGCCGAGTTCAACTTACGCCTTGCCAAGCTCACCGAAGTGGGAGACCTTGGGGACTATGGTACGCTTTTCTTGTGGTTGTAATACATCCAGTTTTCGCTTTGCTGCTCCATGATTATGTTTACACCGATGATGCACGCTGACTGACGCCCATACTAATGACCCGAACACAGTACAAAGATGAAGATAATGGATCAAAATTCCAAGATATCTAACCATCCCACCACATTCCTCGCCTAGTGATACAACTTATCGCATCCTCGCGACAAACCACAGCGTTTAGCTCTAACCATCCTACCCTCACCGTGTCACCGTCGCCCCGTACCGTCCGTGTATACATGTGTATACATGTGTAAATGTTCAATGTAACAGCTTAATGAGGTACCATATGTAGATGCATGCATTGCACAACGCGCTATGCTGTATGCTGTCCGTCCGGTCCCTTTTCTCCCCCTTTTCACCGGCTAACACGGATGGTTGACAAAAGAGATTCGTTACAGAAAGATGTGGTTTGTTGCGCCTCTTGGTGCGTCGTCGTAAACACTGAAGGCTCTCTCTAGCCCCAGCCCTCTGAAGATAAAATATTGAAAGAAAAGTTTGTGTAGGATGTGGGTTCCTCCCGACTTTCCGCTTCGTATCTGTCGATTAAACAGACACGAAAGACGGAGAAAAAGAAAACGAAAAAGGTATAAAGACAACGCCCAACGCCCAAATGGTATATGTCGAAAGTGTTGTTGTTACATTCATGAACAGCATGGTCTGAACGTCATAAGGGGGCATGATTTTCCCGCAATTTTTTACTCTCCTACCAACCGCCACCGCCACCATTACCTCCTCTCCTCCTAGCTCCTCAACTCCTCAACTACTCCTCATCTGTATCCGCCAACTTGTTGCGCGCTGGCTTGTTGTTGATGTTGCTGCTGTTGCAAGTTCGACGTGGAAATGCTGGGTATCCCCGAGTCACGCGTCCGTCGGCTGATACTACCAGTCCGATTGAGCATCGCCGTCTGACCCAGCGACAGCTGGCGCTGCGCCCTCTCCTCCGCAAGCCTTTCCGCGTAGCTGCTGGCAACGACGGTCTCCCGCTCTCCACCTGCTGTCCTGTCGAGGTATCGACGGCTGGCCGAAGGCTGAATTACAGGAGCAGTAGGGGCACTCAGCCTGGAACTTATCGAGGTAGGGACCAATCGCCTGCGGGGCAAAGCTGAAGAGCCAAGCGGAGTATTGTCAGGAGGAGACGAAGTTTGACCGGTGAATTCACGCGGAGTACCTCGCAATCCATTGACCTCTGTTATGGCCCTGGATGGGGTGCGATACCGGTCCTCGTCCTCCTCGTTAAAGACTTTCCGGGAACGGAGCAGCAACGATGTCTTGCGGCCCTCCGCAGGCATCTCTTCTTGTTCCTCTGGTCCTACTCTCCGGCTCCTCAAAAGCAACGACGACCTTCTGCCATTGACTTGCTCCTCCGGTTCCTCTACCGCAACCCGGCGGTTCCGAGCCAACAGCAGGGACGATTTTCGCCCGGGGGTACCAAAGTCAACGGGGGTAGCTGGCACGGCTGAATTCCTGGGACTCGGTAGAGCACTCGCAGCCAAGAGTGATATCCTTCGCTGTTCCATTGTCGTTGGAGCCCTAGGACTAGTAACGCTCGGTTGTGGCAATGCTGTCTCTACAATAATGCTCGATCGTCGCTGGCCCGTGATGCCTGTGAACTTGGCCGCTGTTGTTGGTGTTATGACCTTTTCAGTCTCGCGGTTGGGAGCCGCGGGCTGAGCTGGCTTGGTCTGGTTAGCTTCATCCGTCAATGCGATGCATAACTCAGTCAAGCTCCTGCAGATACTATCCGCTTTCCTTCGGAGCTGCCGATCCGTGACACCACTACCATAGCCCCCAACAACACTCGCGCCGCTCGATATCGGTCCCGGCTGTCCGGCAGCACCAATCATGGAAGTCAAAGCCAAGGCGTCATTTGCTGCCGACTCAATAGCATTGAAGACTTCAGCACTGATCAGGCCTTTTGTCTTTAACAGGGCTGATAGAAGAATGGGCTGTGTTTCTCGTGATGACGCATTACTAGCCGTCTCTCCGTGGTTAACAGTAGTTCCTCCCGATCCACGCTTCGGCGACGCGGACATGGTTGTAGCATTGGTCGTCGCTGTAGGCGGACGCTCCTCTGAACTCCTGGAATTTCCTGCTCCTGACGGTGGCTTCTTCCCCGTCAACTCCAACCTATGAATGCGAGACTTTAGGTCGTCCAGCTCATCCCAGACAGTAGAGGGGTCCGCCGTCGATGTTGATGAATCCGTCCCTTCGGCGCCTTGATTTGTCTCCACGTTCTGAGGTGGTTCTGGTCTTTGCGGCTCAGGAGCCCGGGGAACTAATGGCGACGAGTTGTAAATCCGGCCGCCAAGGGCAAGGTTCGAATTCCGATATTGTGAATTCCTCCCAACGGACGAGATCTCTGCCATTGACGATCTTCGTGAAAGTCCGGCGCCCGCCTCATAAGCATCCTGGAACGCTATCTGCCGGGGGGTTGGCGGGGCTTGTCTCAGAGAGGTTCGAACAGACTGGGAGCGACCAAGATCCTCCTGCGGTAGGTTGGTAATGAGACGATCTCTCGTGATGCCTCGGAAAGGTTCGCGGGCTGTTTGTGAGTCGGAACGCAGCCGGCTTTTGGACGAGGTTGTGTCGCGGGAATCGGAAAGTCGCCGAGAAGACACCTGGGGCGGTGATGACGTCTGATAAGATGGTATCGCTGTAGATAGTGGCCGGCGATGGGAGGAGGTTCGATTTATGCGTGACTGTCCGCCAGTTAGCCAATAAGCTACCGCGCAAATTCCGTAGGCGAATAGCAAACACCCCAGATAAACCGACTTACAATTGCGCTCTGATCCTCAGTCCGGCTTTGCGCCGGCCGCGGTGCTGGATCCTCGCGGGCAATATTCATAAAGATTTCGGCCGTATTTTCATTGTCGGAAGCGGCAGCAGCCGAATCTGGTGGTGTCATCCGCGACATATCGTCATCCCGTCTGCCCTCCAGGGCCCTCAATGCGCGTTCTCTCTGGGTTGAGTTCGACATGTCCCCCTCGTTTGTATCGCCCGCGGTGCGCCCGGGATCGTAGTCGTCGAACAACAGGTCGTCGCGAGATGTCGACGAGCGTAATGTTCGGGTCGGGGAGGTATTTGCTTGCCCTCCGGAGCCGGGACCGGAGGCACTTAGGACAATGGCGGGTTTGGAAGAGGCTGGCGGGCGGGATCTCCTCTTCTCATTAATCTTCCTCGACTTGGTGGTCGCGGGCGGTACCGGTTCACGTGGGCCCTGCGCAGTATCGATGGAAGGTGAAAGTCCGATCGAGGTCGTTTGGCGACGTTTCCCAACGGGTGTTACGATAGATGCAGACCGGTATCTCGACGCATACGGGCCCCTGGCGGCACTTTGACTATCGCAGACGGAAGAGGCTGGGCGCTTTGAGCCAATAGACGAGTGCTGTGCTGTTGGCGAAAAGGGCTGGAACGTCGAGGCTCGAATGGCAGGAGAGTCTCGTAATCGCTTGTGGGCTTGTCTTGGCGGTGTTGCTGCAGTAGTAGTCGAGCTCGAAAGCTGTGGGTGGTTGACGAGGTTATGATTAAATGGGCTAGTCGATTGCTGCTGGTTAAATTGTGGTGGACTGGCAGTTGCGGCTAGCTGTAGGTCAAGAGGTAATTGCAGGTGCGCAGGGTCTCCAGCTGTCGACGAGACTGGGCCCCGTCTAGATTTATTAGGTGAGGGTGGGATGTGGATGGGCTGCAGGAGCGGCAGCGAAGGGAAAAGCGACCTGGATGCGTCCTTTTTCTGAAGGTCGGCGAAGCGAAAAGCGGGAAGTTTGGAGGAATTGTGGTTCTGACGGTGCGTGTGATGGACGTTGCTCTCATCGGCAGTCTGTGAAATGCCGTTGTTGAGGTTGTCACTGCCGTTGCCGGTTGCTAGGCGAGCGGTGGTGGTGGTGACCGTGGTGTTGTAGGTGTCAAGGTTGGATCCAGGCCCGGGCAGCTGGTTGGTGTTGGAGTTGGAGGTGATGACGGCCGAGTTGTGCTTCTTTCCCCCAGGAGCTCGAGTTCCGGCGCTAGGGCTGTCCGTGCCCTTCTTCTTCCTGTCAGCCCCAGTGGTGGTTCCTCTTCTGCGCAATTGTGTGCGTGCGCTGAACGAGTCCACTGTGAAGTGAAATGTGGAAGCAGCCCCAGGGGCAAGGCCCTGGCCCGGGCCCGCCGCCTGTTCCCCCAAACTGGACGATGTCATGTTGACGAAACTGGACCCGCGCCGTTGCTCTTCGAATCCCGGATTGTGGGCACTCGACGTCCCTGTTCCTCCACTGCGCAATTCGGAAATCCCCTGTCTCCCCTGACTGATCCACGCCTAATAACAACCCGATCAGATAGATCGTCTTGGGCTCTTGGGGCCTCTCCTTGTTTGATTTCACACCAATCTATTGTTGGGTTGGCTTCCAGGTCGGTCTTTGCGCTCCTGACATCCGCACAACACTAACAATGACACGGGACTTGGTCCACGGGAGACCAACGCGTGATCCCCTAGCTAACAGCGAGCCGGTCGTGCGCAATACCTAGGTGTTGAGCATTCAACTCCCAAGCTAGGTGAACCACAGCAAGATTTCCACTTGCTGCCGGCGAGACCCGAGTGGGTATAGATGATATTAAGATTGCAATCGATAACGGACTTGTTAAAGGGCCAAGGAGTAAACAAGATGATGGCGGCAAGGATGAGAGTGGAAAGAGTGGAGAGAGTTTGATATGACAAGCGAGGAGACACTCCTACCCAGCACGATAACCCCCCGATGAAATGAGATGAACGGGTGATGTGACTTGACTTGGGCGGTCTCAACCCTAGATGAGGGAGCACAGATGGCACAGATAGGTGGCCGGTGAGCAGCTCCCAAGGAGAAATATGAAATTGATGGCTTCAACACACATACCAACACAACAGTCAAGCCACGAGTGAGGCGACCGATGGTTGGAAGAGAGGATAGAGCGTTCCTAGACACCTGACGGTTACCTCATGCCACTGATGTCCGGGCCCGAGAAAGTAAGACTCGAATGTCGACGAGCCTCCACTCGGATTGGTATAAGACGGACGGGCGAACGATGGGATTGGCCAAAGCTGCAGACGATGCAGAACTGCTGCGTCGTGTACCGGAAGATATATGTAAGTGTTCTGCAGGGCGTGCGCCGTCGACTTGACTGGTGGGAAGCCAGGGAGTTGCGGCATGATTCTGCAATCCCGCCTCCAGAAAGACGGCCCGTCCATCGTCGTCAGTCATTGGGGGCAGCAGCAAGGGATCGATTGGGATCCAGAACTGCGGGAACGGAACGAAGCCCTATCTCCAAAAGCCGTCATCGGCTCATCGCAGAGTTTACGAGCCTATGAGAGTCTCAAGAAGCCCTTCACGACCAGTTCAAGAAAAAGGCCAATGCTAAATGCTCCCACACTCCCTTTCCGGCTCCTCTTTGGCCATGTGCGCATGAAGCTAAAAAGCGGAAGACTACCTGCACGACTATAGCGGTTCAGGGCCTGATTGGGCTGTCTCCACTCGCAAAGGGGCAAAGTAAAGATGTTGAATGTCATCATAGCTCCATTCCAAGCAGAGCTTTTGGTGGATGTGTGATGGAGCCAATGAGTGAGCCTCTTTTGCACTTGAATCAGCAATATTCCAAAGGTTATATTGTCAGTAAAATGTGTTGAAAAGATGTTTGAAGAGCCTCTCAACCCGCTCCTGAGATGGCCCGGTCGAGAAGGCGGCGCAATCTCCCGTCTGCCCACACGCCCAACCCGTCTTCAATTGAACCCCGCATACCAGCGTCGTTTTTTTCTCTTCGGCTCGTTTACATGTTGTTTGGAGGCTTCTGGGGAGCAATACCCCCAGTCCGCATTGATGCCTCATTAATATTGGGGGTTCGATATAATATTCAGAGGGTAATATGTCACCCCGACCCGGTGATGTCTCGCGTGTGTGCCGTGTTATCAGGGTCTGTTTGTCAAACTGTCCTGGTAGTTAATGTCCCCTTGTCCCCCTTGTTTGGCTCCTGAGTCCTACCCTAACCCCGGTGCTTCATATCGACCTCCAACCCGCCGAACCCCCAGTGCCCCCGTGCTCTGTAGCACCGAGTTTGGAGTGTTCGAGGTAGGTCCCGCTGTGCTCGATAATTGCTTTTCTGTGCTAATAAGTATCCAAGAAACCGTTCATGAGGATACCCCTTGGCTTGGCCTAGGGGGCTAGGCTTGCGAGTGTGTAAGCGAGGGGAGATCTACCCGAGGATGAGGCCGGAGAGGAAACAAAGATGTTTTGTCCCCATGCCAACTGCGGTATGGCGGTAGAACTAAAGACCACAAGGGTTGAGGAGCTTTAAATGATGGAGAGGAAGTTTGAAGAAAAGAGTCTCACGTCACCACGGGAACTGCAACACCACAAAGGTCCCAATGAAAGCGCGACTTGACCAGGCCTGGCCTAACCTGGGCTGCTCTCCCAGAGTCCTAGGGCCAAGCAAGGGGCATACGTGGAGGCTGCATGCTATCAAATGTGACGGTGCAGAATTGATTGATTGAAGAGTATATGTGACTAACTCGCCCAGAAGGTATGGGGGGTGCTGGAGTAACCTAGATATACCTAGAAATCAAGCAATATCAAATAGCTAGAGCGCTAACCTCCATATAGTATAGCTAAAACCACCCTTAAATATAACACACCCCCTCACTTACAGACCTTCCAAACAGGGTAAAAGTAAAGCTATTTATAAAATCTCTCTTCTAATACGTTAATTTCTCTAACTAAACTATAAATATCCTCTAAAGCATCATCCAAAATCTCCTTATCCATCCCTATCTCCTTACAAACTAATATATTCATTATTCCCATCAGTTCCCAGAATTTCTCATAATCCAATTATCCTAAAACCTTCGTCAATCTATCAGCTAGTATCTTCTTCGTCTCCAAATACTCAACTTTAATCCTTCCCTCCATAATCTCCTACCTTAACTAATAATAATAAATATTAATATACTTCAACTTAATTATCAACTTCACTACCTCAATGATTAACACACAAATTATTTATATATTATTATAACCGATCACAAATATATCCTTATCGAAAGGAATATCAATCTTCTTATATAAACGCATAATAATAATAATTTCCTTAATAACATTTAAAATGGATAATAACTCTACTTATACTATTAAAATAGATACCGTCTTTTATTTAATTATACCCAATAAATTAAATTACTAAAAAACTTAATTGTAAATATATATAAATTCTTTCAATTTAAAGAATTATTAGCCTACAATATATTTAAAACGATCTCGAATTTCGTTAACTTATTATAACAAAGGGAGAAATTAAAATAATATTAAAAATAGTACAAAACCTTATTAACAACCTTATAATATTAAAGACTAGGATTATAATTATAATAAACTAATCGGCTAGCAGCAAAAATAATATTAAATTAGGTAATTACAATAGCGTATATTATAAAACTGATAACGACCTAATATTTTCGTATTTTATTAAAAGAAGCTATGATATTATAAAATATAAATTCTTTATTATTTATCGGAATAAAGGCGAAAATATAGGGATTTTTAATCAATTTAGTAATTTTATAAATATATTCCCGTTACGACAACCAAATACAACCTACCTCTTAGTCTCGAATAATTTCGATACCTCAAAACTATTAAGAATTATTACTACTAATAAACTTATACTTCTCCTCCAACTTCTTCGTAACCCATATAATTTTATCGTACTATAATTTATTAAAGGCGAAAATAATATCGTTAATGTAATTAAAAATTAAAAATCTATTATATTTAAAGATATATAGGTCTTTAAATAATAATTTAAACCCTAAACTTTCGAAAGTCCTATTAAATTTTCGTTACTATAATAAAAGAATTCGTTAAAAATTATAAAAGGCCTTAAGGATCTTAAAAACAATATTATACTTTTGATAACTAAGGGGTATATATATATAAATCTCCTTATCGAAATAGGTATTAACGAAGGCATTTACTATATCATATTTAATAAATTCGAAATCGAACTTAATAATGTAGGTAATAATTAACCGAAATAAATAATTAATTAATATAGAAGTATAAATTTTTTATTATAATTATACTATTAGTTTCTTCTAATTACGAGGCGAACTTTTACTTTTAATAACCAATTATATTTATTAAACATATATATATATATACCTATATACAATCGAAAATTTAAAAACTTTTAATACGGGAAATATCTTTGTCAATTTTGACCTATAACATCATCTCTTTATAATTATCGAAATATACTTCCTCCATTTACTTAAAAAAATTACTTAAATCGTAATATTCGAAATCGTAATAAATCTTTAAAACTAGAAGGAAATCTTAACATTTAATAGACTCCAATCTACTACCCTTAGAAATTAAATAATTAATTTCTACCTTTATAATTATTTTACCCTACTACTACCTAACTAATTAAATAAATTTCTTAACGTTAAATGTAATTTCCTATAATTCGAAAGTCGGGAAGGAAATAAACTCTAGTAAATCTATTATAAGGCCGGTAATAAAAGTAGCTAATAATATACTTAATAAAATAGGGTAGCTAAATATAAAATTAATAAATATTTTACTCTAAATAGTAAATTCTATTAATTTCGAGATAGTTTCGTTACTATCTTCTTAAAATTCGTTATCGAAGAATAATGATAAGAGAGGGGTAAAACCGTTTTTTTCTATATTTTAGGTTATATTAAAGGGCTCGAAATATTGCATAGATAATTAAAGAGGTTAATTAATTCAATTAAGTAAATTGGCAATCTCATCGCTAATTAGCCTTAATCCTTCTTTAAAATTATTAAAGTTCCCTAAATAAACTAAATCTTCGTCAAAGAGTATATTACAGGTATAAATAATATAATTAATTTACGGGTTCTAAACTTAGTAAATAAAAGAGGCAGTATAACCAATAAAGAATCCGATTTAAACTTTTAATTAAAACTTTTTACGCTATTATTCTTTTTTCTATATAATACCTATTATCGCATATATTTTATAACTATAAACACGTAAATAATTGAAATTAAATTTATAGGGTTTAATTTATACCCCCTTATAATAGGCCACGAAAATATAAAACTACTTATATAATAACTTCTAATTATAAAAATACCTAAGCAATTAATTAATAAAATAAACCGAAATTAAAATAATTTAAAACTAAAGGTTATAAGGGAATATAATGCTATTTATTATTATACGCGCCTTTTCTTTAATTATACCCCTTAAACGTTCAATACCGCCGTTTTAAATTTAAATATTGAATATTAAAGGCTCGAAAATAATAAAGCGTATAATTAGCTTATCCCTAATATCTTAACTATTAAACTCGTTATCATATTCAACGTGTTTAACTTTAATATTATATTAATAATTAATTATATTAATAACAGAAAGAAATTCTTCAATAATAGCCTTAACTATTTAATTCGCTACATAAATATCCCAAACGAATCCAATCTATCAATCAATAATAAATATAATGTATTTAAAGCTACCTCTCCCTATTTTATATTCG